AAAAACATCATAATAATTATCCATTGGTTATGTATGATCAACCTATTTATATTAGTGTTTTCCAAAATTGTTAAATCAATAGACTACTTCCTTCAACAATTATACTGCGGATCATAACATGACACAATCTATAATATTCATATTATTATGAATATAATTAATTGTTGATCAGTTAAGATTAAGTTATCAGGTAAATCATTTGATGGTCAAAAACGTATCAATACAGATATGACACTTGTGCTGCTAAATGAAATTAGGAAAAAATGTTCCAGGAGGGGAGGATTAAAAAATAAAATGGTTTTTCTAATATTATCTGTAGAAGATGACATTGACACAGATATGAGTTATATACTTTGATATAGACATCAACCAATTATATTTATCCAGTTCGTATTTTGAGTTGTATACAAGTGTTCTTAAATCAAATAAAATAAATGATAAAATTGGAATACATGGGTATACTTATAGTATGAAAAAAAATGTAAAAATATCATTTGATAGAAATATTGATTGCTTAATGGAATAGTACAATTTTAAAATGAACATTATTATGTTGCTAATCAAATTTTAATTGGAACAATGAAAATCACACTAGGTTTTAAAGAATGTTCACTTCAGATTTTTAATAATCCAGGACAAATTTTGGCTCAAGCTATGCAAAATAGACCAAATTAAATATTGATTAAATTACCATTTGAAGACTCAATACAAAGTATTCGTAATCAAAGAAACAGTTAAAACCTGATAAAACCAAAAAATCTACAAAAACTTAAAATTGAAGGTAATTTTCATAAAACCATAACTTAAAAACCTTTATATTTTTAAAAGTTTGAGAGAATCAAAAAATATAGCACTTATAGATAAGTACAATAGAGCTTGAAGTAAGGACTATAACTTCAAATTTTTATCTATCTTGGTTATAAAATTATGAACAAAAATGAATGTAAAAACTTATTTTCACTATGTTTTAGGTGAGTAAACATATTGTGGTAATGAACAATTTTTATTTTAAAAAAATGGTTCAAATTTATTTTTATTAAATAATGGATTAGAACAATAAGCAAATGATACTTAGTTCATAAATGGTAACTTTGGTTGGAGCATTTAATACAATTATCTGTGATTTGAATGTAAATAACTAATATTTTTTATTACACTAGTGTTTTGTTTACTTAGCGAAAAATCAAAATACTTATAAAGAGATGTTAAAAATATTTTGTGAATTATTCCAAGATTCATTATATTTCAATATATTAAAACTATATTAAAACATTAAAACTTCAGTTCACAAAGCTACTAAAATAGTTTTTGGTGAACACATTTTTATTTGAGGATGATTTTATCAGTTATCACAAAGTATTTGCAGAAAAATACAAAACCTGGGCTTATGTAAACAATATAAAGATACTGAAAACATCAATTTATATTATGTAACGATGGATGGATTGGCTTTACTCTATATGGATACATTTTGTAAAGAGATGAATTATTAAAAACAAAATTGCCCAACAGGAGCAGAAGATCTAGTACAGTATTAATTAAGTAAAAATTATGTTGGAGGTACATTTAGAAAAGTTAGTAAAATAAACAATTTAATCTTAAGAAGAATATTCCCATTGTTTGTATCAGAATCCACATAAAGCTAACCTTGTTTGTGAAGACTGGAATAATAGATTTTATCATCATCGTGAGCACCAATAAACATAACAGTATTTGGAAATTACTAACAAAATGCGTCAAGAAATTAATTTTCGTTATTTATTAAATAATTATTATCATATTATGTGCATACATATATATATATATATATTTAATTATTTGTATAAAACTTCTACAAATTACTTTTAAGAAGATTTCACACCAGCATTTACAATCTCAGTCTTCCAAACAGGTGACATAGCAAATTTGCACTTAGTAAGACACATTTTGTGTCATTCGTTTTAATATTAAAGCAAATAGATTTTTAACCAAACTTAAAGATAAGAAAATTATACATACCCTTTAATGATTTTTTATCAAGATTTTTATTTTTAAACAAGATATACTCATTTTAAAATTGAGATATTTAACATAGGTACTCATATTACATTTAAAAATAAAAATCATCAACACCAGAACACATATAATCCTTCTTACCTTTAATTTTGGTAATAGGTAAATTTGCTTTAATATTAAAACTAACAGCACAAAATATGTCCTACTGAACGCAAATTTGCAATGTCTTGTACATTTGTAGGACAGTAGATGTCAGTATGGCATTCTCTTAAAATTTAATTTTTTATATATTATATTTTCCAGTATCTTTTTATCTGTTTACGATGCTAAATAAACATGCATTTTTAGAATATATGAAAGTATCTACATTATTTTAACAATTCAAAAATTTGTTTGGTTATTTTCATTATGAAATGAAACCAAATGTCTTTTTTTTTCAATTAATTTTTTACTGTAACTGTGCTAATAAAGATTTTAAAGATTCCCTTGTAAAAACCTTAATTACTCAAAAGAAAAACTATAAATAACTTGAACATTCTGTATTTTGTATACAGATGGATAATATTTATAATCAATTGTCTAATCCCACAATTTAACCTAATAATTTTTTAGCAATATAATTTTAATATAGTAATAATAATAATACACACTCTAATTATGTGTACATAATATATACTATATAATAATTAAAAAATATAATAAGTATACACATTTTAAAAACTCTAAGTTGAATTTTTTTCCTAAAACCTTACTCGTAAACCTCAATAAATCAGAAAATTGCATTTCCTTAGAATTTCGACTTATCAAGGTTCCACTATATTAAAATATTTAATTTCCCAATTTTTAGATCGTACCTCATTTAAAAATTTTAGTTTTCTAGGAGATTTGTTAGTGAGGTGAATTGGAGTTTGATATGATGAATCACTGATGGATACTTTTGAAACATTAGAAATGGAAGCACTCTCAAAATCTTCATTGATAATATGGCTTGTGGATACATCGTAATTGAATGATGAAGGCGGTGATTGAACAGTGATAGGGCTGGAACACGATGCAGTTGCAGCTTGGATCTCTAATTCATTTTGGATCTCAATTTCCTTTTCTTTTGAGCTAACTCTTTCTTGTAATATTTTATCTATAATTTTTTAATTAATTTAGTTTATGAAACATAGTTATTATAATATTGTAATACATTTTTAAACAAAACCTTACCACTAAATAGTGTTGGTACAGCATTTATTGTTAGACGATTTCTTATCTTTGGATTTAAAAACATTTTTTCTTCAAAGTGATCACTACAAACTCTATAACTTTTTTGTAAAATGGCCGGATCTTTATCAAATAAATGAAATGTTTCACAACTTTCAATCCATTGTTTACATCTTTAAATTAGTAACATGAATAAGTTTAAAATGCAAACTGTCTTTACCTAATAAAAATAAAAATTATACAATACAATGTCTACCTAATATACAGTATTTGTACAATTTTTATTTTCATTATTTTATATTCATTTATTCAGTTTAAATTAAGGTTATATTATTGTATAGCTAAGAACTTAAAAATCTTCCTATATAAGAACTATTGTCCTCCACAGGCCTAGGCTTTTGGAGATAATCATTTACTTTGTATTTTTTCATTTAAACTAATTCCTTTTTTTAATGCATTAAACTATTATTATTATTATTATTATTATTATTATTATTATTATAATTACTTACCTCAATGGATCAGTAGGAAACCTGAAGTAACTAATATGTTCAGTTTTTGACAGTTTGTTATTACAAAATTGCACAGCACAAGATGTCATTGTATAAAATAATCCCAAAAACAAAAAAAAGCACAAGGAAGGTATTTTTTAGCCACTGAAAATCAAGACAAAATTCAAAGATACAATAGATTAAAAACTTTAGTTATCGATTTTCTAACTCAAAGTACTACCAATAAGGCTATAACAGTCTTCAATAATTTAATAATATTAAAGTATAAACATTAAACAATGTTATGTCTGACAAAACACCATGTATCAATATTACTAAAACTACACACTATAATCTGCATTAAATAATTTTAATCTATTGACATGGTGACACTGATTTCGGAGAGATAATATCCGAAGCACGACAAAAAGCCATTCAACATATAACTACCCGACATAAAGCCATACGATAATACTCCATGGATCAGAATCCGACAAAATGCCATCCAGCAAAAAAACACCACCATATAACACTACTTATACAATTATACATTTAAATCGTCATAAAGCCACTTGATGACACACAATTCTACCAACCTAATCAATCATATATTACAGTAGGATTTTTTTACAGTATTTATGTCGAAAAAAAATTACTGAAATTAATAAATAATTATTATTAAAATTAATTATACATATAATGTTTATATATCAATGATAATGTTGTTATGAATTCATGACATAGCATGGCATTTTATTAGCTTTGTTCGTTTTAACGAAAAGTGTACATTTTTTTACATACAATTTATACTATAGGGTATATTCTACACTTATATATTTGATGGTGTGACTAGTATGAATAATGTATTCCTTATCAAAAATATAGTAAAAAGTGCAAATTCTATGTAAAAAAGTGTACACTTTTTGTTAAAATAAACGAAGTTATTATTTCAACTGCATTTTATATCGTTTTTGTAAGTTACATTTTTTTTTTTTTTGTAAAGTACCGATTTTGTGTAAAAAGTACAAAGAAAAACTTATGGAGAACACAATAAATTTAATTTATTAATGTAAATGTTATATTCAATCATATATACGCATTATTATTGTACTCTGAAAGTTGTATGTAGGGAATCGAATTATTATTCTCTCCGCACAGTCAGAACACAAACATTTATCCATTTATGTCAACAAGTGATACATGCTAATTAATATTAACAAGACATACATCGCAGTTATTAATCATTCTTGGTTTAATATTATTTTGTTTTACAACTACATAAGGAATATCCTTTTTGTCGAAAAAATACAATAAAGTTATCGCATTAAATTATATTATATATCAATATATGGTTGGTAGTGTTGTTTGTTATCAGGTATTCATGGGGCTTTATGTCGCATGGTTGTTTGTCGGGTGGCTTTTTGACGATATCTATATGGTGTCAAACACGGTCTTAGAAGGTTCTTATAAGATCGTGGTGTCAAATGTGTACCTAAATATTCAGTTGATAGTGCAGCTGTATGGTAGTTTTTTGCATAGACTTATAATTATATGTCTATGGTTTTTTGTATGGCAATTTAGTCGGAGTATTAATCAAATGGTTTTTTTCGTTATCTGGTGGATTTATGGCGTGTCACCATTTAAGTGTTCATATTAGTGTTAACGTGAATATCGCAATTCCATCTACAATCTTAAATAAGTGTTATTGTTAGTACATACGACATAAGTTAAATAAGTGTTATTGTTTTTTTTCACCGATTAATAAACAAAAAAATAAATGGTCTCCAGCAAATCTAAGAGGTCCACAACCTACCCAAAGTCTTTAACAGTAAGTACAAGTATAGATATTTGATATAATTGTTGTAATAATTTGTCCGTAGTATATCAAAAATGTATAATCCATCTACTTATAAGTATCAGTGTTTTCCAACTTTTTGGATAATACTATAATAGGTATACATATACTATCTATAATACATAACACACGGTAATGTTATTTGCAGGGAATGATTATCAATAATAATCATGTAATGATACTTTAAATCAAAATTAAACCCAGATTTGTTGTGTGAAACCACATTGGTTAAGTAACAGTGGAATATGTGGGATGTGAAAACGATTATGATGTAACAAAAAAAATTTAAGAAACCAATGATTATTATTATTATTTTATAGACAAATAGAAATACCGCATTTTAAAGGTAAGATAATTTTTATTTGTAGATTGCATATTGAACTAGTACCGAAGTTTCAAATTACAAATTTTTTTTTCTAATATACCTACACAGTTTACCTAAATGATAATATTTTAAATTTGAATATAATTTATTGACTAGTAATATTGTAAATATTGTAAATCTAATCGAATAAATTAATTTCTAATATCTAGTAACTTACAAACATCATATATTTATATGTTTAGTATATATATGCAATATATTTACAGTGGTATGGCAAGGATTGTTTAAAATGGTTAATCACGGCTAATAATTTCAAAGTATTGGTTCCAATAAGGTATCGGTATGTACTGAACAATTCAGCATTTGATTATATTCATTATACATATAATTACATTAAAATTTAAAATAATACAGTTAAATATAATTAGCTCTCCGCAAGTCAGTAAACTAACTTTTTTAATTTGAGGGGGGTTTAATATTAGATAATTTAAATTTACTGAAAATTATTACTGACCATGTCACTACTTGTGTACTACTATTTGTGTATACCGTATTTACATTATTATTTATAATTGCTTAATACATTACAATTTTTCAAAGTTATTTATTATAACAAATGTATAAAGTATATAATATATAGATTGATATAATTTCACAAAAGTTAATTTTCAAGCTAAGAGCAGTTCAATATGGATACTTGTTAGGATTTTTAACCTTTTCAGAAATTTGTTGTGGTAAATTTATACTTCATCAGTTATTTGCTTTGCTATAGTATCCAATAGTTCTGACAATTTGTTTTTTAAATTTAATATTTCCTGTGAGTGTTTCAATTTATTATTTTTAATCTTTTTGTTTATATTAATCATATATTCTGTCAATTCATTCAGTTTCTTTTTAATTCCTTTTATCATAATAATGGGTCCCTCTATGTTATTTTCTGATGGAATACTTGAATAACTAGAATGTTTTTTTCTTCTCATTAGACAGTTATTGATTTTTTTTATTACTTTTAACCAATTTTCTATATTTTTCAAACAAGTTTCTAATGATTCGCCAAGCTTATAATCATTAGACTCATTTACTTTTAAAGATTCTTTACTTTCACTGATGGATTGTTCAACTTTTTTCTTCACATATTTTAATTCATTTTGTATTCCTTTATTCCAAGATTTTTTATTTTTATCATTCTCAATATTTAATTGATTTATTACTTGTTCACATTTATTGAGAGATTCTTGAAATGAGATGTCTTGCGTATCTAATATATTTTCATTTTGATAAATATTATTTTCATCATCAATTGTTGATATATTTTTGCTTTCATTTAAGTCTATATGTAAATATTTTAATAATTATTATTATTGTATTTTAAATAAATAAATTACTGTATATTTATTTAATTAATTGGGTAAATTTATTTTTAAGTAACCAAAAAATAAAAACAATTGATACTGTTAAATAAAAAAAACTACCAAAATATAAGTTTATATTATTTAATGAACAAAATATCAAAAAAGCTAAGATTATTATTATTTTATTTTAAATAATTCTTTTGGCTTTTGTTGTATTCCTTCCCATTTATATTAGAGTATTAAAACTTTTGTTGTTATAATATATTTTTGAATTCAAAGTTTTTAAACATGAATATTAGTTAAATAAATGAATAAGTTAAATTTACTCAAGATTTATACAAATATTTAGTTTATTATTGTACATTATATTTAATATTTAAAAATGTCAACATTTCTTCTTTAAAATTGACCAATGCATTTTTAGGAAATAAATTGATTTGTGAAACATTGTACGCACTTAAATCAGTGATTCCCAATGTGTGATACCACCCCTTTGTGGGCTTTTTTAATTTTGAGGGGGGCTTTTTACTTAAGAGGGCGCTAAGGGGGTGATTCTACTATGACTTTAATTATAAAAATAATTCGCTATTATTAAAAACAATTATATTATTATTAAAATATTAATAGCAAATTCATAACTTATTGCAATGAAATATATATCTGTGTACAATAAAAAATTATTTTATTATTTAATATTTTATACACATTACAATAACAGTGAAATGGTAATAAAAAAGCTTTTATATTATCATATCGATAAGCTTCTTTAGTCCCATTTTCATACGGATATTCCTGATAATAATTATTGTCTACTTGCATTTATTACACAAAGTTATAATTTAGTATGCATATATGTTAGTTATACTTATTATCATAATAAAATGTCAGAGAACAAAATGTGAAAAAAATATTTATTTTTCATTTTAATTAAATGGCTAATTATAAAAACTTAACAATTTATGGAGAAAGTGGGGGGGTGAGTTATTAAAAATCTAAAAGGCGCGGTGAGTAAAAAAAAATGTTCGGAAACACTGACTTAAATTATAAAAATATTAATTTATAATCATAATAATTACTCAAATATCTAAAATAATATTAAAAAATCATACAATTATGATATGTGATTTCTTTTTAGTGAATTGTTTTTTTTATATGTATGTATGTATATATAACTACCAATAATTTTGCCCATTTGCCTTTCCCATATATTAAAACAAGTGACATTATTTCTGTAAATTAATAATAATAATAATAAATTAAAAATTTTCAAGTTCCAGACAGTATTATTGATAGATATAATACTGTCAGAATTTACACTGACACAATATAATTAATAACGTGAGGCCTATTTAAAGAGCATAATTATCACTAGTTACCCCAATAATCCTATTAATCTTAAAAAGTAATAATAATACAATAAAATTTTGCACTAGGTAGACATTTGATCAAACGTAATTGAATTATTACGTTTTTTTACTAGTATTTTTTACTAAGTACATTTAATATTTTTTTTGTTTTCAAAAGTCTTAAATGTATAAAATTACCAAAAAACTTTTGTTGAAAATTAAAATTAGACAACTTAAGTCAATATATATGCATGTGATTTGTTGAATTACCTTGTTTATTAACTTCCAGTAATGGCTTTTCTGATGTACAATTACTCTCTGTGTCAGCTGTTTTTAATTTTTTATTATTAGTTCTAGATCTTAGATCCAAATTGTGATGTTCTTGAATTATTAAAATAATTTGTAGTTGGTAGTATTTACTAGATCCTTGAAGCTTATATGGTCTAATAGATATACTTTGGTTCCAATCACGTCCAATGATTTGACATTCTTTAAGCCTGATTATTGTATGCCCAATTCTTTGTCTCCTAAATATATTTCCAAAACAAATATCTGGTGTTGTAAAACATTCAATTTTAATAACTTCATTTGTTGTTAGATAATATTTTAATGTATTTCTATCAATTTTCCATATAAATTCTTCATTAAAATTGATCCGATTTTTATTTGCAGATACAACCTTACTTTTCTTAGTTATATTAAAAATTGTTGTTTCAACTTCAACATTTCCTATAATAAATTCAAATCCTATTCCATACTGAATTTTAACTAAAACATTCAAATCATTTGCTAGTAACCTATACATTTTTTGGTATTTATCTAAAATTTGAAAATTTGATTATAATAATATTATGGTTACACATTTTAATATTATAACTAACCAAAAACTTACTTATATTGTAGTTATTATTATAAATATGTGTTTTAATGTTAATTAATTAACCTGCACAATAACAGTTATGATTGTGGTTTTACCTTAAATGAGTAAGCTAGTATTAACTAAAATAACATAGAATATACAAAATTAAGATCATTAGATAAACCCATAGATACTATATAATATTTTACCAAAGATATTACGCAAAATATTAGTTATGGTGTATAATAAAATATAATATATTTGGGCTGTTATTAAAATTTTCTATTAAGTGTTAGTTAGTGATAACAGTTAATTGTCATTAACTATTCTGTTGATATAATTTTTCCAGTTCACATTAATAATAACTGCTGGTTAGCACTATTAAACACATAATAGGACATTGTAAAAATAGCCCTTAGTGATAGAACATAGACTAAAGAGTATTGTTTCAGATTGTTTTATAGTTTAAAACTTATGAAATTTCCAACATTTTATTATTAACATTCAAAATATCATATAAGAAATGGATTTCAATTTAGAAAATTGTTTGGATGAAGGTTTGAAAAAATTAACAAGTGTGTTGTATAATTACATATATATATTTATATACAGAATTTATTACATTATTTAATATTTGTTTAATAAAAATTATTTATTTTTTTAGTTAAATCTTCAGATAAAAATAAGACAGAAGAAACTTATTTTCATGAAAGTATGAATCATAGTGACACAGGAATTTTAATTCTTAATAGATTATATAATAAAAATTTTCCTGCTTTTTATACACCAGTAAGTATTAACAATATTAAGAGTAACCAATGAATGTTTTTTTTTTTTTTCTTAATTGTCTGTGTTTTAAATTCACAAATTATAGTATATAAATAGAAGTATAGTATTACTATTTAAACTTCATTTTTCAACATTATAACTAATAATTTGCATTAATAAATTGGTTAAAATTGTCTTAATACTATATCAAATATTATTTATGTCTGTATAATTAATTGAATATTATATATTTCTAGCAAATTATTGAAGAAAATAACATTTTTAAATGTCAACTAAGAGCTGAATCTCGAGGACGTTTTTTTGAAAGAGAACTTTCAAAACTATTAACAAGTGATGAATTGAAAGTAATATCACAATTAAAACTAAAACATTTTTTTGTTCTATTTAATATACAACACAAATTTTGAACTATTTAATATTAAACCATATACAGAGTAATTCATTGAGTGTGTTCACCTCATTTTTTTTTTGGTTAAATTTTGCATGTTATATTCAAATTCAGTATTTTAGAATTTTTAAGTCTATTGAAAGCTGATGAGAAGATATTTCACTTTTTAAGTTTAAGTAGGGAAGATTAGTGAATTATCATTTGTATGGCATCACAAATTTATGGAAATTTTAATATAAGTTCTCATTTGAAAAACCCAATACCAATTTTGGTTCAGGATACTCTTTAAATATTATGAAAAATCTGAGTATTCAAAAATATCAGCTTTAACTATACTTAAAAGTTCCAAAATTTACCCCCAAAAAAATGAGGTGAGCGCGCTTAGTGAATCACCTGTATATAATATTTGTATATTTTTTAAACAATTAAGTACAAAAATGTATTAAAATGAGAATCTATTATATTCATTTATTTTTACCCTAGTACCTATGGTCATTACTTCAAGATTATCACACAATATTGAATGATTTTCAATTCAACCAGTACATTAATTATTTAAATTTTGTTAAAATCAAGGAGAAACTAAATGATAAATATAGGTATTTACACTTTAAATATTTTAATATTATTATAATTTAATGGTATTGTTATGTTTGTGTGATTTTATATTTTGTACAACTTATTTATTAGTATTATTTATTATACAATTATTCATATTATGTATTTCTAATTGTGTATTACAGAGTATTTTTTAAACCTAGTATATTTCTTCAATTAGAAGACCGTAAACTTAAGGGATATTTATCTATTGATATATTTTTTAATTACATAATGAAGAAAATATGGATAGATCAAACAAGAAATGGACTTTCTCAATATGATTCAAGTGGCTGTGGTTATCTTAGTGAATCGGTAACATAGTTTTAATTGTAACTGTTAACATAAAATATTTAAAATTTTAAAATCAATGAAATACAATTTTTTACCTAATATAATTTGTACACATTTTAGGACTTTGAAGCGTATATTTTGGATCTAATTCCAACATTAACACAGCTAGAAAAACTTGAAGAAATATTTTATTCTTTCTATGCATGTATGGTCATAAGAAAATTTTTCTTTTATTTAGACCCTTTACGAACTGGGAAAATACAAATCATTGATATCTTATCCTGTGGTTTTCTCGATGAACTTTTAGAGGTAAATAAATCAAATTTAAATTATTATTATTATATAAATTATAATGAAACTTATTTTTAATTCAGCTCCGTGAAGAAAATGTAAATACTGATATGCAAACAAAAAATTGGTTTTCTGTACCATCAGCACTTCGCATTTATTCATCCTATTTAGAACTGGATACAGATCATAATGGATTATTAAACCGCCAAGAAATATCAGGGTATTTTCAATAGAATTTTATGTTTTTCTATTTGAGTAATTAATAATACATTCAATATTATTTTGTTTCATATTTTGATTGTTGTAATTTCTGTATCTAATTGTTTATAGGTATAAATCTGGTACCTTTACTTCAGTATTTTTAGACAGAGTGTTCCAAGATGCATTTACATATGATGGTGAAATGGATTATAAGGGTTATTTAAACTTTGTTTTAGCTACAGAAAATCGTCATGAACCACAGTCTTTACGTTATTTGTTCAAATTTTTAGATATTAAAAATCAAGGATACTTGGATGCATTTACTATTAACTATTTTTCTCGGGTAAATATATATCAAATATTATACTAATATATTAATATAAATTATAAGTTTTAATAAAACTCCTAAATTATAAATTGAATATATTAATAATAATAATTATTATTATATTTATACATTTTTATAGGCTGTAGCAGATAGATTACCAAAGGAGCAACAATCAATGATTTCGTTGGAAGATATTAAGGATGAAATTTTTGATATGATTAAGCCAAAAGATCCTATGAAAATTACTCTGAAGGATGTTATTCACAGTAAAATGGGCCACACATTAATAAATATTTTGATAGACATCAATGGATTTTGGTCTTATGAATTTAGAGAATCCATAACAGCTAATCACAAAACTGATAATGGTTTTAGTGAAATTGGAAATTAATGAAGTTTGACATATTATTTTGTTACTTAGCATTTTTATTTCAGTTGTACTAAATATAACAATATAATACTTAATATATTTTTAACAATTAAAATTTTTTATATTTTGTTAATAAATTTTAATAATTATTAGTGATTTACAACAAACTTCAATCTGTAACATTTTATTTATTTACAAATCTACAATTATTTTTTCTAAAACAATATTAAAAATTTGAGAGGAAATATTTATTATTGCATTGTTCATTTTTGAAATATGAAACAGTTCAAATTTATTTAAAATGTTCATATCTTATATTAATACATTTAATATAACACATTTTAAATAATCTTTCTTATTAAAACAAATTATTTCTATGTAAACCGATTTGTATATTTTTTTTCTACGTATTCTTTCATTTAATTTTTTATATTCAATCCCAGTTTACATTTTGATTGTATTATACCTGATGATGAATTTTGAATTAGAAACCAGTTGTATAGTACACTTGACATAATACTCCAGGTGACACATTCATTTATTTATTTATTTTATTATTTTTACATATACATTTTTTATTTATATATCAGTAATAATCATTTTAATAAATTTGTTTTAACCTTATTATTTTATTACTTATTATGGCAGGCCAAGCCAATATTCCAACTCAGTTAATGAACAGAATTTAATATTTAAACATAAAATGAATGAATACCAATATGAATATCTGCTTCAATAAAACTTGTAAGAAATTGTAAGTTGTTACAAAATACATCAATATGCATATCAAATGTACATCTGAAGCTACAATCAAAGCCAGGAAAGTAGCAGAAACAATATGGTTGAACTCCTCAGGCAAAAAACCTGTAATAGTAGGAGGAATTAATAATTTAGAAACAATTTTATTCCAAAATTTAAATCACTTACAGATTTTACACTTTAAAAATCACATCCAAAAAAAATTACTACATAAGAAAAATGAGAAGTGGTGTAAGGTAAATGATAAAATTAACAATTTAGCAGCACAAAATACACAGCAATTACAACTTAAAAACCAGCATTATTTTAAACCACGAGTTACTTTTTAAATTCTATAGTTTTCAATAAAGTTGAAAACAATTAATTAAATATAGGTTATAAATTCTATACATATTAGACATCAAACTTTCAATCAAATAAGATGCAACTTAATAAACAGCACCAATAAAAAATACAAAAATAAGAATAAATAAATAAATAAATAAGAAATAGTTGCAGAGATAAATCTAATGCTATTGTTATCATTTATATTAATGAAATTCATAAAAAAAAACTTAAGATTTTATTAATAATAATAATATTCAAAACTTAACATATGACCCAACTATAATTTACACTAAACAAATTAATAAACTGATACACAAATTTGCAAGAAATCATACTTTAAGTTCAAAAGAAAATATTATTAAAATAAAAGCTCCACACTTACATCCATTTATAAAAATATATAAATAAGATAATCCAATTTTTCCATTAATTAACTTTAAAACTGCTCCAGCTTATAACCTTGCTAAATATTTAGACTCTCATAAAAGAAAAATTGAACATGAATAGTGATACATCTATGAAAAATCAATAATGATTTTATTGATAAAATTAATATTGTGCCAGGTTTCGAAATGATTTTTCTTGAAGTTAAAAATGTATATACATCCATTCTTAAACATGAAACATTCAATTTTTTTAAAAATAGACTAATACATAGTAATAAATTTTTTTTTTAATTTTTTTTTTTTTTTTTTTTTTTATTAGAAAATATACAATCTGTAAGTTAGTTTTACAATAAGAATATGGGCTATAATAAATTGACATGATTTTCTTGATAAAAGAAGTAACCCAGCAGCTACACTTTATTGGTACTTCTATATTTAAATTATTAAATATTGTCTTACTCATGTATTGGAGGAATTTCTTGAACTAGTTAATAATGTAAATGCGGGTGTAATGAATTTCTCTGTTCTTTTGTCTTAAATTTCTGGAATGTTAAGTATGTGTATTTGTATGGTTAAATAAGTCTCCTGATGGGTAATTTAATGGTAGGTAGAAAGCTACTTTAAAAATCATTTTTTGTGTATAAGTAATGCATTGATATCTGATCTATTTGTGCTTCTCCAACATATTATGCCATATTATAAAATTGAATTATACAACATCATGTATTTGTCTTATGATTGATTTATTAAGAAATCAAATTTTGTAAAATAATACAGTTAAGGTCCTCAGTTTATTTTTAATGTTCTGTACGTGTTCTGTCCACTTCAAGTTGAAATCAATTGTCACTCTTGATTTTATTGACGAAAAAAAGGCAGGCCATAATATTTATAACAGATGTCATGAATCGGAATTTAAGAAAACTAACGGACCTTCCGTCATTCAACATACTACACTTGATTGTCAAGTTACAAAGTTTAAATCTACATCAGACAGGAACACACTTTATCGATATTGATGTATGAGGGATCTAGTTTTAAAGTCTACAATCTTTATGTCACTAAATTTTCAGAAAACAAAAAAAACGAATAACTTAATCAAAAAACGCTTTTTTATCCGTATACTGATATCTCAAACCTTTTCATATAGTTACGCAAAGATGATTTACCAGTTTTTTGGTTATAAGGATAAAATTTTGTTTAGAAATTGTACAGTATAAAGCTAACAATTGGAGTTTGCTCACTTTGAAAGTAACTTCAAGACTATTCGATAAATTCATCCCTTTTTTTCCCCCTGTTTTGTTCAAAGGTTTACAAAAACTAAAATCGTTAGTAATTATTGTCGATTATAATTATTTTAATTATTTAAAAATATTAAAAATAAAAACATATTTAAAAAATACTTAAGATTAATAAGTAGGTAAGTCAATTTGCATACTGTCAATGGTATATGATGCAATATTATCTCTATTTGTATAATGTTATCGATAATGTCCGAGAATATTGGCATAATAATAATAATTATGTAAATATTTTAAACAGAATCATACTTGTCAAAGAAGATTGAAACTATTTGAAATTAAATATAATTTTCAAACTTAAAAAAGACGGACATAAAATACTTCGCACTTAGACATGGGTGTAGCCGTCGTTTTAGGTGGAAAGTTGGGAAGGTAGGAATGTAGGATACAGAAGGAAATTCGATGTATATCTGTAAGCACTGATAAACTATTGCTTACGAAAAAACGATTCTGAATGGAGTTCAGTTAATAGTAATGATTTGTCAACAATATATATGTCATATTACGGCAAAATAATATTAAATAGGCATATCTATTCTCTTTAATAATATTCATTTAAAATTGTACAGTTTTTCCCTGTTTTTCACATTTATTGGGAAAACTCTTGGGAAAATCAAAAAATTACCTCCCTAAAGTACCTTCTCAGTCAGATTTCCTTTTAGTAAAAGTACTATCATTGTAAACTGGATCAAATTTCTAGTAGAAAAAATGTCCACAAAAAAAAAATCGTTATCTTTTCTAATATATTTTTTACGTTTTCTCGTTTTTCCTCCGTTTTTTTTTTCAGTTTTTTTTATTTGATGAGGTTATTCCTAAAAAATTGAAAAATGACCGCCTTTAAGAAAATGTTTTGGTACTTTAAGTACCAAAAGCTTTTCTTTCAGAAAAAGGTTTACATTGTATACAATAAAATAAACTTTCTGGTAGAAAAAGTGTTCATATAAAAAAAAAAAGCAAAATAAATACCTTTTGTAAAACCAATACATTCTCCGTTACACTCAGAATTAAAAATACACTGAAGTTTGACCATTTCGCTCGAAAATAATGAATTATTTTAATTCAGCGATGAAAATTGCATATGAAATGAAATTTATTTAATTTTTCATGAAAATTGAAGTTTGTACATAATTGAAACTAAACACCTCTTTATTCTAAAGCTATATTTAGTTGCCTATAGTTGCCCCTTATTAATAAAATATGCAAACTAGTATTAGTATTGCAAACTATAATTATACACATTTCAATAATCAATATAATAGGTTTTCAACAAACAAAAATTGTGTAAGCATGCTTTCTGTAATGCAATGTTGCAATTTTTAATGGAATTCCCAATGACCTTGTATGGTTGACAAAAATTGCATTGTTTTATAATATTTTATTTCTGTGTAAGAATAAATTTCTTGTTGAAAAACCTATACCTAAAATTAAATGATTTCCAATGTATTAAAATAAATTTTCCAATTTTCGAAATATTTAAATAAATATTTCGGTGAGGTTCCTGTTCCAGCCTTTTCAAAGGGTTCTAGTTTTAGAGCTCGATCATAAGTATTCATAAAATACTTACGTTATTCACAACGTTCTACTTCATCCTAAATTTGTTGACACAATTCAAGTGCAAATTGATTGTATTATTATTTTAGGTACCTATTTGTTATTTAGTAAACTTTGAATATTGGAGAGAGTAATTGTTGCCCCTTAATTAAAAGTATTGTAAGTAGACAATTATAATATACAGTAGAAGCCGCTTATTAGGAACGCTGTGAGACCGAGGTGAAACGTGTCAGTTAACTGATTGTTTCTAATAAAAGATTGGCTTTAATATACGACCGGTCCGTTCCTATACATTTTGTTTCAATAACGCGATTGTATCAATTATCTGTGTTCCTAATAAGCGGCTTCTACTATATTTGTAAACACAGTCCACGGAGAATGCGGGAAAGAATATCACCGCCTAATATGCACGGAATGTTTGGTGTTCTCATATTTCGTATTTGATTTTACTGTAAATATAAATTGAATATAAAGTCAATAATTATTCTAAATGAAGCAAGGAATGTATTGGTTTTACAATGATGTTTGTTTTTTTGATATGTAAAAATATTTTTCTACCAGAATTATTGGTACCATTATGAAGTGTAGTAACTTTTTTAAAATTAAAATGTGTTACTTTGATTATTAAAATTTTTTACAATATAGTGAAATATACTTAAAATGTCTAAATTAAGAATTGTATGTTATATTATGTGATTTTATTTTTAATGTGTATTTATTTTTATTTTTAAGTCAAAATTAAGTTTGTGACCCCCCCATTGTAAATCACAGCACCAGAACGATACTGAGTACAGTGTACAGTACTGAGTACGATAACTCATTGGGGGTATGAAGTATAATTCAAACTTTATTATTTTGACGATGGCGAATCAGTCATACGACATGGGATCCTCATCCTTTGAAACCTGGGGCCTAGATGTTGGATATTGCAATCACCCCGATAGTTGCCCTACTGAGAAGAGGTATCCCAATCAAATTATTTACTAATTAACTATGTACACTGGTTTAAATATGTTTTAATAATAAACAAATTATTATTTTTTATAACTACTAACTTGTAAACAAAATCTTAAAATTATTATTACTAAAAATAAACTATATATTAAAAAAGGTAGATAAAACAATTTATTTAAATTTAAACAAATTGCAAATTGTATATTACCTAACCTTTGAAATTCACCTAATTTCACAGAGAGCCATGACGTGTGAAGAATTAGAGAAAAAGTTAGAAGAAAGCAAGCTCAGAGATGTTTCAAAAAAACAATATAAGATACTGGGCAATATGATGGTGGCAAGTTCTGGACAAATTACCGAGGAGTTTAATTTGTACAATAAAAAGTTAATAGAAAACAGTATCAAAAAACAACTATTTGAATCTGTCGAACAGTGTTTAAGGAAATTAATCGGAAAAAAAAATAACTACGGCGATCTAGGCGATCGTTGCAGTAATCTCGCTGAAACTTTGGAAGTGAGTCTTGCATATTATTAGGGGACAACGGGGTTAGTTGATACAATTTTGATATTTTTATCATTTTCATAAAGGTAGTCAGCCCATTTTATAGAGCCACACCTTAGCCAAATTTCAGTATACATTTGAATTGAAATAAACATATTTTAATTACACAAATTTATATTGAATGTGATCAGTTAAAATGTAACAACTTACCTCGTGGGGGGGAGGGTTAAGTAGTTACATTCTATGGGTAAAGTGTTATGCTACAGTAGCGCACACAGAGGGAGGTTCAAGAGGTTAAAACCCCTTCCGAAATGTCTTCGTTCATTAAATTTGTTTAAATCAAGTTTTACATTTAACAACATAATATTTTATACCACAGAATAAAATAAAATTGAATTTTGTCAAAAATAATTTTTTCAGTAATAATAGTGATATGTGCTATCCCCTCTCTAGAAAGTTATTATAAACAAAACCCCTCGCAAAAAAAAATCTTAAGTGCTCTACTGTTATACTATATCTTATATGTAACTACTTAAATCATGTATTTAAATAATATAAATATATTATATTTACTAAATTATAATCAATAGTAATGATTTTAAAATCCAATGTACAATTATTTTTAAAAACCTTGTAACTTTATTCTTAAAAAATTTCGATTTAACAACTGAACAACTATGTAATACTATTCAAAAAATAAACATCTTGTATTGGTAAAACCTTTTTGCATCAGTTTAAATACAAATTTAAATTTAACAACTACCTAAACAACTTTATAATAAAATTAATTCGAGATAATAAAGAAAACCCGGTTTTTTAGGTTGAAACAAATTGAAAGATTAAAAATAAAATTATTATTGGCAACCCTTTTTATTTATTTTAATCTTTTTTAAACAACCGTTGTCATGGAAACGCGTTTTGTTGTAATAATTTTACCATAATTAGCACGTAGGCGCAGCCACTGTTGTAGGCGAGAAGTTAAGAAGGTAGGATACAGACGGGAATTTAATGTATATCCGTAAACAACGATATATCATTGTTAAGGAAAAAACAATTCTGAGCTGAGTTCAGTTGATAGTGTTACTTTGTCAACAATATGTCATATTATGGTAAGACAAATACAACAATGCGCGTTTCCATGACAGCAATGATTGTTTAAAAAAGCTTAAAATAATAAAAACCTAGTAATAACAAAAAATAAATAAAAACGGTTGCCAACGATAACCTTATTTTTAATCTTTCAATCTTTTATAACCTAAAGAACTGGGTTTTTCTCATTATCTTGAATATTAATGAGAATTTTAAAAAATGACCTTTTAAAAGTACCATCCAGAGAAAATCCTTTCAGAAAATGTGCTATATTTGTAAATCGGAGTAAGGTTTCTGGTAGAAAGTGTTCATATAAAACAAAAAAAAAATAAAAATAAACATGACGAAGACTGCCCCTTTGTAATACTAGTTTAAAAAAAAATAACATTTTAACCATCTGTAATGGTAAAACTTTTGTAATAATTTACTCCTACTCAACTGTATCAAAACACAAACCCTAAACAAACTAATATATTATAAATCATTCTCATATAAAGATAAATTACTAAATTTGAAAGGTACCACTAGAATATGGTACTCTACAATATGCTTAAAAACAATTAAATATCAACTTGTCTTATCTTAAAACACTTTTTCGAAAGAAAAAAAAATATGTAATTCATTTTCTAAAATTTAGTTTTGATAAGAAAAAAACACGATAATGTGAATAAATTTTGTTATAATAAAGTTATAACAGTAAAATCATCCAACAACACAATCCATTTTATGAATTATGTATAGATATATTATAATATTATATGTGTCTACATAGTAAATACACTGGTTAATCCGACAGGATAATTTAACCATATCAGAAATTGTATTAGGCCACGTGTTTACTGCCAGAACCGAACAAAGGACCCTGGGGCAGAACTTGAAAATAGGCACTCTTTTTTTTAGTGTTGAGCCTTATTTTATAAAAGTAGATATGTTTTTCTAGACAAATAATTAGGACATTTTATTTTATTTTTTATCAGTTTTATCTTAAGTATATTTATCTAAAATAATTTATGTGGGTGTACAATAATTTATAATAATATGATTTAGGAGACCGGTATCACGTTAATAAACCAACTGCGCGCAACCATGAGAAGGAGCATTGAAATGTCTGAGGAATTGGAAAAACTCGAAAAAAGACTGGCCAAGTCGACAGAGAACAGAAAGTGGCTAAAAGAGTGCGAGGACAGCTTAGAGGAGTCGAAAAAAATGGATGAGGACCGGCAGGATAGAACAATAGCCCATTTGCGGGCAACGAAGAAACACTGGTCTGCTGAACTGGATCTGGTCAAATCGGACGTCAACAAAGAACTACTAAAGATCGGAAATCTAGACAAGATTGACAGTAAAATAATGTCGGATATAAATAAATATCGATTGGACGCGGACGAATTCATGACAAATCTGCGTTGTGAAAATGTTTGGTTAAAGAACGCCCAAAAAAAGTGTAAAAATACCGTAGATGAGTTACGCGAAGAAGCGGCCGTCCTAAAGGCGCTGTCGCGGTCGTACCGCAATAAAGGGGATAGTGAAGACTATCCGGTACTATCGGGTACCGGAAACTACCATGGCATGTCGGACGAATCGGACATTGAGTTTCTCAGACTTTTGGAATAATCTTACTCTATTACACCAAAAACATAAATATAATAGTTTAACTGACAACCATCATCCCAAGTCGTTAACCTGCGCAAACATTGTTTGCCTAGTTTTTCTGATTCTTGCTAATTTAACGGTAAAACATCGGCGCAAATAACAATCTTATTTAACGGTTTTTATAAATTATTTTCCTGCATCGCATAACCAGCGTCAACAACATTATTTTACTGGCGTATACGACCCTTCCTGAACTTGGCACTCCGCCAAAAGTCCTCACATTAACATTGATACCCCGCCAATTCTGCGTTTCTTCCCTTTACTTTACATCCCTTTCCCCGACCTTTCTTTGCCCTGGTCCTGTAGTGTATAAATTATAATTTTTAAACAGGCAACCATCATCTCAAGTTGTTAACCGGCGCAAACAACGCAAAACAATTTTTTTAAATTAAATTCTATATCGTTTTTATATTAAACATTATCTTATATCTTCTACCATTTGACTAATATTAATAAATAACTTGAAAAAAAAAACAGTTTTGTTAAATTTGTAAAATATTTTTAATTGAATATTTTTCTTGGGAAAACAGATTACACAGTAAATTGTATAATACAAAATTTTAAAAACCTCAAAAAGAACCATTAATAATTATTATATCATTTTATGATCATTAATACAGTCATCGAGTTATTTGTAAAAAACCATAAAACTACACTTTTCCTCGTTTTTTGTTTTTATCATGATTATCAAAAAAAAAGGAGTGTCGATCATCAAAAATTATAAAGTGAATTATTTAATTAAACGATGATTGAAATAAATAATTAGATCAATATGTCATGTTAAGAGTATGGCAAATAAAAAAATGAAGTTTTCTTTAAAATGTACTCTATACTGAAAGCTAGTTTAGCTATACAAGAAGGCAAACATAACCAAGCCAAAGAGCAATGAAAAGCTTCGTAAACTTATGCTTTTGAAAAGAATCGGCATTTATTCAACGTAAAACTAAAGTTAAATGCAATTTTTCAAGCACAAAATTGAGGCTGAAGCTCATACGTGTATAAATAAAAAGATACAACAATTGGCAGGGTTTAGTTTAGAAATCAACAATTTACTAGGGAATATTATTGTACTATCGGCATTCCTATGATATTTGTAAAATGTTTTAAGTTCAAACGGGAGGAAAATGAGAAAGTGTACGAAAAATATTAGGAGAATATTATGATTTTTTTTCTGTGGACAAATTTTCTCCCAATAATTTTGCTCCGATTTACAATGATAACACTTTTTCTAAAAGTAAATTATACTGGAATGGTACTTTAGAGAAGTAATTTTTTCAATTTTCTTAAAAGTTTTCCCGGAAAATGTGAAAACCGGGAAAAACAGGAAAATGGGATCAATATTAAACAAATATTATTAAATGAAATATATAATTATTTTATCATAATAGGACATATATATTATTGATCAAGGATTACTATCAACTGAACTTCGCTCAGATTCGTTTTTTCGTTAGCAATGTTTATCATTGCTCACAGATATACATTAAATTCCGTTCTGTATCTTACCTTTTCACACTTACAACAGTGTCTGTACCCGTCCGCATTATCCTAGAATAGCTCTTTTGTGTTTAAAATTGACAATATTATTTCTACTATTGAGATAAATTGTAAATAAATTGTATTGATGAACCGATGTGACTGATAATTGAATTAAAAAACTATGAGTTAATATTATAACTAACCAGTATATCTGTTGAAGTGCCGATTTATTTTTTTTACACTTTTTTCATATTTCAAGCAGTGTTTGGAAGGAACGAGTGACAAAATAAACGGATTCCCGGAAAGAATTCCTTTTTAAAGAACGGTATACTGAACTACTTCCTTTTTATAAAAAGCGAATGAGGAACGAACCGTGGTCTTTTTATCAAGGAAAAAGTACAAAATTAATTCCGTTCCTTCTTAGTTCTTATTTACACAAATATGTGAATAATCGAAATTAAAATATCTTTAATAATATATAAGAATCTATTTTCTGAGCGTATGTGCCAATTGGTGATCTCGTTATTGGCGTGCCGTTGTTAATTGTTATTATATTATTTTAGTCGCTGTAATATTAATATTTCTTATTAATAGAAATAATTGTTGCAGAAAATAGCAGGAACATAAAATAATATAGAATAATAAATATAATAATATAGAACAATAAAATCATTATATTATGATGCTGGTTGGTACTTGGGATTATGGGAAAAGGAACAAATTCCTTTTTTTAAGGAAAATGTCGAACACTTATTTCAAGAAACACTACAGACACTTTTCTCCAAAAATATCCCGTTCCACTTTAATACACAGCTGATCATCTTGTTTTTTTTGTCTTCCAGAAAAATTTGAAACTCTAAAATATAGGATAGGTGTTATTTCCGTAAGTCAATCAATAAGTGGAGGACATATTAATATAATACAAAATATATAGACTGCAGTCATTGAGAGGGATGAAATATAATATAATTGTATAATTATTATTGTATGTATATATATAGCAGCATTGAATAATAAAAATTAAACCGAGCGAGAGCACAAAAACTGACTTACTAACTAATCAAAATACACATAATATTATGTATAGGTAAATATATGATATAATAACACGCGTGTGTATAATATTATTCAATATAATATTCTAATAGTAAACATAATATTATACAATTAATTAAGAAAATAGTTGCCGTCGTAGTATTATAAAAAAAAAAAAAAATCATAATTTATACCTATATAAATGTATTATAATATATCGTTAAATAATAAATATATATTATCGTTATATTATACACTCGAAAGCAAAGAAAAAAAAAAAATAACAAATAAAATTATCGCTGCCATTTGTATATTATAATACATTATTATGTTATTTAATGATTTATAATATTATGTATGACACTGTTTTAATTATATTTTGATTATCTTGTAATATTTAAATATAAGCTCGATTTCTACATAATAATAATATTGTATACGACACAGTATGGAATATAATATACGATACAATGTTATTGTATCGTACAATTATATACAGGTGTTTTCATCGATTTCGGTATTTTAAAATTTACCGAATGGAAAAAAAAATAATGGCCAATAAGTTATACATACGCGAAACGGTTAACTATAATATATACGAAACCGTATGGTAATAATTAAATTCTAATAATTAATAGTATAATAATAATAATAATAATAATAATAATTATAAAGTAAGGAAAGAAAATAATAACAAAAGCGTTCTCCTTCTTGCAGGCCTTCTTAGTTTTATGTACATCAACATTTTGTATAATAATATTATTATATTATTTTGGATACGTGGCAGGACTTATACATGACATATATGCACAGAGCATAAGCAAATATTTAAAAAAAAAAAAAGTTGGTTAGTGTATTATATTTTTTAAAATTGTTTGATTTAATTAGAAATAATTTTTTTTTTTTTTTTTTTAACAACAAAATACGTACGAACAGCATATTTTTATAGGCTTATACAATATAATGGTACCTATAACCGATATAGTAATTAAGGGGTTGTAAGAGTGTTGAAGTACCTATATAATATTATATACGTTAGCCAGGATCTGGAGTAACCAAATCCCGAGCTCTATGTAAAGTTAAAACGATTTGCTTCGAATAATAACATTATTATTTTTAAAGTTGGAGTTCCTCTTGAGGAGCAAACAATTTTCAAACGCTCCCCTACCCCTACTCTCCTATATATTTACTATAAATATAAATTAAATAAAACAATAATAATTTGTTTAAACTAGGCGCGTAGAATTTATATTGAAATCAAGAGGCTGCGATCCTTACTTATACTAGGTACTGGCCTAATAATTAATATAATAATAGTGTAGGTATGTACATCAATTATTAATCGATACATTTTTAACTCGCGTGTTTTTATTGTAATCGGTACGAAACGTGGTATTATATCATTAATTATTTTACAAATTTTACAAGACGAATACAATTTCCAAAAGTGTTTGTACCTACCCATATATAGGTACAATATTATATAGTATTTAAGTTGTCCGAATGATAATTTAATAACAAAAACAACAACAAAATAATACTGTCATAATATTACGTACGGGTTTAAAAGTCAATATTATAATGCAATATGGCAGAGAACTATAAAATTTAAAAAAATAACTGTTTAAGAAGTACATTTTGATGATGTTTACGGGGTTATAGGAGCAACTAAGGGAGCGGGGAGCTTAGCTGACCCAAATAGACTATATTGGAGTGTTTTTTTTTTTTTTTTTTTGTCAAGATTCAGGATTTTGGAATTTCGGAGCTCAGGACTGTTAAAAAAAATAACAAAATATTATAATATAATGCAAGTTAAAAGAAAAATCGTGTAGACACGCAACTAATTACACTTAGCAAATTAGATACGTATAGGCAAATATTGTGGGGAAGGGGGATTAGAATAATTTCTAACCCCGATCTCAAAAAAAAAAAAAGGCTAGCAAATATCCACCATTAAGTAGGATTTTTTTTTAAGAAATTACAAAATCTATGACAAAAATAGCCCCTGAAATTTGGATCTAGTCTATACTATGGTATCATATTTATATTATCGTTGGAAATATTATTAAAAACTAGTGAATTGCGTAATCGTCGCATGTTTAATTACTAATACCTATATAATTACTTAAAATTGGTTAGACGTATGAGGTGTAATTACACGATTAATTATTACCTATGCGTATACGCGAATGTTTTTTGTTCAAACATTTTTATTTTTTATGATTTCAGCTATGTTTTACGAGATAACATCGTGTAGAATAGGCTTATATTATATGTACCTACCTATAATAATTATATGTTAATATAATATAATAATATAAGCGCAGTAATAAAAATAATAGTATCTAATATAATAATATTATATAGTGCGCCCGGTATAATGCGTCTTTGGTTAAATTGAAAAATATTGGTTTTTTTTTTTTTTGTTTTGCACCGGACCCTCTGCCCGCCAAGCCTTCCGCTCTCGAAGAGGTCGGCGGGCGCGCATACACGATATAATATATTAAATATTATACTATGAAAATATTATGTTTTGTCACGTTGAGTATTTTTAAATTTTTTTTTTTTCTGTATAATATATAAATATAATATTTTTATTATATAAAATGTTTTTTTTTTTTTCCGAGGCGAGGCCGTGCAGCTCTATATATAATAATGATGATGATGATTACGGTGACGGCGTTTAACAGACGGAAGCGGAAACGGCGACTGAGACCAACACGACGATAGCCGTGGCCACGGCGGCACTGCAAGACTGCTGTCGTAGACCGGATGACGCACCGCTCGAACCTCCCGCCGCCGAACCTTCTGTGGACAAGACGAAACGAGTTTTTCCAGTGAAACAATATTTAAAATTACGCTGCTGCCTATATGCATAAATTAACATATGGCAACAATAAATATTATTATACCTATATTATAATATAATAAACCATCATTATAAAAACCCACTCACCAACGGCAAACTCGGCATCTCGAAATCTCGCACGAGGGTGCACAAGTATCTTATCAAATACCGATAGGTAGGTGGTAACTACGGAATTGGATTCTCGATCGATTTTATATAGCACTGCAGTGAGACTGTTCGAATTGGTATTATTTTACAAAACATACGACATGGCGTTTTTAATTTTCTAACGAGATTTCAAATTCGTTATATTTCACATACTCATACCGCTTTTAAGAATACAAATATCTAAAAGATAACACCAACGTAGCACAAAACATGTTCTTATCCTTAAGTTTTATAATTAGTCAATTAACTCTATTACTAAAACTGATAACATAATCACAATGTTATCCCTGTTGAACTCGAATTTGATATATTTTATACGTTTAAGAATGAGACAGACAACACATCGTGGGTAGCACGTTTTATTTATCATAGGAAAGTTTAAATCGTTCTTGTATCGTCAAAATCTATTAAACTGTTATTAAATCAAAATTAGTTTTCAAAATAAATTCGTCAAACCCAAAACCACCTACAATTTTGTGTACATTTCGGTTTAAATTCCACTCTTTTTTTTTTTTTCGAAGACTATGATAGCCTTAACTACGGATTTTCATAGTAGGTTTTCTAGATAGTCTTATGTCTGTGTAAGATAGGAAGGATATTGTAGTTGATTTGTAATTCTGTTTTATTATTAAAATGATAGCTCGTCTGAAACAATTTTAATGTTACCTGTAGCTTTGTATTACAAGAACGTAACTAAAAACCTCTAACCCCCGCAGGTACGGCCTTGCCTGTAGACCACCCAGGAATCAATTTATCTATACATAATACCTATATAGACTATTTCGGAAAAAATTCGGTAATTGCGAACCAACTCGTAGGTGACCAAAAAGTTATACCAGGTGCAGTCAAACAAAGGGCTGATATAATATGTATTCATATAAAAAAATAATGTAAATTATAATAATTGTTAAAAACCGTTAAAAAGTCAGCTTAACCTCAACCCCCTCTCCCAACCGCTAATAACGAAATAATTTTAAATCAAATGAGTTACTAATTAGGTATTATCTAATATTATTTTTTACGAAAACATTGCTATAAATAATCGAAAAAAAAAGAGACCCGATATACTTTTATAATTAACTAACATAATATCCCTACATTAATCAACTCGAAATATATTTTTTTCGTTCATCAGGGGTTTAGCATTTAATTAAATAAAACCCAGAATTAATAAATTTCGCTTTTAGTCTATGGGCCACGGAATGTACCACGGCACACCTAGTTTACCCTGTATGTGCAAGTATATACCTATGCATATTGATATTAGGCTGACTCATTGTCAAATCACCAAAAACTGTATAATATGTATGATTATGTGTAATCACACATTAACCTAATTTGTACATAAAAAAAATGAATCCACTTTTTAAAAATGAAATTAAAGAGTATTCGTATTCGTTTTCATCAAATTATTTTTTTGTAAAAAGTATTTATTATTTATTATAGTTTTATCAAAAATGCATAATATAACTAATTTAAATTGATGCTGCGAATAACAATACGTGAAAATATAAACTTTAACGAAAGTAAATACTATAGGAAAAATGACGATAAAGACGCAAAAGTACTTATAGAAAAATAAAATTAAAAAAAATAGGTATAAATGAAACATATAAAAAAAATAGGTTTACTGTGAAATATAATTGCAGGTGACTTTTTTTTTATATACAAATGGTGTATTCGTACCCATTTCTCAAGTCTCTCATCAGATTTAAAATTTATCTTATTTAAATTAAAAATAATATACATTTATATTACATAAAAATCTGTTATGATCGTTATACCTAGTCATATTTCTAATATAAATTAGAAATATTTTATTAAGGTGGCATGTACTATAGTATTTATTTATTGTTTTAATGAAATATATTCTTCCAAAGTAAATCTTGTATTTCTGAATAGGGCGGTCAAAATATATTTTATAAAATATATGGAATGTGCTTATGAACCATTTACTATAGTGCACTAAACAGCAAAATAAAACGGATGCGGGAACGGTTAACATCTGTGATCTGCTTACTGCCTAATGTATTATGTTTTACCAGATAACAAAACACAATAAATATTATTGTAACCCTCGATTTTACCGAATAGTCAATGGGTTAGGCTGTCACTGTGCCAATGTATTTTACTAATTTGTCACGGTCGAATATAATCGAGTCAACGTTTTTTTTTTTTTTTTTTATAATAAGTGCCTATTCATTGTTAAAAATATAATCCTTAGAATTTAAAAATGAAAAAAAAAACAGTGCGTGTGACATACCTAATATATTATAACGAAATGTACAGTTGATACAATAAGTATCCGCAGTGTAATAAATACCGAACACGTCGTTGCGTTGTCGATAAGAACACAATAGAAGATAATATAAAATAATAAAATATATTATTTTATGCATACACAACTACATAAAAAGAAAAGAAAAATAACCGTCATTTATAAACAATTTATTTTATTTTTCAATGATTACTGCGTATAGTACCGTCTACAAAAACTTAACTATTTGTGGTTCGAGGGAGGAGAGCTACTAATATCAAAACGAAAAGGTGCCAAAGCCAAAACGGTTTAACTTCCGTACTTCTGAGTATTTTGCTTGATTTTACTAAGGAACAACAGTACGTTTTAATTTTTACCATACGAACAGATATCAATATTTTATGTACTCATAATTATTTTTTAAGATAGTAAAATAATGTACAGTTTGCCAACAAATATATATTTATCTTTACGTAAAGTTTATGAAGATACGCTCTTATGAAATACGAGTTACGTCAATTACGAATACCTAATTAAAAACTGTCACGTCTTGAAATTTAATTAAACAAAGAGTATAAATAATTGAAACCTATATAAAATATTATAGTATAGGTATTATTATATAAAAACATGAAAAGTCGAAATTAATATTATGAATGAATTGCAAATGTAGGTAGCTATTTCGAGTATTAGATCATATACAATGATAGCATTAAAATTTAAAAAAACAGCCAATTAAGAAAATAATATGTTATCTGCTGATTGCTCATTGTATTTAAGGTTGACCGTATATGAAACGCAGTTACTATTTTTATACGACTACGTACTTTGACAATTTGTTTTTGAAACATGGGTTCCTTTTGCGTTTTCAATAGGGCGGAGAGAATAAGTTTTCTTTAATTTAACTGTGGCGAAAATAATTCCACTTTCATTACTTTTGAGCTTTACAGGCTTTTCTGATACATATTTATAAAACCAAAACTACAAACGCCTAATAGATTTAGCAAACAATATACTATTCGCATTATCTATTTATATTAGAAAAATATAATTTGTATTTCCGTGTTATCGACCACTAATTTTTTTTTAGAATGTAGTTAAACCGTAAACAATGAAATCGATTGATGCAAATAATTGCGATTGCGTCTATTTGTTCACACCATTACGCGTAACAGTTACACATGTACACAATACATAGTATGTGTCAACAAACATTCCGGTTAGTATACCTATACTACATAATCATATCCTTTCAATGTTTATCTGTTGTATATCAAAATAATTTGTATAGATAATACATTATGCATATAGTATAGATGTGTATATGTTACAATTATTTCTAATAATTTAATTTATTAAACAAACAAATATCAAGTCTCGAGTGTAAATAATAAATACGTAACGTGAATATGTTTATGTCATAAACATAAACACGGTCATTTATTTATTTATTATTTTTTTTTTTTTTTTTGACAATAAAGTAAATATAAAAATACAACAGCCTATACAATTTAAGACCCTTGTTAATTTTGAAGAAAAATCATAAAAAAAAAAAAATTTAATTACCGCGGACTTTTTTTTGTATAGATCTTTCAGTTCTATATACAATTGTTTCAGATGTATACGATTTTGATTATCACTTATAGTACGTGTATAATATAATGGTGTTAAAACGGTTTGAAATGAAATCGTCTCGAACTGTGGCGTAAAATTTATTATTGTCGTGTAAACATTGAAAATAACACTTTAAAACGGTTTAAAAACGCCCGCACTACCGCCGGCCCGTACCTAGTTGAAGAAATTAAAGCCGTTTAGAACGTTTCAAACGGTTTATATCGGATAAACATAAACGCGTTTTCGAAACCATATCATTTGTTTTTTTTTTTTTTTTGTTTGTTCTTTGCCACGGTCAATTACTATTACACGTTGTTTCAAAAGTCTAGATCAAAACATCCCGATCTCTTTTTTTTTTTTTTTTATTTTCCATCAAATATTAATTTTAGAATTAAATGGTAACTGGCTATGATATTGTTATACAGTTAAATACATTTAAAGCGGACTCAAATAAAAACCGTATTAACGTCAACATAATATTATAACGTAGACGGGTACTTTTCAACGGATTAGGCAATATTGTGTAGCTACTCCACGAGGGCGCGCACACTTTTCCCCCGCGTGATCCGCTGATAATTGTACCGTTGAGATGGTCGGCTCCTACAAGTGTCAACGTTGATGAATAAACAATCAATTTATTATTATTATTATTATTACACCGACAACATCGTTGTGTTATCGTGTATTATTATTCAAACACATTATAGGTAATGGGTACGGCGGTGCGGCGCGTTGAACAAGGCCAAAACGACGCATTCGAATAAACGCTACGCGCGTACCTACAGAGTGAACGTGGCCGCGGGGCCAATTGTGCGATTCGTGCGTATAAAAACGCGAGTCACGAACCGTTCGACAGCCGTCTGTCACAGGCGCAAATAGGAAATTGCATTGACGGGGGCTCTTCTATCTTAAGAAAAAAAAAAAAAAAATTTCTCCCTTCCTAACATCGAATCGAAATATTTCTATACCATTGACAAATAATTTGTTTATAATAAATATGTATATTTATTATTGATTCATAAATAACAATAAATTGATTCAATAATAAGAAAATTAGATTGATTCCCCAGAGCGAAACCGTTCAATACTGATAACGTGTCAACATTTAACATTTTTAAATATTTTTTATATTTATGAACCCTATACCATACACACTTGCAGCATTGCTCATTCCGAATGTTTTCAATCTTCATATTATGGCAGAAAATGTTTGCCGTTTGCCCGTATTACTGTATTACTCGTATTAGGTATCCATATATTATTATAACTATGATATTATAAGAAGTGACGCCGGACTAATTTTTTGTATGTGTGACAGTAAGCATTAATTTATACCCACCCACCTCTACACGGTATTAAACTTAATGCGCTAACACCAATTAACAATTTTTTAAACTATACAATATTATTTTCATAAAGTATATTATTTCCTGAATAATGTTTACATTTTTGCATTATTTAATATTTTAACTTGTAAATAAAAATTTTTTTATTAGCATAGGGAGAAATTATTCATATGATAATTAGAAACCGGCACGTAGGCATTTAACATAGACAGGAATACATTGGTTTTACATTGATGTTTATTTTAGATTTTGTGCGTAGCTAGGGATCTAATGGTTTTACTATAATGTGTTGTTTTTATTATTATTTAATTTTTTCTATGGCTGTGAATAACTTTTCTACCAAAAATTTTGCTCCGAAGTATTAAGTTTTGCATTTTTTCTTTAAGGTTTTTAAGGCTTTTCTTTAAGACGCCGATGTTTTATTTTCTTAGAGGTTTTCAAAATAATTGTGACAAACGCAATAGAAAATAATAGGTAAAACGGCACATATTTACAGCACCCCACGGCGTTACCGACTTTATTATTTTAAGTTTGTATACACGATATTTTCTACCAAAAATAATGCTCCAGTCGAATGACAAGAAACCATATTTGTTAAATTCTTAATTTGATTGATGAGTCAGAAGGTCGGTTTTTAATTTTCCGTGTAGCTTTTAAATGATTGAGCGAAATCTCAAAAAAAAAAAAAAAAAACTTAGAGAGAAAATTTACGATAATAATACTTTAATTATTTTCAATTTTGTTTTTTTGTTGCAATTTTGTTAAAATATTCGTAGAGACTTGAAATTTAGACAGAGAACTTATATTTACTTTTTTAGAGAACGTAAAATGTTCAAAACATTTGAGCCATTCACGAGCTATTTATAAACATTATAATTTTGGGAGTTTTTACGAAATTTTTATTCGGTATAGGTACTCTTTGGACAAAATCGTTAGACCAAACTGAAATGCTTGAAAAGAGTTTCATTATATAAGTTGTATTTAGTTGCCAACAAGAAAAAGTTAAGTTTTATGTGGTATTTTTTTTTTTTATGTAAGAATTGTAATATCAAATTTTGACGAAAATCGTAAATATTACCAACAGTCTTTCAAAACATGTATAACCGAACTCTAAATATCGCCCGTCAAAAGCAAAAAATATGATTATAGTTACTCATACAGCAATATTATTATTATTATAACCTATATAGTTTTTATTATTTACGAATTTATTCTCTAGTACACGTTTAGCGCGTAAAACCGTAACGTCATCGTTCACAAAATATTTCAGGAAGAGTTTGGTGTCCGAGAGAAAAGGTCGTTAATGTTAGGCCAACCGGTTGGCGACTTCGCGAATTCCGTTCATTATTTATTTTTTTATGTAACTACATTTTAATGTTTTACCATTTTTAGATAGTATTTATGTAAAAAAAAAAAAAAAAAACAAAACAAAAATAGCGAAACCATTATTAATTCCGAATATCTGGCTATCATAAATTCGCAAGATTCACAAGTAATTTAATCGTGTACGCTTTTGGTCAGAACGTATTTTGGATGCACACTGCACAGACTACACAACCGGTATTTAAAAAAAAGATAAACCGGCCGACATAAATAGCCCATATAAATCATAAATCTTTTGCAAATAGTTCCGAATATTATCAATTGTTAAACACCTAATACTTATTACACGAGTATTACAATCATTCTGGAGTGTCGAATTATAAAATTACTAATTGTGTTCGCGCGAACGATATTGAAACTTAATTTCGTTTAAAATTTATAATTATTTCACACAATTGTACGATGCGTAACGGCCCGTTCTCACCATTCTATTCGCTCGCAGTGAATTTGATTTATGGCAGACGGGACGCCAGCCTATATTATGGGTGGCGATGATTATAAATTTACTACTCGCATTTTATACATATATAACATCCGGTTACATACATCTAGTTATTTTTTTTCTCCCATAAGAATCATTATATTATACTATAACCTTCGAAAAACCAAAATAATCGAGTAATTCGTGTATCATAAATATAACACATATAAAGGATCTGGTGTCATCGACCGAATAGCCTAATGAAAATTGTTTTAATAATGATAATAATAATATAATTGCGGGTTTACAAATTATTAATTTCGATAGTTTTTAATTATATGTATGCATATCAGTAACAAGGTCTCGCGTCTATAACCAAATATAAATCACTCGGATTCGCCACTTCAATATATGGTGTCAATACTCCGTTTGAAAATTATCAATAAGACCAATACGCTTTATACGCGCATTATTAGGTGCACGACTTGTATTACTCTATACACATCTCGCTCGTATATAATAATACTATGCGACGGTGCTACGGGGGATTTAACTCTGGAGTGCGGCCAACACATTAAACACTAAATCCATACGCAGACATTCCAATCTATAATATGCCCGCGATTTATAACGACAGTGCCCTGGTATATGTCACTGTAGATAATAAATCACTCTGTATATATATAATATAATAATACGTTCCGCCGTTAAACAAATAATTTACTCGTTCTCGTCGAGTGTAGGTGGTATAAAAACAAACCCATCTGCAGCGGCGCACGACGAGGGTTATTTTCTGTGCGCGTTTCACGATCGTAAAAATCCCCTTATCATCGTCGGCCCCGCTATACAAAACAAATCCTAGATAATCCGCCGAGGCTGTATAACAATAGAAAAGTACCGTATCACACTCTATAATATAATACACGTACAAACCTATAGAAAAAGCGCCGGCAATTAGTCGATTCGACTGAAGAACAATAGGAACCGCGGGGACAATATTCCGGGCTACCGGGAAATTTTGAAAAAGAGGTCCCCTACACGGGAAAAATACTGATAGCCTTTTTTTTTTTTGTTTTGTCTCTTATACGCGGACTAAACGCATACTCGGTTCTCCACTCGGTCGTGCCCGTCACTATACCGAGGGCCCCGGGGCAGGTCTATCCGCCCGTGGCGCTATCTCATGTACGCACTGTGACAAAGCAAATCGATATAAATTACAATAATATATACCCAGTACGAGTTAATCGTTTTACAGGCGTGTTGCTTTTAAATTTTTTTGTTTTCCAGTATTGTTTACAGCACGAGCGTATCATCAAAGCTTTGTCACGCACGCGAACGAGAATAACAATAATTGTTCGCTTTATAAGTACCTAACGTGAAAACTAAAAAAAATATATACATATATAAATATATATTATGTATTCGTCATTGCTGTTTACTCATTATAATAATATTATTTTCATTGTATTCACGCGGTAATGATTCAATCTATTTCGATTATGTTTTCCAATAGCATAATGTACAGTATGATACATATTATGATCGACTGTACGTTGAACGTTTTTCTATACTATAATTATAAAATCGAATTCAATTGAGGTTAATTGCCAAAATTCGGAATACCTAGCAGGAATAAAAAAAAAGGAAAAAAGAAAACGATGTCAATATAGTTAAATACCACACAATATTATCATATGGTACACGCAATAACGAATTTAAGTCTAGTTAAAGCAGATTGATAATATTCTTATCGCACCGACAGGTCATCAAATCGTTCGGTTCAATGGACAACAAATTATTATAATATCGTATTTTGGTGGGAAAAAAAAACGGTCGTGGTGTTTGAATTCGTTTAAAGTAGATGAGTAAGATAAGTACACTATGTATACCGCTTATATTAGGCCAACTAGATATACATGCGTAGCTATTATTGACGCGTAACGTGCAGAAAAAGTACTTGCATTATTATTATCTGCACGATTTATAATATTATAATGTAATGGCGATAATGATATACGTGTGCCGATTTACTTACTCAATACTTTTCCGTTTTCTTGTGTCTGGCCGCCGTCGTGTTGAGTAATTTCGTTGGCTTGATCGTCGTCCATTTTTCCGCCTAAAAATAAGTGATGTTTCTACGTGAGAGAATGCGTGAATACACAAGCTGGGTGCGTGCAATGGAGTAATAACAATAACTAACAATAAGTTCGAATGTTACGATGGGCGTATTTTTAATTTTTTTTTTTTCAATTACGCTAACGCAAAAATTCGACAAATGTTACGGCATGCACTGCGGTCTTTGTTCAGCCATAACGGGCAAATATTAGTGGGAAAAATCCGGATTTTGGATTTTAAAACATATATATATACAATTTTTTTTTTTTTTGAACTATTTAATACAAATATTTTTTACATAGAAAATATAAAAATATATGAAATAGCGAAACAGATTTCAAAAAAAAAAAAAAAAATTAAAAACTCTAATTTTGTAATCCAAATTTAGACTGTTCGGAATTTGAAGTCTGAAATCCTTATTTTCGGATAATCCGGATTTATGTCACCCGTCATCACTACAGCCAACATAACAAAAACATGTTTACGCGACATGCCAAGAAATCAACCGATTTCGCTTTTATAGAATACAAACACTTATTTATAAATTAATTAAAAGAGGACAATATTTTGAAGGGCGAAACTTAAAGATTTTTTTTTTTAAAAGTCAATCATTTAAAATTTTTTAAATAATCGTTATTTCTGAACCACGTGCTGAGCGTGTTATATTCGGAGCAACGAAAAAAACGTTACACACGAATATTGTCCTTTTCAAATTTTATAACAAGTTATGTTTTTACTTTAAAATCAAAATCAAGCGAGTTATAGTCAGGCCACGTAAATGTGTTTTGACTACCCGTTAGTAGGACTGAGACAGAAAATATAGGTGTGGCCTCATCGGTTTACATGAAATATTATCAATGAGTATAGTGGTAGTACTCAAATATAAATTTTGTTGGGTGAAAAAAAACTACCGATGTTAAAATGCGTATACACGATATTAAAATGTCTCGAATCCCTAATATACGTATATACTATGACTACGTCGATTCACGTACAATTTGTTTATTTTATTATTATTATTATTTTTTTTTTAATTAACTTTAAACGCGCGATGACCCAGAAAAGAAAAAAAAATATCTATTTGCATTACAGTGATAGGTATATTGCGTGTTCTTAGTGTCGTTAAAGTGTTAAATATCTAGGAAAAAAAAAACAAATAATTCAATTGCGAATGGTTTGAGACAATAAAAATAAAGTCGACCGGAAATTAATTACTTATAAACATTTTTTTTCCATGTTTTTCTTTTTGTCGACCCTGGTAAAATAAAGGATGTGTATTGGATATTTAGATTAACGCGAATAGTCGTATACCGCGGTACCTATCTGCCCGTGGCCGTCGAACACGGCACGACTAATAATAACAATACGCACGGAATTATCACGATGACTGCTCGACCGAAATTTATTGTTTAATACACATTTTTAACGTATATTATTATTTCCTTGGCTTTTTTTTTTTTTTTCTGCTTTTTCGTAGGAAAATTAATTTCATAATCTGGGTTTGATAATTATAAGTGAATAAAGTATAATATACAGACATATATCTGCACATTATAGGTACATTAATGTCAATACATTTACAATACACTAAACGTACTTAAACTACATTAAACGTAATGATATATCGTATTCAAAGCATGCCGAGCGCGTGACGGCTATGTGCATTGAATAAAAGGCACGTAAGTAATATTAGATAAATAAATGCGTTATCTACTTTTTGGGGTTTGCGATATTAACGCATACGCACTGTAATAATTAATTTAAAAAGGAAAAAAAAAAAACACGCATAATAATTATTATGATTCGATACAACGTGCAAACGAGAGCAATATTAAAATAGGGTAGACAGATTAAGTAGTGGGTTTATCCTATTTACGGTAATTCCGTCACACTGAACGTTATCCATTTTTGACGAGCTGAATTCGTCGGTACGGATATAGTTATATATGTGTAAAAATATACAATATTATATATTTATGTTGAACCTTGCAAAATATTGTCCGTTTTCGACTTTAATTTAAAAAAAAAAAAATAATGCACATTGATAAAATACGTTTTAAATCAATAAGCGGTGGGTAATATTACACATATACTTTCTAATGTCCGATTTTCGAAAGTATGATTGCTTTTTTTCAAAAATACGGTCTATAGATTATTAAAGAAATCGATTTTCAATTCACGGTTTTGAACACCTTCATAGTATTGAGATATAATTGTTTACATTTCCGTTGTTACAACCACATTACGGAATCACTGAATTTCGAAAATAAACACCGAATTTAAATGTAAAATTCTGTTTCCTGAATAAAACCTATAGGCGATTCGTCAACTAATCCATATACTCGGTTCGAAAATTGAAATCGTACAAAGGAAAATATAATATATTTAATTAGCCGCCGCTTATTCGTCTGAACCGCCATGTTTGTCGGTAAAAACGACCGTACCCATTCCTGCCCTTAAATGGATACCGCAGCAGTGGGTTAGCGGAAAAGTCCTATCGTTAAGGCAGTCGTCAAAAGACGACGAAAAATAATTTGCAAAATGTTACACGATCGGATAAAATGTGGAAAACCGTACGCAAACCCCTCGGTCGGTAACTGTTCGGCTCCATATACACCAGACAATAATATATTATTACGAAGTCTTAAACACATTCGATGCATACGTACCGGAGAACACGACGTCCGTGGACCAATCGGACCAACCGTGAACGTTGCGAGCCCGAAGGTGGGCCACGTAAGTGGTACCGGGTTGCAGGGACAGCGGTACTATGGCGGATCCGTCTGCTTGTGCCTGTCCAGCTTGGTCACCGCCGAACACGTAAGAGACGGTGTACCGACGCTCGTCGCCCGCGGCGCTGCCGCCGGCAGACGTCTCGACCACTTTTGGCTGCGGTCGTAGGTCAGCCCACGAAGTCGAAGGATCCTGTACACGCATCCAGACATGAGATCATAAAGTTCGTGTTACTATTGCAAAGCCGCAGGGTCGGATTAAGTACGGAGCTGCCCAGGAGCTCGGGTTTCCGACCCTGAAATATTGATGGGACCCGGAAAAGCCCTTTTTTCTCGGAACAATAATATTTTAACGTTGAACTTTTATTAAAAATTTGCAAATCTAAATTTTACTTTTACAATGCATCTCATTTTTTTTTTTTTATGCGGCTCGAATGCTCGTTAACAATATTTATATAATATTTGCGCATCTTTAACTTCTGGTAAGACGCCTAATATAGTTTCAAAAGAGAAAATTGAAAAAGAAGAGAGTATTTTTTTTGTACGGCGCCTATTGTGTTTTTAATTTAATTTTTATATTTACATTATATTACCGACTGTTACTATTTTCTACTCATATTAAACATTGTTTAAGAGGTGAAATCGAGTTATTAGTAATACGAGTATAAATAGTGTAAAGGCTGTTTGGACTAATGTTACGTACCTGTTGTCGTTTGTACTGCAACTGGTATTCCACCAGTGGCGACCAACTGTCCACGGTCCATCCTAGTTCGGGTGTCTTGGGGACGGTTCCGGCAGGTTCCTTGATCTCCACGTACGACGATTGCGGTTGAGCTGGTGAACCTGTACAATCGAGATTATAAACAATATGATGTTAATTATTGTAAATATTTTATAATACGCAATTATTATTTTAAATTATATTTTGTACGCATTAAATTAATTTCAAGTAATGCTTTCGTACCAGTCAGAGTTATGGGTTCCGAATAGGAGGTGCCCAATTTGTTGTCAGCCTTACAACGGTAACGCCCGAAGTCCTGAGGTCCTTGCACCTGTTTCACCTTCAACACGTAACTTGGTCCTGCCAACACCGCACTGCCGTTTATAGCATTCGATGAAGAAACTCTGTTGGAAGCGTATCGGCTGTTGGGTCCCTCGACGGTCAGAGGCTGCCACGATTCACTGGTGCCGATAATTTGTTCCTTTTCCCACGTGACTTGTGGTTTGGGGACCGCGTGCACCGAACACGCAATTTGAGCTGAGTACGTTTCTCCCGTGTTAATAACGCGTCGTAGTACGACTACATCCGGTCGGTCTATAAATTACACCGGATATCGATATATTAATGACTGCAGTAAACAATGAAAATAATGTTATTGTTACGAGGTGATCGTAAATTCCGCCCTCAATATGTTTTTTTTTTTTTTTCTGGAGTGTAAAATGTTTTATGTAGAATTAATGACTTATAGACATTTTTTACTTACTTTAACTTTTGTCGTTAAGTCGAAAAATGCCGTTTATAAATAATAATTTAATATTCGTATTTAATAATAAGTATAAATAATGTTTAAAAAAATTTTTTTAAATTTTTCTTTAAATCTCAAAAATCATTTACGAGTTCGTTACTGTATTAATACATATCGACTAAAATTCCGTTATTTTTATACCAAATGATTGTATTATTTATCCTTTATATACGTAATAAATTATATTAATTTATCACACATTTTAAATTATTTGAACCTGGTGCAGAAGCATTACACTTGATTATCATCTGTAGGCTGGTTTTTTTTTTTTTTGGGGGGGGGGGGCGAAATTTAAGTGATTCAATCATTGCTGTAGTATATTGTTTTTTATCTGTATATTTCTATATTTTATTGTATCTAGATGAATGAGAAATATTTTATCTGAGCAGTTGTTTGAGAAAGATAATTTAATTATCTAGATAAATCTTTTTTAATCGTAATTTATATTTTTATACTAGAAATAATAGGTAAAATATTTAATTTATATTAATTTACCTATGGTTTAACGAATAAATTATTAAGTTACATGAATCACACGAGCATAATGAAATCTAAACGTGTACAAAATCTGTTACATTTTTACTACTTTAAACACTTTTAGATTTGTAGTAGATAATGAATACAATTTTCTTTTTTCTTTTGTCTAGATAAAATGTTCCCGATTATTTATCTCTGTCTAGACGATTAAATTTTTAAGTAGTTTTTGTCTTCATCTAGATAATTATTATTCCAGCGATATTATCTTTTATCTGTATCTAGTAGATCATATTTTAACATGCATTTATTTATTCAACACTGGATAGGCACGAGCGGGTACTCACATTCAACTTCCAGTTCCAATGTCATACGGGGGGCGGCTATAGGGGTTCCTTGTATTGCACTTGAGGATTCGGTATTATGCGCAGTGCACTCGTAGACGCCGGCGTCGCGATACGCAGAAACAGATTCGATACGCACTTCTCTATTGTTCGATACAATGACCGTCGCAGGTGGTTGCGCTAAAGATGATGACGGATTTGAATCTTGGCCGGAAGATTGTACGGCTTGGTGCTGTTGATATTTGGCCTGCACGATAAATATTGCGCAATTTAATAAAACATACAATATAATTAATATAGGTATAACAATTATTAAGGATAGGGCTGACATCACTTTTTAACGAGATCGAATTTTCTGATTTATGTCTGCTAAACCGGTACCCGATAATTTAAATCGGACATCACGAGTATTGATTGCACTTAACCGGTGTATAGGTTGAAACCCCAGTCAATCTAATGTTTTTTTTTTTTCATATTCCAGAGACCAGTAGCATATTTACCCGGGGGGAGGGGGGTTCACGGTGGTTAAACACCTTCCAAATAACAATTTAATTTCCATAAAATGGCATCTATTAATGGATACCTTTGAAATATATACATGATTTTTCAATACGCCATTACCTCAGGCATAATAAGAAATTGTTCACCGAAAATATTGGGTTTTATATCGGTTTTGAAAACAAAAACTAATACCGATAAAACCACCGATATCGAGTATTGTTTTATGTAGCCTAAGATAATAGGAACGATTGCAGCCACTGTTATAGGTAATTTGATGTATACCCGTAAGCAACGATACACCGTTGTTTACGATGAAACGATTCTGAGCGGAGTTCAGTTGACAATGAAACTTTATCAAAAACATATCTCATTTTATTGTAAAATAATTAAATAGGCATTATACATTTTCTTTAATAATATTTGTTTAATGTAGTACCGATTCTCCCAGTTTTTCTACGTTTTTACCGGTTTTCCCATTTTTATCTTGGTTTTTTACATTTGGTGGAAAAACTCGTGAGAAAATCGAAAAATGACCTGCTTAAGTACTTTCCCACACTGATTTCCTTTCAGAAAAAGTGCTAGACGTAAAAATCGGAACAAGTCCTCTGGTAGAAAAGTTGTCAAAAAAAAAAAAAAAACATCTTCGTAAAACTATAAGCTTCATCGCTTCACTCAGAATCTAAAATGTAAATCATGAAATCTTTACGACGTAAATATTTATTCGTTTATCCCTACGTTTTTTCCCATTTTTTGTGAAAACCGCTTAAAAAATCAAAAAATAACCTTAAGTCTTAAGTCAATTGTGGCTATTTTTTCTTTTTTGGTCTAAATGACATAATTTTATTTATTACCAAAATTGAATTTCCTTGTATTGAAAAGTATATAAAATTATCTTTAGCTCTTCTTCCCTCAGATCAAAGATTTAATATAATATCGGTACTTACCTTCTTAGTCCATTGCACTGTCGGTTCTGGGTATCCAGCTGCGTTACATAACAGTTGCACCGGCTCACCTTCCTTCACCGTCACTTTTTTTACACCTAAAGTGTTTAAAAATCCTGTGGCACCAGACGCTGTCAACCCCAAAACTTTGGCTGGATCTATTTATATAGAAGAAAAGCATCATATATGTCAATCAAATTGAATATAATAGTCGAGAGCATTAAAATAACAGATACATAATAAAGTTATGGAGGTAATATTGAGCCCCATTAATACCGAAAACAACAAAAGCGAATAATTCGCATATAAGCCAAATTCAACGATAGAGCAGTGCTTGTAATAACGTCAAACTCGAACTAAGATGGGGGAGGGGGGCAGGAAGCAATAGCCATCAAACTTGGCAGTCTTTTAGGCACCCCTGGTTTCGTTTACTTATAGCGCTAATAAAATAGGTAATTGAATTATTCTTAAATATGAACTAATTTATATTATACACAATTTATAATTAAAAAACTGAATAAATGTGAAATCTATTCGAGTAGATATCTAAAAAAAATAAATATATATGTTTCCCAATAATTTTGTTCTTAATTTATCTCGTATTATGAATATATTAACAACAAAATAATTTAGACTGTCGATTTTAATCAGTAAATTAAAGTAACTTTCGATAAGAATGTATTATTATACATTTTTATAGACTACCACTCCCCTCACCTTACCATCAGTAAAAAAAAAACATTCAGACAATGGTCGTTCATTAACAATTATTTGTTAGTGCAATGTATTAAAATATGTTTACATAAAAAAAAAATGATTATTAGTTTTTACATCATATGCATACAAATTTTCTTTTTGCTTTTATTCACATTATTATTATAATATGTTCTGTGTTCTTGTATAATTTAATTTAATTTTAAATGCTTCTGTAAATGTTATTATAAATAACTTTATAGTTTTAAAAATAATTAAGTTTTGCAAGTTAGCTTCAAAAATAAAAACAAAAAATTGAATAAAAATAAAAAAGCATATTAAGATAATTTAAACAAATTTATGTTAAACTCGAGTAGTTGTATATAATTATAGATATAGTTATTATAATAATAAAATGTTTGATAATAATAGACACGGCGGTTTAGCTTTTTGATCACTTAATATTTGTATTAATAAAAATAAATAACAACAACTTCGGATAGTAAAATAATAATGAGTAAAACTGTGCAGAAAATTAGTAAAAATAAACAATACATTTTTAATAATTTCCAAATTGAAGCTAAAAAATATATATAATGGGTACGTTTTAAAATTAATTATTATCTATTATTCATAAAATTAGTCTTTTTTTTTTTTTGTTCTTATTAAAATATACTAAACATTTTTTTTTTATGTATTGAACATAATATATCGTTTAAAATGTTATAAGCTATAACAAATATGAACTTAAAAAAGTGCTTTACCATTCTGATGACAGAATATTGTAAAACAATGTTCAAAGTGTAAACAAGTATAATATATAATCTATATGTATTAATTTTAAATTATATATTATATTGTTTTTGTATATTCAAATAATTCATTAGGTTTCGATAAGTTGAGGTCACAAATTTTTCTGACATTATGTTAGATAAATCCAGTAAAACAGATTCATATTACTAGCCTAAAAAAAGTATTGACAATTATTTTAGAAAATATTGTATAAAATATAAAATGGATATGTTTTCGGCCGAAATAAGCTTAATATTTATTACAGTTTGTAAACGGTAAATTCATTATTTTAAAACTATTCAGATATATATATAAAAAAAAAAACAATTCGAGTACGTGAACAATTAATAACATTAAAGAAACAATTTTTTATTTAATTTCTGCATATAAAGACTTGATGTGATATAATCAAAAATGAAAAAATTCAGTTTCAAGAGTATTTTAATTTAGCAGTCCGTCTATATTGTGTATTAAATTCCCAAAACTGTAGTACAGCTTGATCTTGGAAAGGGATTTAATAAAATACATTTTAAAAAACGTATAAACACATGTTGAAAATATAATTAACTATTCCCAAGCAAAAATTTGTTGACCGAAAGAGATGATGTTTTTGAAATAAAAAACATAATTTGGAAACGATGTATTGCGAATAATTAATGGCGACGATATGATGGTATATAAATGTCATAGGCCATCTGGAAAATTGGTCTTTTTACAAAGGGATAGCCTATTTGTGAACTAATTATTTTTTTTTCAAACGGCCAGCTGTTTTTCAAGCTTATTGCAGACAGACTGATAGCATTTAGGCTTTTTAAGAACTAGAATTATTATATAGCAATTGTATTGGTATGAAGTAATTAGTACAAGAACTACAATTATTATAATATAATGATAATAATAATATTATTATCATTATACAGCAATTTTATTAGAATTTATTACTTGTACAAAAAAAAAATAATTATAATGTATAAACTCTGCCTTTTATATTTATTTAGTTTATTTAGTATTTATATTTACAAATTTATATGTATTTATTATTACGTGTTTTTTGTGGAATTTTGAGCTACACAATACATTATTTTTCTGACAAGCACATCTATTTGTCTAAATTCTTAAAATAGCCAGTTGTAATGTAGGTATAAAATATAAATTTACATTTACTTATATTATAAACAATATTACTTCATACCAATAAAATTTCTATGTAATAATTATAGTTCTTAAAAGGCCTAACTGCTATCAGTCTGTCTGCAATAAGCCTGAAAAACAGCCGTCCGTTTGGAAAAATAATAATTAGTTCGCAAACCTCTTTAGGCTACCTCTTTGCAAAGAGACTAGTATTTTTACAGAAAGACAAATTTTCCAGATGGCCTACGACATATATATGATATATGTTATAGGTAATAGGGAGTATATTTTTTCATGTTAAAATAATAATTTTACTATGATACAGATATTATTATTTTTTTTTTTTTTTAGAAGCTATGATGAAAACTACGAGCAATAATGTACAATATATAGTGAAGGTATAATAAATAAAATATATATACTTACGTATGACACGCAAAGTATGTGTTATTTCAACAGCAGGTTCTGACAGTATTCTGCATGTATACTGGGCAGAGTCCCAACGCGATACTTGTTCGATGACTAATGAATGATCGGATGATCCCTGCGTAGTATCCGCTTCCGAAGGAGATCCGGATTTAACTCTAGTATCCGCTGTTGAGGAAACACCGTCTGTCATTATGCTTTTGGTGCCGTTGATCCATATCACTGCGACATCATCAACTATAACAGATCGTGCACGAAACGAAATCACTTACAGGTGTTTATTTTTTTTTCCCCTATAATATGCGACATTCTCATTGTGTATCCGAAGTGTTTTTATGCGTGAATCAATGGCACTGAACCATGTTTTAAGAAGGTGAGCAGGTAAATAAAGTTATGTAAACCACCACGGCGTTTAAAAAACAAACTCCCATACTACACCCTTAATTAATATTCTATACGTATCAATTCGATAACAAAAATATGGCTCAAGTATACCCATCAAGGATCCACCACCACCATTAAAAGAAGGGGTCTACCCTTGACAGCTGGTTTTGGCGCCACTGGCATGGATAAAACATTGAATAAAATATTAATAAGCAGTTCGGTGATTTTCAACTAAAGTATATGATTGTATAAAGACTGCAAGGCTTTAAAAACTACAGAACATCTCTATTCCCTTCGCCAACTAATATTTACTAATATTTTCGCTAAGATAAAACAAATTAAAACTTATTCTTGTGTACGATGATACAATGAATGTTAATGGTAATGGTAATAATTTTGAATATTCATGAAGTATCGAATTATCGAATTCGAAAACTTCTTTTTTTTTTGAAATATATTTTAGTACAGCTAGCAAACTCTAATCCGGATCGCAGAATACATAAATGCATTCTCGAGTCTATATATAGAAGAGTGGGACTATAAGAAACAAAATTATGAATTAATGATGAGAAATTTAATATTAAAATAACGTAAATGGACGTGTCGCCCCGGTTCAGTTTTATCTATTTATTAATATAATATACTCGTATATATACATATTATGTAAAATAAAAGTGGTTTTATATTCACCCGAACCGACGATCTTGCACGGAAGGTTCACCGTTGTACCCTCGGCCGCCTCCACGAGTAAGCCTGCTGTCACTATGGTGGGCTGAATACTACTTTCGCCGATTTTTTCCCCTTGGTTTTCGCCTTTGACGGCCGCACTGTCAGCCATGACTCCGCTTATGTCATCGGTCATTTCCGCGTGTCTCTTATCAAAATGATGATAATCGTTTTGGACAATACCGTGGCCTGTGTTATGAACAAAATCCGGTCCGTATTGTTGACGCGATCCCTGCAGATCTGCAGCGTCGCGATCGTCCAGCAGAGAACGGCATTCGGCTGTGAAAAAAAAAAAAAACGACAATCAGTATTATACCGACTACCACGTATAATAAATATATTAGGTACTCGAATATTTTCTATAAAGTTTCCGAAAGTTTTTTACAAAACAAGACGATTTTACTTCCGGTATTTTAATATGAAACGCGAACACGCGATAGTGAAGTACGGTAGTACAAAAACTAAACCAATATTAGTTTTTCGGTATCGGGGATTATCTTTGCGGTATCCACAGGCAAACTTTGTTTTATAGCAAGCTCAGTCGATAAAAACAATAATCGTTATCATTTGGCCGGTAGGTCAACGAATCCATGTACGGGTAAATGCAAATTTAAAAATAATCGAAATGTGAATATATCCTTTTAGTTCGACTAGTATCATTAATTTGATGCTGTTTTTTTCCCAAAAAACTCGTTTGCATTATATTCACAAAAAAAAACAAATGCTAAAACACGCATAATAAACAAAAATATATTCCGATTACATGAAAATATACGAAATCAAATTGCGCATTCCGACATATTATTATACTAAGATTCAAATTTGTGTCTAGTATAGCTACTTTTTAATGTAATAAATACAATTATACAAAGGCGTACGATTCCGGGCCCTAGTGTTATGATTAGAGTCCGGATTTATATTCTGTTAAAACGTTTGAAATGTAATGTTTATATGCAATAAAAATTGATGAAATATTCCCAAAAGTATTCTTAATATTCTCAGAATGTTAAAAAAAAAAATCATTGATTGCTATACAATTCTCAGATCGTAGATTCGTGGGTATATCGGTATAAATATATATATATTTAGTGACGAGTTTAGACACAACAATTACCGAATCGGTGACTGGAAACAAACTCGACTAAAAAATCGACAATATGTCTGTAATATAATTCAACAAAGCGGGAAATATGGTAAAATATTACCGAAATATCCACTATACTCACTACAGTCACCTGACGCGCACTGGTATACGCGAAAAATACTTTTTTTCCCAACAGCGATTCTACAGGTTGTGAAACGCAACGACAAACTGCCGTCAGACGGGGGCGTAATACCGCGTTTGTTAAAAATATTATGTTTTTGCATAAAATATCGGGAAAAAAAAACATCGACCCCGGGGCACGTACAATCCCAGTAGCCCAGCATAAGTGAAGCATCGAGAGCATCTCGACTAGTACCACGTCACAGGACGTCCGCCGGATCTGCCCGCGGGGGAATTCGACCGGAACCGCGGCGATAACACATTAAGGATTTCTTGCACGCGCGCCGCCGCCGTCGGTCGCGACAAAAGGAATTGATAAAAAAAAAAAAAACCCCCGCACCATATATCATTACGATTTTCGCGTTTTTCCCCGCTTGAAATACACGCGATTGTGCACGGTATCGCCGCATTCGGACAGCGAACGGATGGCGCGGGCGAAAAATCGGAAAATGTTCGCCGGCGCGTGCGCGACGCGGCCGCGTGAATCGCCCGTCGCCGCACGAATTTCGCGCGCGTCCGGCGCATTATTCGTGCGGCACGGAGACCCGCGCGGCATTGTGTACTCTGCGCGCGTACGTGCGCGTGACGCTCCACTACGCCGACCGGGCGGTTCCTTATACGACGACCGACGACAATAATAATAATAATAATTGTACGGCGGGAATACTAAAAAGACGCGTAGGCGGCGGCGGCGGGAAAACTCGATCGCGAGCGGCGGCGGTACTGTAGACAACACCGAAATACAATTATTGTTATTTATAATTATTTACGATCATTGTTTTCGCGTCTTTATTTCTCGCCCACGAAATAACGCAATAGTACTATACACGATTGTTGTCATGACGTAGATACGGGACGGCAGTTGCGGCGGCGCGTATTGTTGTTTCGTCGACAATGATATATGTAATACAATAACGATAATGATAATGATATTATTATTGTTATTATTGTTATCGTTACGATGAAGCGCGGCGGCGGACGCGGAATAACGTCTCGCCACGTACCGACAGTGTCGTTTGGGGAAGCATTTTACCCACCCGCCCCCCTCCCCGCCACTCATGCCGTCTGCCCGCAAACATAATTCATGATTTATGTTGCATACACGGCCACAGTTATATGGGCGACATTTTTTTTCAAGATTCATTTGTATTGGATAATATAGCGTGATAATTGTATACGATATTTTTTTTTTATTACACTTTTTGTCAACATTGATCGCACTTTAGCGGAAATTGCCGGGTTCTCGCTACTCATAAGAGCCCGTGTACGTTTTCGGAGAGTGTCTATTCTTATTTAATTTATTCCATGATTACGCGTCCACGGTGACACGATTATATTTTTTTGTAAATACGTGTATTCTCCGTACACATATTGGCGCAAATGGAACATAAATCCGGGGAAAATGCACCTCAAATTAAATCTTCATATGGTGGCCGATATATTTTTAGTATCCCTCTATATATATTTAATAGGTATTTAATCATTGTTGTCCTTCGAAAAAATGGGTTATTCACGCCTATGACAATAAGTATAGAATGATTTAATGATAACTTGTTACCAAAAAGGATATTTTTATTGAGACGAAAATGTAATTGCGACGGATGAATTAGCGAGCGGTTTTTATTATGGGCCGGTCAAATCTTTTGCCCCCTCCTCTCGAAAACTAAAATGACGCCACTGACCCGGTGCTCGAATTGCAGTTATTAAACTTAACCCGACCCGTGGGGGGCTTAGCCCTCCACACCTCCCACACTAATTTCCAAACATAATTCAGACAATTCATGATTTCCGAAAACAAACACTATACCTACTGCCGGCTAAATTTTCCTTACATAGTACCTACTATAAAAGATATTATTTATTTTAGATTGTAATATGATGGTTACCACTACGATTCTATGTGATGACGTGTTAATTCTTTTTCTGTACGTGGACAACTTTTCTACCAAAAACCTTGCTCCAATTATCAACTTTAAAGGCGATGGTTCCTAGTAAAAACCGCTATCTCGTTGGTGCAATAAGAAGGTTTTTTTCGATTTTATTTACAGTGTTCTTAATTATGAGGAAACCCCTGGAAAAAACGAAGGGGAAACCTTAACTGTTACATTTGCTGATTCTGTTTTATTCTATTTAATTTATTCGATGATAAATAATCGTAGAGGTCAGAAATTCCATTGCATAATTTTATGGGTATAGTCCTTTATATACAGCTGCACTTTCCAGACATGGTAAAATTTTCAAAACATTCTTGCAAATTTTTCAGTTATACAGAAAAAGTTCAACATTGAATGTAGCGATTTGTTTTATAATCGCTCTAAGTTCAAATTTTAATGAAAATATATGTTGATAAAAATGCAAAATATACATCATGTTTTTACGACGATAGACAGTGCCGGATTCTCGGGTTGTTCAAAGGAGGCGGATTTTATTTAAAAAAAAAATGTATATATTAAACAATTATGGTAAACGCCATGGCACCCCACTCGTAACTCCCACTGCGTCCCATGCGTTCCACTTCGGACGAACAGTAAAGGTACGCTTAAATTTCTGAAAAATTAATTGAGATACTCCGTTCCCATGCGCCACCCTCAATTCGAGCACTGCACGTACCGCAGCGTTCGGTGCACACTATTGTACGCGCTCGCCGTGGCATTATTATTTTTTATTCGATAATAAATTTATTACCATCCTTATTAGTTATTATCATTAGTACGCGAGCGCAATGCAAGTAAGTGCACCGTATAAATAATATGACGTGTTGTCGCGAGGTTCAGCGCCGCGTTTGTCGGCGACGGCGACCGTTCGCGTCAACGACGTCTGAATATCAAACGGGACCGTAATAAGTACACGCATAATAGGCGCACATGGATACGAGACGTGTAACGACCGTAATCGGCGTAATTGCGTTTCCTGTGACGGGCCCAACGAGGTGTCGACGGATTATCGTTATTAGTCATCCGTAAACGCGGCCGGTATAATGACGGGGGTCGTCGAATTGACCCGTTAATAGCGTTATAATATTTGGGGCGGGGCGGTCAAACATATTTTAAATACGGGGCGCGAGTAGACGAGCGATTTAAAAACAAAACGGTTTTTAATCGGAGTGTTATTACTACGCGGGGATAGTGTTTGTCGTTGCGGGCCATCAAATCGCTATTTCGCGGATTATTATTATTTACGACGACGATCATACATAGAAATCCTCTCGAATTGCGATAATCTTTTCGGGAAACTAATTCAAAACGGATAACTCTACGAGGAATAATATTCTAAACATAATTGGTAAATTCAATAAGAAAAAAACGTATAGATCCTTAAATATAGAGGTAATAATAACCCCGGAGCTTTGGTCAAAAAGGGCCAATATCACTTTTCGGTGAAAATGAGTTACATGGCCAATCGTATAAAACCGAGTATGATTTTTCTAGTAGTAAAAGGGCGTATCCCAATAATCGTTATTGTGAGAATTGAAAAGACCGATGTTATTAAAAAAATTACTATTGCGATATAAAAAAGAGATTGACCCTGTTTGACCCAAACCCCCGAACTACATTTAACGTGGATTATGGATTCGTTTTGTTATACGGTTACAATTTATATCCACTAACAGTAAAGTTAGGTTAACTCGCTAGTGTTCCGACAAAAAAAAAAAAATACCTACTACCTAAACAAAATAACTCTATCTGTAAAAAAAAATCAAAAAATAAACACAATATATGTGTATTTATTTATAATTGTGTTTATTTAATCTTGTTTGAATGTCTGGTTTCACTCATCAAATTCTGATTAACGGATTGAATCCGAATAATGTATTTCAATCCGAAAACGGGTTGGTTAAATGAATGCGTTAGTTTAGAGTGATTACTAAAGTTCGGACGTTGAAGATTGATAAAACATTAGAAAGACAGTAAAATTTTTAAAAAAGCATACCTATCACAAATAATTATTTTTAAAAACTCATAATTTGATTGCTAATTTTGTATTATTCGTTTAATTTATTACATTTTTTAGCAAATAATATGACCGACAGTAAACAAATTTACAAAAAAGACGGACGGCGGCACGACGGGTGAGCCACTGTTGTAGTATGGGTGAGAAGTTGTTATGGGGATTTTTATTTATATCTGTACGCAACGATAAACCATTGCAAACGAAAAAAAGATTCGTTTCTTTTATACATGTACGTACATTTTCCCGTTTCTCCCAATTATTGTGAAAACCATTTGTAAAAAATAAAAAAAAAATTACCTTCTTAGAGTACCACCCAAATAAAATTTCCTTCTTTGAAAAGGTGCTACACAAGAAGCAAGATTTTTGGTAGAAAAATTGTTCACAAATAAAAAAAAAATAAACACCAATGAAATAAAATATGATACAATTCGAAATACAATAAGACGTTTCAAATACGTATAGATACAACACGTTTTATTGAAATAAAATAATTACAAAACGAAAAATAGTTATTTAAAAACTGAAAATAGATAAAAAAAAAAAAAAAAAACTCATTGAAAAAACAGAAAGTTGCTGATATTGTCGGCTTGATGTAAACTAGGAAGCGTATATTTTACGTCACCTACTTGAGAGGGACGCGAAAGAAATTCTCCGGTCGGCTCTTGTTAATAACATTACTAATTTATAATGTCGATAACGTGCAGATTTCGACGATAACGATAATTTAAACGTGGTATTTTGTCAAGTGTTTTGTTCACTCTTGGTATAAACACGATACAATTATTATATGCTTGAAAGAAAGCCAAGTATCGCCCAAATTCCCGGGTCGATGGAAAACACAACCGGTTTAGACGCGGGCGCCCGTCTCAAGGGGTAGGCGACACATGCCGGCGCCCGGGGCGGCGTTTAAAATCGTTAACGTAATATTTACACGTGTATAAAGGGCGACGAAACTTAAGTTTGCTCGGGTGCGTTCAAAGCTGGCGCTCGAGCCGGCCCGCGGCTGGGGAAAAAGACGCCGGAAAAACGTGACGATCGTCGGACATTTCGAACCGGACCGTCATCGCGCGTCGGGTTGCACGTGCCAACGTGCCGATAACGTGCACGCCCGAGGGCGCCCGCGGAGAGTCGGCGGGAGGGGGAGGAGAAAAAGGGGCCGTTGTCGCCCGCCTGGGATTTTAAACTTGTACGTGCTTTCGTCACACACAACGGCACGCCATTTTACCGGACGGCGGCAAAAAATGTTTCTGGAATAAAACGTTTTACCGTCTTGCCCCGGGCGAGATGTTATCCCGCGGGGCGCCGCCATATTGTGCATACCCGTTCGAATTCGACGAAAAGAAAAGGAACGCCGTGTAATATTACAGCCGGGGGATGATTCCGTTCGCGCGTGAAGCGGCCCGTTCCGAATAATAACAAACACGGAGACGTTAATACGCGACCCGGCATACACGCGTGCGTGGGTCTCGTTCGCGGACGAATAAAAAATCCTACCGAAATATGATACGGGTCCACGGTCCACCCGAGCGCCGCGGAGGTTGGGGCAGGTCACGAGTACGTGTACACGGTATCGCGTAATCTATTACTATTGTCTACGCGTTTCAGCAGCGTACACCCCCGCCGGCGGGGTACGAGACTTATTATTTTTTTTTTTTTTTTCGCCCGGCTCTCGGTTTTCCGACAACGACGACCGGCGACGGTCGTCATCATTACGGGCGTACGGCGACAATGCGACGGGGGCGGGGGGGGGGCCCGTGCGGCGCGCACCGCTACGCCGTCCGTACACGGTGTTTTCTACGCGCGTGAAATACGTTATCGGATTCCTCGGAATTCCTCGTCCGGCGACCCGCCTTCGCGGTGGGATGGAGATAGAGAGGGGGGGGGGTCCCGTATAACACAATCGATTATAACAGGCGATCGCAATCGCCGCGCGTACAATAATGTGTTATTATAATGTTTAGAGGGAAAAAACGCCGCCGCCGCGGCATATGTATGACACGCGTATTGTGCTCGGCGTATTGTTTGTCCGCCGACCAATAATTCGAACATGATCGCGGCCGACCCCGATTTTAACGATGCCATCGCCATCGCCTAGGGCGTAGTCCGCCGGCCATATTTCGTAGCGCGCGCTGTACACGTCCAGACCCCTTTTGGCCGCCGCCGCCGGCGTAATTTAATTAACTCGCGGCGGCGACGGCCACCACACGAAAAGCCCGCGCCGTCCGTCGGTTCGCGAGGGCGTAGTCGCCGGCGATTTCGCTCGATTGTACAGGTGCCGCAATGACGCCGCGACCCGTGCGTACGCGTGTACGTGGAACATGGCATTGCAGTTACCGCACGGCGGTTCAAAATTGAGAGAGAGAGAAAAAAAGAAAAGAAAAGATGGCCAAACGCGATTTTCGGAAATTTTCGAAAAACCGCAAACTATTGTGCGAGAACGCTTTCCGCGCCCGTTTGGTTATTCGAAAACGCCCGACTTGATCGAAAAATGTGACTCTTTACTTTTGAAACTACGTTTGAAGAAAACAAAAAACATTTTTTTTTTACCAATAAAATGTCTGTAACTTCGGTAACACTCTAGGTTTTTTTACGCTGTGGAATACAATTGAGGCGCCTGGAACACAAGGGGTATAAGCGACATTTTTTTGATTTCGAGAAAATCGAGTTTAAAGTTATTTGTATTTAATGCAATTATTATAGTACGTTGTCGTACTATCACTGTTCTTGTGTTCGATGATGAAAAAAAGTTTTGAACACTTGGCAGTTAAGATACACATGAGTGTGTTTATAGCTGTTGTGAATCCGTGTACCCATTTGCTTCTAATATGTCACGGCATTTTCATTTGAAGACTATTTTAGTGAGATCTAGTATTTTTTTGTTAGACCGCACAATAAAATGGAATGTATTTAGTTCAGCTGTGCTCTCAACTCGCAGATTTTTTAAAAACGTCGCTTATACCCCTTGCGTTCTAGGTGCCTCAATATTAACGTTTTTTTTTTTTTTATTTATTTATCAGTATAGATACCATTAGAGTATTTATCATCATTGTTGTAGAAACATTATATCTGCACTATCCATAATTGTAGCGATAACAAATTAACACCCGTTAGAGCTTCAGTTATACATGTTTTGATAACGCACGGTTTTTAACCGGTTCTTTCACCGACCTCCACCGCGCCAATATGATATACACTGGAAATATCTATAAGGTGTGTATAGACGGTTGGTAAATGCCGCCCACATTTGCCCCCAGGAAAACCGTAATTGACTTTTGGCCACTTATTTTTCAATTTTGAACCAGTGCGCACACCGCCCGCACGATACGCGTACGACGCATACGCCGTTTTTAAACGCGATTGTTGTAGCTCCTCGGCCGGCCGCCGACTAGCCTTCGTTCGTTTGAATTTCCCCGAGTAATTACGCGAAATCGGCGTCCGCGGGGCGCCCGAGGGCCGCCTTCAGGACTGCGGACGGGCGTGTGCGCGTCGCGCTGTAGCGCCCGTAACCTGCGCGCGTCAAGTATAATTGAACGTCGCGGGCCGCAGTTAAACGCACAGAGCTTACGCCTCCTATGCAGGCTCGTGCCGCGTATCACAAGCGTACGCGTACGTACCGGAGGCGTGGCCCGTCGCGCGATGTCCGGGCCGGTGACCCAGTGACCTTTCCGCCGCGACGGCCCGCGTCTTATGCACGCGACCGCGACGGGCACGAGCTCGAAATGTTCGCACGCGAACTTGTGTAATATTACTGATGCCGGCCGACACGGCAGGCGGACGAATGACGGGCACCGACGCGAAATGTCAACGACGACAAATGCCGCGTGCACAACAGACGACGACGGCCCGCCGCCGTCGCCCTGCGCCAAAGGGTTCAATAACCTCTCTGCCGGGCGCGGCAGACGACGCGGGGTAAGAAGAAAATAATAATAAAAAAAAAAAAAAAACCCAAATTCCGCGACGATCACGTCGCCGCCGTCTGTTTGTTCCGCCCCGCCGCCCCCGCAAAGTCGACGCGATACGCTACTCGGGTTTTGTTTTTTTTTTTTCCTTCTTCTTCTCTTTACCGCGCCACGCAATAATGTATCGTACGAATGACGAGCGGGAGACTACCGCGGGGGGAGGGNGGGGGGGGGGGGGGGGGGGGGGGGGAGGAACACGCCGACGACGTCGGTGCGCGCATAATAATATCGCAACTGGCTTTCTCCTCTTTACGGCCGCCGCGCCGTCGTTATATTACAGACCGAAACACACGTGGTAGTGGTGATGGTGGTGGTGGTAGTGTTTTTTTTTTTTCCCCGAGTCGTTTTCGCGACATCCGGAATTCAAGGAGAATTTTTTTTCGCCGGTTTTTTTTTTTTTTTCAATTTCGGATCGTACGTCCGCAGTAGCAGTGCGCCGCATTGCGGTTATTATACGCGCGCACATGCCTACCGTATTATTACGGATTCGCCAAATGCGTGCGGACGGTTTCGCAATAACTTTCGGCGCAGCGCGTATTTGCTCTATTCGAACGCGCGATTGTCATTCGGAGTAACGAAAACAATAATATTGAAAACAGAAAAAAATAATAATAACAATAATAATTCTCTGGCAAAGAGCCGGGATATTAACGCCACTGGCCCCGGCGGTCGTGGAGTCTCCGCCCCCCCCCCCGCGTATCACGCGGATCGATCACGCAGACAACAATGCAATAAGATTTGAATAATATTGACGCTGGGCCACTGAACCGGATAAAACGATCGCGGCGCGGCGGCGTTAGTTGGTGGCGGCGGGGGGAGGGGGGTGTAGAACGGCGCAGTCGTGTGTGTTTGCAACGCCGTTTCGAGGATATTTCACGCATCGGATACGTGATAAACATAGTCGCCGCGATCGAAAACCGCACCGCGGCTCCCGGCTTTTACGAGCGAACGAGCGGCGTTTGTCGAGAGGGCTACCTAAATAAAATAAATATTTTTATGCGTCTGTATTACGCGGGCATAACGCGGCTCGGCGTTCTTTTATGTGCGCGTTTTATATCGGCGTAATAGTTTTTTAGCTGTTGCGGAATCGACAGTAATAAATATTCTCCGCGATGGCGCGTTCGGAGTTTATTTTGGGAACGGGCCGCTGTGCCATGCGAGCGTACGATATCGCAGGAAATAGCTGTTGCAACAGTTTGCAGCGGCGCGGAAAGAGAATATAACCGTAGAACGTATTTATGGGCTATCGGGAAAACACGATAAAACGATAGTATTATAACGGCGAGCACATTCTGCGTTGCGCGTGCACAACAACAATATCGGCGAGTAACGGCGAGAGGACGGCGGGCGCGAGGGCCGCCGCCGGAGAAATACGAATGAGAGAGAGAGAGAGAGAGAGAGAAAAAAAAAGGAAGGAAAAAAGAAAAAGACCTAACCGTCCGCGCGGCCAACGGTCGGGGCGGACGGGCACCGGGACGACGGGGACTTGGGGGAGGACACGGGCGGCGGGCGCGAACGACGAGACGCTCGGGTACGATGTGTGTCGATGACGAGGGCGATGTCGGGGAAATATCGAACGCGCAACGCGAACGGCGATAATATAATAAACGTATTATAATAGAGTGATGGTTCTACAGATGTGAACGGACCACACGTCAAGCTGCGAGGGACGGCGGCGGCGGCGGCGTCGGCGGGTAATGCGTATAATAAGAGCATTCTGTTAATTACCAGCGCCGTTGTATACGTACGCGTACACACATCATGTTGTATTATATTATGTGTATAGACGTTGCAGAGTAAATTTATATGTATAATATTATACTACGAAATATACGACGGCGACGGCCGAACATGTGGAAGACGAAGTTTATGAAACAAAATATAATTTATATATATATACGTAACGAGGACGACGGCGAGGAGACGGTCGGGGGGGGGTCGCGGGGGGAATCAACGGCTGCAGTATTATAATATTATAACGTTATGCTGGTGGCGATGACGAAACGACTGTGGAATTCCGGAAGGGACGGGGGGGGCGGAAGGGGGGTCCGTTGGTCGGCGGCTAGGCTGCAGATGACTAAACGGCGTACTGCGCGCACGCACACACACACACACACACACATCACACCGACCGGTGATGATGATGACGATGATGACGATGACGATGACGACGATGCTGCAGCGCGTATTACATAGAGAGCACGATCGTTGGCGCGCGCGGCAATGTACGACGGGATAAGAGAGAGAAAAAAAGAAGAGAATCGGAGGGGGCGGAGACGACGCGCGCTATTTAAGTATAATATTTTTATTTTTTTTTTTTTGTCCTCCGTCGGCGGAGTGCGGGTGTCAAGGCGACAACGTCCGCCGGTGGAGGTGACATCATCATCGCGCGTCGCTTGCTCCGGCGGCGCGCAAGAAAAAGATCTCTCGACCTCTGGTGCGCGTGCTTGGACGCGCGCGTGTCCCGCCGTCCGCACGGACCGCATAGACGGTAGAGAGACGTAATAGTAATAACGATAATGTACGCGTATGCACGACGTACACATACACCGCACGATATGTTTGTGTGTACGCGTAATGTGTGCCCAATAATAATAACGTGCACGGCGGCGCGCGCGCGTGTAATAATATAACAGTGTACACGGTGAGTAACCAATAACCAATAATAACCGCGAGCGGTCATACGCCACGGAACGTTGTCGCGCCGACGCGGCGGCGCGGGGCTAGCCGAATCCGCCAAAGAGATTTATTTATTTAATATTTTTTATTTGTCCGGCGGGCGTCCGGAACGCGTGCGCTCGTGTGAAAGACAGAGAAAAATGATTTGAAATATCAAATATTATGATAAGCATCTGCAAGGGCTATATTTACATATGCGCGCGCGCGTACGGCACACGTTCGACAACGCCGGCGGTATAATAACAAGACACTCCGGGGTCTTTGAGAGCGCGCGCGGTGCACAACGCAAACGGCCGCGATAACATGTGTAATATCGTGCGTTATAATTGTGTCTAAATCCGAATGAGTGTGCCCGCCGACACGACGACGGCCGACGGCGATAGAAAAAAGACGCGCGGACGGTCGTCGCATCGCGGTCGCCACTGCGATTCCGCAACGGGGAACGACTGCGCGAACGTTTTGACACCGTCAAAGCAGTTACGTCGAACTGTATTCCCGCGTGCGTGTGTTACAACGGCGAAATCCGCGGTGAACCAATGGCGGACCCCGAAGACCGTCTAAAACGGGAACGGGGTGCGCGAATCGGTGTCGCAATAAAGTTATGCCGAAAACAAGGGGATGCGGGTCTAAAATTTTATTCGTAAAATTATCTACCGTACCGTTGTAATCGTGTCATTAACGTTCTAACGTACACCACTGGACCGCCCCCCACCCCCCCTATAACTTTCCCCCTCGGTCGACGAGTCGGACGTCCGCGGTATAGTGTTCGGCGATTGTAAACTGCGTCCAAAACACAAAATCGCATGAGTAAAACAACGCCCGAATAGAATTATAACAGTTAATAGCTCTGTACTTTTGCAAAATGAAATACGCAAAACGTTGTTTTTGAAGGTTTTGATCGCTTTCAACGATTTCCGGGCGTGGTTTACATTTTGTTCTGTTATTATCTGTTGTCATCGCATACGGTAGTTTTTGAAGACGCTTAGCAAGTTTTCATTGAACACACCGACACTATTTAACTTCGTCCGAACTTAGAGGCCGATTAATTTGGTGAAACTTAAAATTTGAAATTATTTTCAAGCACTTTTCGCGCGCTGCGACACCAATACATTGTCCTCGTCGACTCGGCTGATTGTTAAACTAATAGGACACGGGTACTAGCAGAACGATGCCGATGACTGGTATAGTGATTACTGATTACTATCAATAGTCGGATAAACGGATCGGTATTTTCACACTATTTGATTTTACCGAATGTCTCATTTGTAGTCATGTGCCGAATACTTAAATATTTGTGTGAGTGTCGAATGAGTTTGTACAGAAAATTAACTTAAATTTCATAAAATACGATAATAACAAACGGGGCGCAGTTTTACGCCTTTTTAGCATGGATAAAAATTTGGGCACAGTTACAGAAAAAAAAAAAAAGTCGTTTAGACGCAGTTTACGTATATGCCCGTATAATCCGAGTAACGATTTGTAAAAAAAAATCCCAAGAAGGACGATCGCCAAATCAGCCCCCTTCCCTTGCGGTACAATTTATAAATCGGTTTGGAATATTTTCATTATAATATTAAATAAATACGGCGGAAGTATCTTTAAACGGTTGTTTGTAACCCTACACAATATACGCCGAAATCACTGGAAGGATTGAGTTTAAACTTTGCACCATTTAGTTCTGAACCAGGAATAGCATACAGGTTATTTTTTCCCTTCCGGATTCAACCTCTAAATGGGGGCTGACACAAGGTTATTGGTATTCTGTGAACGGAAATCTAATTATTTTTGTTGAAAACAAAAAAAATCAATTACTATCAGTTATTTTGGTTGTCACGAGCAAAGAAGTACCCTTTTAAAAAAAAATTACCTTCCAACAACGATTAAGTGTGTAGAGGTTGAGAGCAAAACGGAAAATCACGAGGAAACACTTTTTTTTTTTCGTTCACTACTGACACGGGCAAAGCTGTGCGTGACAGCTAGTGGATTATACGTGAGATGAAAAGATGCGGGACCAATATTGTTTTCCCGTTGGTTATATATATAAAAAAAAAAAAATCAAGCAAATTTAATGATTCCATAAAGCATAGAACCGTATTATATAGATTATTATTATTACACGTTAGTTTTCCACACGACGGAACAAAACAAACCGACTTTAGTACAGATATAATAAATTGGATTGTTATAATAGTTATTTACGCACGTAATATCCCATTATAAAAAAGTTCCATTGTTTCAAATATGTTTATCGATCGTTATTTGATACATTCATATTTCGAGAAATTCGAACTTTAAAACTGATAAAATATTACAGTTTTCTCTCTTCGTGATTGAACCGATAGCGGTGAACGATCTGTTTTCTTATAAAATATACTACAATAACAATTATATTGTAGACAATTATACATCATATAAAATTACTTAATAGACAAATGTATTCAAATAATAAAAGTGAGTTACAGCATTCGGATATATTCAATTATATATATATATATATATATATATATATACACTTTCTAAATGAATTCTATTAATTTTGTTCGGAAATAAAAAAAAATATTCACCAACGTTGTCAAAATCATAATATTATAAATGAAGTGTATAGACAATTTTTAGACCGACAGCAATTCATTCAGCACAATAATGAACGATTGATAATATTTTACAAGTTGTTCTTCTAAAAATATAATTTTGTTTACTTGTAAAAAAAAATAAAACCTAAAACAATTTTCTATATGACAATTCCCTATAGTGACTACAGTATTTGTAGTGATCACACGTCATAAAATATTCAAGTACGCTCCGAAATATGTTACACAAATGTTTACTATCCCTGTCAAATATGAACGATTTTGACATACCTGTTGTATTTGCTTTTTTACAGTCAAAATCTGTATAGAAATATGATAATAACGAAGAAAAAAAATACGCGAGTCGTATTTTATGATTATATTTTTTTTTTTCATTTATTTACTTCAACTGTCTGCCGATGTATATATCAAATAAAAATTAAATTCCACAATATTTACACGCAGACTTTAAAATATCTAAAACGCATTACTTAAATCCGTTGCTGTATATACATAATATATGGTTAAAATTATTGGGACAAAGGCCGCGGTTTAATAATTTAAGCGCATTTTATAAAAAATAACAGTGATTAACATGATTTATTGACGGACAATGTGTTCCTATAGCACACTACACGTTGGTATGCAGAGAGAATCAAAGCGTTTTTCGGATTAGGTGTATGAATTTTTTTTTTTTCCTACCGTCTGAACTATAGAAACAATAAAACTACAGAGAAATTTGATATTTATATAACTGAATATTAAATTACAAATCCGCCAGCAACAATAATGCATTTCGCGAGTTACGCAATTGAGAAATGAAAAACAAATATCTTATGGAAACATAACGGTCGGCTGGTACTGTACAAATACGAACCATATAATACGAGTTCGGTGCAATAAACTCGGGAAATTTGTATATATTTCTGAATAAACAAAACAATAAATCGAATAAGAACGGAATTTCGCAATGTTATGACCGTTTGAAAACAAATGGGCTCCCAATTTAAACAGTAACGATTTATTATTATATTATCATCATCGTGAAAGAGGACGCCGCACCGACATCTATTGTTTCCGTTTTACAAAAGCGAGACATAACAAATTCCCTAAAGGAGATTACACAATCCCTGGCGTTGATGTTTTTTTCGATATTTTATTTTTTTAGCGAGATGTAATCATTTTTAAATTGTGATAGTTAACACACTCATATCTCATTTAAAAATAAAAACATCGAAAAATCGTCAACGCAAGAACACATAATAAAATTCCCTTGCTTTCAATTTTGATTAGGTTTGTTATAAAACTAACGGCACAAAATGTATAATAGTATACGTATATGTAAAGTAAGTCTATAATATACGTTTAGTGGTATAAAACTACTAAACGCAAATTTGCTATGTCCCGCGTTTGTAAGACGGAGACAGTAGAAGTCGCGGTGTCGCGTCCTTTTAATTTTTCGTTTTCACCCAGTGGCGTGCACAGGGGAAGTAGATTAGGGGTTACACTCCCCTAATAACCCTCCCTCATCGGCTTTTTAATACGAACACTACGAGCGATTATAGTAATTTATTCTTGAAACGTATTCTCGATTTATTGATGTTGTTTTTTTGGATCCTGTTTTTTGTCCTATCCATTAAAGAGCGCCCGGAGGTGAAAATTAAGAAGGGAGCAGCTTTAATTTTTATAAATAATTAAATACTTTTATTAATGTATTATGTGTAATTTCAAAACTGTTCAAAGATATTATAATATAACATTAAATTTTACACTTATTGAACAATTTTATTTTATTTTTCCCAAATTTATCAACAATTTTTTCTACTCGAGTCCTTCGAACTTTTTCCTATATATACTTGACGTACATAATCCGGATCACACACTTTAGATAATACCGCAAAACAGCTATCCACAAACGATCGGCTGTATAGTGGTTGGTACGAACTTCGAATCATAGGGCATGAATCGGAGGATATCGTGACAGTAAATTAACGGAATTCTATCGTCACGAAGAGTATTTCTGTCGACTAGGTCGGTGCCAGTCAAGGTGTATTGATAAAGTATTGACAAATATCAATACATCACCTTATCGGTAGGTACCAATAATGAAGTTTTGGATTTTGGGACATTGAATTCGGATATAAATATTTTGGCTTGCTGGAAAGCTAAGGGAGAAGTTGTCCCTCCCGCCTGTTCCCCCCCCTTGTAGGCGTCAATGTATCCGTCGCTTTTTTATTGCCTACGGGTAAAATATAATAATCGGTCGGCTTATTACGAGGCCGGTCGGACCGTCATAGAGCGACGAATAAATAACAAGACGACGACGATAACGAGACGGAACGAGCGAGTGACGTTTTCGAGTGCGCCGCCCGATGACAAACGCCGAACACGCCGAGCTTTATGTACGCCGAGTCTCTTGTCGAGGAAATAATAAAATACAATTTTTTTTTTTCTTCTTCTTTTTTTTGTTTTATTACATCGTCTAGTGTAACACACCACGATATTACGGACGCGCCCTCGATATCGGTATGTCATATAGTTGTTATTTACGATTTATTACACATACCGCCGCTACGTAGAGAGGACGGCGAAAAAATATAATTGCCGCGGCGGCGGCGACCCAGCGATATGTCGTCGCGTTGCTCAATCATAATATAATAATAATTATTATTAATAACTCGCGCGTCGAGGTCTCTCTCGCGCGATGAGAAAAAAAAAAATATAAAAATATGTGTGCGTGTGAAAAAACAGCAAATGGGAAATCTATCCCGCGCGGACGTTATTTATATTTTATTTATTGGCCGCCGACAGTAACGAACAGCGACACTGTCAAACGCTGCGGCATCGCGGTCCCGTCCCGCCGCGGTCGTTACGAAAACCTCCGAAGAGGCGGCCGCCCGATATAATACGCGATTATTGTGCGTCACACGCATTCGCGTACCCACGCGCGATAACGACGTAATATTTTATTATATTACGTATTTTGTAATAAATCCATGGACGACATTTATTGTGCCTATACATCATTGGGATCTCGTCACCAATCGCCGTCGCCGCCGATGCTTTTCAATATTTTATCGGCACACCGCCGTCGATAATAACGATTGATACGTCAACTGTCGCGAGCCGTCCGATAAAGTTATAATAATAATAATAATAGTAATTGTCCGGTATAATAACAATACGCCGCTTTTATAGGCCCGTAATTTATCGTCGAAACGATGTATCAATGAAAAAGTATCCGCGCTCAATAAGTGGTCGACCACTCGTAATAGGTACCTAATAACAACAACAGCAATATTATTATTATTATTTATTTATATACCCGTATACATATAGGCGGATATTACAATAACAATATTATTATATTTTCGAACATATTATATTACACGCGGCACTCGTCAAGAACCGTATTACATCGATTCAACGATGAGTACGTACTGCAACAGTATAAAACATGATGAGTGTCACTATATTTTTAAACATTCGTACATTCTTGACGGTTTTTTTTTCCCCCGTACATATATTACTCGTATTTATAATAAAAAATAAATAAATAAATAAATATGTTTTATTGTTTTTTCCTCTAGTGCCCGTACTATACGGTCTTCAAGGTAACCCATATTATTAGAATTTCCTGCATTATGCAGTACATATTGTACATAATTTTGTTTTCTGGAAATGTCGACATATTTTTATTTTTTTACTATTATTATTGCCATTCCTTATATTGGAAAACGTCCAGAAGAATGTTAATATAACCTTCCCGCGGCTGTATAAATCATAATAATATTATAAACAATATTTTTATTTTTTTTTTTTAAAATACCCATCGCAAATTATAATAAATATTATATTCACCACTCGCCAACCATGTATAGGTGTATATATGTGTTTAAAATACACAATATAATAGAAACAAAAAAAAAACAACCGTGAACAGCCTGCGTAATGCTGAGCTATAACGTATTACGTTAATGGAGTATATATTTCCTATTATCTAAATAACTTTTATTTACATACATTATTTTGTGTTATAGAAATATTCTTTGCAAAACAATCAAAAACCGAATACTATATCAATAAAACATTAGTACAAACACTATAGTTATATTATTTTCATATATATATATATATATATAAAAAAAAAGTGAAATTTGAGCAGGGGTTGAAACCCCTAGAGGCACATCCTTGATGCTAACGCCGTTATACATAAAATGTATAATGTCATTCATTCGGGAGATCTGTAAATGTTTTCGAAGCCAAAAATCACTTCCCTCCCGCAAAAACAGCGCGCAATGCTGCAATTTATGTAAAAATCCAAAACAACTTTTATCAATACTATCTGTCAATAAACCTATGAATCTGCTTAACTCGAATTCCCAAGCTCGAGCTCATTTAGTCCTTAGAGTCACTAGAAATGTCCAAAAATAGTAGAAAAATATATACATATATAATAATATACTGTCCTAAAAGGCAATAAGTACTTAAACGACATCGTATGATTTTAAATAACTTTTTTTGAATCTCCTTGTTATTTTTATCGCATATTATAAGATAAATTTTAGATTCTGAATTTACCGTTTTTATTTATTTTTTGTTATTATTAAGTTTTTATAATTTTATTATATTTTAAACAATCATTGTTGTCATGGAAACGCACATTGTTGTAATCATTTTACCATATATGGCATATATATTATTGACAAAACAACACTATCAACTGAACTCCGCTCAGAATCATTTTTTCGTTAGCAATGGTTTATCGTTGCCTACAGATATACGTCAAATTCCCGTCTGTATCCTACTTTCTCAACTTCCCACCTACAATAGTGACTGCACCCACGTGCGAAGTATGTCCATCGTTTTTTTCAGCAGAATTATCCAATAACATCAAGCGACATTACCGTATAATGTGATCGGTTATTGTGGAATTTTGCTTAGTGTGTATTTGGTAGGTGCTGTTTTTGTGTTTAGTATTATTCGTATGTATTTTAAAAATACCTATATATGTGTTTATATGGTTAACCGCGTGTATCGTGAAATCTATTGTATTCGCGGTATTTTCGTTACGAGGATAAAAAAAAAAAATTAATTTTTCGCGTTTTGTCACAAACTGCGTTTTGGCTTCGGATGACGGTATATTATTATTGTACACATCATCAGACACGATATTCCAACGAAGTATAGACACAACATAATATTATCAAACGAGTTATTTAAGACGATGTATCAAACAACAGAAACATTTCGAGGAGTGTCTGCTGCAGCAGCCACCGACGTACCCGTCGTCTACTATTGTAGTGTTAATTAATAATAATCGATCGGTACAGCCATAATTATTATACAGTGTAATTTATGTAGCGAGAATAATGATGATAATACTGTAATACATGTGCAACCATCACAACAGACGGGCGTTATTAATGTTACATACAATTGATAACGCACAATATTGAACCGCACGACGACGACGACGACGACGACTATATATAATGATAAATTATGAAATTGAAAAGAACGGCGAAAAAAAAAAATTCTTATTTTTTCAATATTGGTTATTCAATTTGCCGACGACGATCAGTCGACGAACACAATAATATTACACACAGCGCGGTCGTTTTGAATGATACGAACCGTGAAGTATGTGTGTAACATGCAGTATTTTAGTGCGTGCGCGTACGCATTTTTAACGCACCGTCATCGTAAAAATCGTATTATTTTCGCTGTCGAGCGTGCAACAGAAAAAGAAATATATATAAAAAAAAAATAATAATAAATAAAATAACGCGTAAACGTGATTTTTGTACGCGTCGCCACCGCCGCCACCACGACGCGGCACATGGCCTCCCGTCCGGCATAGTTTGGGATTATGGTTTTGGTGGTTGTTGTACACAATACTTGAAAAACGCCCATGTCTATACAATATTATGATAAATATTTTATACACGAGTACTTAATAGATTATTATGGGTGTATACAGGGTGGGTCACCGTCAAGTGTTGCCGCCATTTTTGCGAACGGCTCTGTTAGTATATTATTGTATTATGTATAAATAGACAGAAATTTCTGTGAAAGTACGAGGCGACAGTAAGATAGAAACAGAACGACAGTACGCAAAACGATTTTGAACGTTGTTGTGTACTTTGTTGACAAGAAATCCCAGAAATCGATAAAACGTGGGAGGGACATAAGGACATAAGGGACGAATTGCTGAAAATGTCGAATAAATTGTTTCGAATAAAGTCCCGCCGGATAGAAATGTCGCATCTTTCGATGCGCGTGAAAAAATCGGAGCATTTGCATAAATGCAAAAGAGCGTTTTCAGAAAAACGAAGAGCAAAATTGTATTGGGAATACTGAGAAAATGGCGTAATTAAGGTAAACAACGAAAAAAGATCTGAGCATTTTTACTACCCGAAAAATTATTTCTTGAGGGAAAAGAAAGCTCATATACAATGATACGGAAAAACCGGTACGGTGACCCACCCTGTATATAATATACGAGCCTAGCCTAAACATAATAATTAATAAAATTATTATTATTATTATTATTATTACATTATCAAACATCTTATAATATATTTCTCGTGAACACAAGTGTTTTGTTTGTAACCGCACGATTACGAAACGCCGCTATCGCGACCGTCGATCACCAATATGTGTGTGTATTTGCCAATCGATTGGAGTCGTGAATAAAAAAAAAAAAAATGTATATGTATAAAAAAAACCCTCGTACATTATACGGATAAAAAATGTACATAATATTATTTTGATCGTAGGGACATACAACGATCGCGCATTATTATTTATATTAAAAAATATTTTATCGTATATCGAACTCGGATCTACCGTCTGAACGAAAATATCGAAATACACAATTTTCAGCGATAACGATAAATTATTAATTATTTATACTACACCCAATTTATATTACTTGTATTATGTACATAAATAATATCGAGAGTACAAAATATAACAATAACCGGTGTACTGTGTACGATAGACCGATGTACGTAGGCGCACAATGATAAATAATAACAAGAGAGTGAAAATACAAATAATAATAATATGCAATCGATTATTATTTTTGTTCTTTTTACATTTTTCGTATTTAACTTTCATTGATTCGCCGTCGTCGCTCGTTCTATAATAATATAATACGCATGTAGTGCAATTTTTTTTTTTATATATTTTAACGAGTACCTATAGTACTATAGGTATAGAACGTTATAGGCCTGTAACGATATCGCCTTTTTTTTTTCTAAAATGTTCGAACGTGAGTCATATTTTTATGACCTTTACACGCAATGACGTCCGATACAACAAACACGACGTGTACCTCTCCTATATTTTATAAGCTGCTATTACTTAAGAAATAACATAAACAAATAGGATATAAATATAATATTTCAAAAAGTCTACAGAATTTTAACGCGGAACTGTTATTTTTTTTATTAGTATTTATTTATTATTTTTTCGGTCATACGTATACACAATAAATCATCGAAACATAACAATAATATTTCTGAAACGAACAGAACTGGAATGCAATACGAAATGATTACCTCGCATTGTTATAATTTCCTATACGTGTTACGTAATAAATTAAACCGACGAGTTTATCGTAATTAATTAATTAGTCCGACTCGGTGCCATCACCTTGTTGGTTTTTATTATTGTTATTATTTTTTTTCATTTCGTTCGATTCGATATTATATTTGAAAAAAACGTTATAAATAATTATTTTATATAGGTTTATTACAACACATTAAAAACTGATATACAAAAATATCGATTGGTCGTAAAATATATACATTTAATGCGCAGTGAGTGAATCATTAAAAATTGTATAATTATCATTATTAGGTATATTAGGTGAATTGTAATAAACGATAGCACGCATGATATTATGAATAATATGCCAATTTAATATTCGCTATAGAATATTATTTTTTACGATTAAAACTCAACGGCGGCGCGTCTAACATTCTGATGCGAAATTATTATTTTTGGACTCGAATAATAATATTCTATAATATTTTAAACAACAAATCTTGTAACAGTAGCGGTTCTCGGCAAGTCCCAATGGAGGGGTTCGAAAATATTTTGAAATATTATACATAATAAACATATCACATTCCCACCCCCATTATTAAGGATACGGTAATTAATTTGATGTGGTACACTATAATTACCGGTAACTATAAAACGTGCGTATAGCGCTTTATAGTTTACAACTTAATCGCATAAATGGCATATCGATAAAAAAATATTATATATTATAATTTATTCAATAGTGAAATATATACTCATTACTAAAAAAAAGTATCAAGTCATTCGTTTATTTTATATTTTATTTTATACTTTTTCATTTTTTTTATTACCCGAGGAGAGGTGATAATTTGGTATCCGTCATGGGACGAACAAAAATACATTACTTATTGGACTACGTCTGTACACATAAACACACAGGCCAAGGATAGACCCACCTCTCTGGAATCACCTGCAGTGTCTTATCAAGGATATATAATTACTACTAGTTTTATTGATAGACGATTAAGCTCCCGTAAAATGTTACAAGCGTGAAAACAAGATTAATCACAAAGACTAAAGTCAAAAATTCGTACTGTATCTAAATAATTGTAAAAATAGTTTTTTAGATTTAATTTAACACGTTAAGTATCAAATTTTAACATTTAAATGATCAAATTTATTCGACGAATAACACACACACCCGAGTTATTCGGCTATTAAGAAAAAGTAATTATTATCAGTTTTTCAATGTCAGAATAAAGCTATTATTCGATGAATAAAGTGCCAATAAATAGTTATTTTCAAACATTTTTCTGTGAAATAAAAAAATTATCTGACGAATAACTAGGTACCTGTATGATATTAGTTACCTAATCGGATTGTCAGATAAAGAAATTATTAGAACAATAATATCGATAATTTAATAACATTAATTACTTAAAATAACGCCACATCCTTATCTACTGTCTCAGTCCAATTACCGAGCAACATGCAAAAACAATGCTTACGCAAACTAAGTAAAACTAGCTTAATTTTGATTTTGTATTAAAAATATCTACTAAGAAATACATAGAGAAGAACATTTTGGAGGAAACCTCATCGAGTTTTTGATTTTTCTAAGTATACAGCTCGATATAAAAGAAACAAAAATCTCTTTTTTTTTAAATAACTTTAATTTTTTTTAATAATTTATATTTCAAAAACCGCTTATGAGATTACCTCCGAATTATTGTTCTCTACAAATGTCATAATAGGTACTTTTACTCTAAAATAAAAATTAAGCTAGTTTTACTTTAATTAATCTGCGTAAGTATTGTTTTTGCATGTTGCCTGGTAGTTAAACTAAGACAGTAGATGCGAGTGTAGCGTCCACTTAATAAGAAATGAAAACATTAAAATAGTCGTTTGTAAGATCCATGGTAAATACGCTTTTTTATAAAATGTTTAATAAATCCCTTTGCCCTCAACTAGAGAGTCACAAAATAGTCGTGAAAATACGGAATACTTTTTGTGCTATATATTACTCGCGAAACAGACAAAGAAAACCAATGTTAGCGACAAGGCGCATCAACCCTTTAACTTGGCAAACCTTAAAACAAACGAATGCAAATTGGGAGGTAAACATTTTTAGACTAGTCGGAGGTCACTGAATCCATAACTGACGTCAACAATTTTGTATGACTTGAAAATTAAAAATTATGAGCCGCATAATATTTAATTAGTAATTTTAAATTCTGAGTGAAGAGAGGAATGTGTGCGATTTTTATTTAATTTTTTTGTGTCGACTGACAGTACTCTGTTTTGAATCTTTTTTTTTATTACCTATCAATTATTTATCGTTACGTACAAATATAAATGAAATGACTATCTTCCCTCTATAACTATTTCCTCCTAAAGCAGGGGCACACCCATCAATAATATCAGCTCTTTTTTTTAATTACAACGATAATTTTTTTTTTTCTAATTATGGCTTAAAAGATAATAACTTTAATGAAATATAGTTAAAAGACCAATTTAAAACTATATTATTATTCTTTAAAAGTGATATCCAACGTTTGATATCCAACAGTTGAACTGCTTGTTCAAACCTGATATGGTTGCACGAGATCACCGAGAAATTTTCAATAATCTTAATGAATTTATTCAATAAAATCGATTGTTTCGTGAGAAATAAAACTAAACGTTTCCTTAAAAAACGAACTAACATTATTCGGATTAGGAATTATCTTGTACTGATATTACTAGATGTATCAATAATTTTCAAATTTGAATATTACAAATATTATGTAAGTACAATTAAATATTGTTCTGTTATTTGAAACTTCATTTATGGTTAACTCAAATGTATCAAACATATTATTCGAGTAATTTTGCGTTGTACACTAAAACAGGTATCGACAGGCAATAATATACAGGATGTCTCATCGTGTTCTTTTAATATATTTGATTTGATATCAATATATTTAAATTTTATTTTTTAATTGCAATTTGTTAACATTTGAGGGAAACAATTATTTAGAGAAAAATTAAATATTTATTTCCATCCATTTATTGCCAACAAAAAATAACTTTATTTGTCGGCTTTCCAAAATTTTGGAAGATGTGAATTCACTTTGTAGAAGATATTTGTCAAAAATGTTGATGTATCATAGTCATACACCAATCAATAGTTTCTTAGTTATAGCAATTTGAATATCTAGATAATTGGTGTAAAAACAATTAATTTTTAATAGAATAACAAGTTACTTGATAAGGAAAAACAATCAGCAAGGTAATTCCTTATCTTTTATTGTACATTAATTGTTTTTACGTCTATTTACTAGATATTTAAACGGTTATAACTATGAAACTGTTGATCGGATATGAATACATTGACATTCAAATTTTCAGAATAATATCTTTATCAAAGTGGCTATTTTCAAAATGTTGTATTAATGCATTTTTTTTTTAGCGCTTAAGGAATGAAACTAAAAATTAACTTTTCACCAAATAAATGTCCCCTTCGAAGAAAAACAGATTGAAAAAAATCTATTTAAAATAGCTCTATACAAATCCGGGGAACACCACGGTGGGACATCCTGAGCATTATATAATAACGAAAAAAATTATAACTTTCACAAATAATAAACGTATAATATATATTACTCATTAGAATAATTTTAAAACATTTGCTATTCTCCAAAAGATTTTCGATGATTATTTACTTTTTAGTGCGAGCCATTATAATACAATATATTATAATATATTAATAATTGTTATCTAGTTGAACATACTAAACGAATGAGCAGAAATAAAGGTTATCATCAATTTGGCCCCCCGCAAACTTTTGACTTATAAATTACAGACCGTTGGTATAGTAATTCAAGTTTACGACCACTGCAGTGCTATTGGTTTATTTTTTCTTCTTTATTTTTTTTTCAACGCACGCGTCTCTTACAAAAAATTACGCGCATACCGAGAGAACATAACATATAATTTAATATTATACAAGATTTCTTTACATCGCGAAAATGTGTAACAGAAGGCGAGCCTGCAGGTATATAATATAATAGAACGAGTCAATGCTTGGAATAATGATGACCATTATACCGGATATCAATGCATAGTTTGTGAAAAAAAAAAAATATATATATAAACTATGCATATGAAAAAACAGTGGATTTCATTAATAAAAAATGTAACCGATGTGAAAAAAAAAAAAAAAAACCAAACATACCTACCGACGTATATTATACTGTATGGACATTTATATCGATATGATTATTTAATAATATTGTACATCGCTATATTATTATCGTATTATAGCAATCGTAGTCGCGGAATATTAATGAATAGACAGAAAATTGACGCGTCGTATCGCGTCAGTAATAATAATATTATATAATAAGTATAGTGGTTATGTGGTATTGTTTGCATGTTTTTCGCGTCCGCAATCGATAGATATCGTACACCACGCTATTATAATACGTTTATCAGTGCCGTACCTGGGATTTTTTTTTTTTTTTTTGAGGAGGGGCATGACTAAAACCAAACTCTAAAAATAACTGATACCGCCAGCAATGATGGGTGTGTCGCTGTTTTAGGAGGCAAGTTGGAAGGGAGGATGTGTCGAATAATAATTTAATTTATGTATGAGAGCGTGTACGCAACGACAAACCGTTGCTGTAATGAAAAACGATGTTAAGCAGAGCGTATTATTGCAGACCTCGTCGGTGCAGCGGCGACTAGATTGAAAAAATTCTAGAAGAAAGTTTCGTTTGTACGTTTTTGGATTGGAGCGAGACGTCCGGTAGAAAAGTCGCTGATACGGACGCGGCGCGGCAGCCACGAAACATAAACGCGTATAGCAAAACCGATAAATTCCTTCGCTTTGTTCAGAATCCAAAACACGGCCTCCCGGATACGCAGCCGCCCCGCGTATTACGATACAATACAATAATATCCGTGGAGACTCGATGCGGTGCTCGTGCCCAATAATAATTAAACGTCTTAGCGTCACAGAAATAACAGTGAGAAAAGACGGGAGGAGGTGGGGGAAATACGAACCGGATCGGCTGCGCGCACGCTCGCGCGTGCTCACGCGTCACCGTAAGCGCATAAAATTAAACGATTCTCGGAAACAATGTCCGGACGTATATGGTCCGTATTTTATTATTTTTTTTTTTTTGTTTTTTTTCCTGCGCGCGTTCCGGATAAATAACGACCGCAAGTACGACGAGCGGCAAACGAGTTGGTTTATCGTCCGCGAGGCGCGTTCCGTCGCTTTTGTCGATTGCCCAATATTGGTGTATTGCGTATAGTTCGCGCGGGAGCTGGCACGGGCGTTACCGGATTGGGCCAGCGCGTGTATGCCCGTCGTATGCCTGCTGCGGCAATGACAATTATGATTATAATAAATAGGCGCCGCTTTTCAGGGAGCATCGCGTAAAAACGTTTTAGATACCGTATAATATATTATAGTAGCACACGTGTAGCATATATTTTACAATATTATTATTGTCGCGTACAATAGGCGCACGTTTCTCTGTATACCTGTGTACACGCGCGTTCTAACGGATTGTTTCGAGGCACGTACCCGCACGACTATAACACAATATAGTGTACACGCCGGCGTGTACGTTTTTGTCGAAAAATCGCGAGGTACAATATAATAATGCGTATTCAAATATTTAGAAAGAAAAAAAAAAAAATAATAATAAATAATAGTCACGGTGCATTATCATTGTTCGCTCATTACCACGTCGTGTACGCCACGCTAAAACCGTGATCATATTACGAACTGTATTTATTTCGGTAAGTGATGATCGCCTTTGAGTTACAGGTTATTATCGCTATTAATTGTTGGTTATTATACTTATGATTAGAACTATAACTGACAAATTCGCAACTTTCTGACTTATTTGTTTTTTTTTTTTTATATAATTATTATTGAACAAAATATCTAATCTATACAAAAATATGCACAGTAAATAGGTTAAGAGTGATTCGAGTAGGAAAATTACTCAGTGGTAACAATCCAAGACATTCTGCCAATTTAAAAATGCTTTTTTTTTTTTAATATTAAATGTTCTAATATATACATACTGTTGTCCCTCTATAAATAGTGTATATAAGCCATAAGAAATACATAAAATACGTTTGAAAATTGCCCCTCTAATAGCTCTGAATTGTAAAAAAATATAATTTTCGACTACAAAAATGAAACAAACCCAACGTGATTTTCGTTTTCGATAGGCGTATTATATATGTACAGGTATAGGTTCAATTTTATTTAAAAAAAAAAAACTGCTTTACGTCAATCATTTTTGTTGCGTTCGAAAACGTTATTTAATATAAGTTTAGCGCCCAAACCGAAAACTATACCTCCGAATAATCGAAACGCGCGCGTGTCGCGATGTTTACAACAACTTCGGTGTTTGTATAATAAATTGTAAAACACAAAAGCGCGTACCTATATTATAATGTCTCCCGAGTGCTCGTTATAACAACTGAGTTCAGATGTCGTTCCGGTCTAGATAAATAAATTGAATAGGTAATATGTTTTCTATTTAAAAAAAAAAAAAAAAAGAAATGAATAACCGTCGATAACACGATCAAGGCTGTAAATATTGCATGCGCTANAACAACTGAGTTCAGATGTCGTTCCGGTCTAGATAAATAAATTGAATAGGTAATATGTTTTCTATTTAAAAAAAAAAAAAAAAAAAAAAAAAAAAAAACGAAACGTATAACGATTGAAGAGGACATATCCAGTGGGAGTGTCGAGCACGCCGCATGCAGACCGCCAGAGGTCTATATTAGGTATACCCGTGCGTTATCGGGTATTACGAAACGTTTTAACGAAAAAAAAAAAAGAAATGAATAACCGTCGATAACACGATCAAGGCTGTAAATATTGCATGCGCTAAAAACACAAAATATAATTTTAAAAAAACAGTTAAAAGGTACTACTTAAAATCATACTCCGAAAAACAGCTCGAAATTCATTTCAAATTGCACAAAAAAAAAAAAATTAATTAATTTACAAAATGTTTTTTCCGCACGATACGACACGCGATCATTGACAGTGTTTATAAACGCGATTTATATTATGTAAAAAAAAACCACAAATTGTTAAGAATCCACCTCTTCGCTAAAAAAAAAAGAAAACACGAAAATAACAAAAAATCAAAGTTTCACAACCGAATAAGTACATATTATAATATTATATAATTCGAACTCTCCAATAACTTATAGTTTTTGAACACAAAAGACGGGGCTTAACCAATCGGTGCGCATTATTGCCGCACAAATATTTGTTGGCGTAGTCAATAGTTTAAATTATGTAAATGATGCGGAGTGATGAAGACATTGAAATGAACCGAACTTTCCATAAACTAAATTGTGTTATACCGCGTGCTACGATATATATTATCATGATGTGTGCATAACATGAGCGCCCGCAGGAAATTTATCAGGGAGGAACAATGTCTTAGTGAAGTTTCGAATGACCTTTTTTATTAATATTTTTTCTTTTTTTTACGTACAACCGCAAATAAGATGGCCCTTTAATGACGACCAGGCTGACATAGCGAGGCGCATAATAAAACCAAACACCCGAAAATTGTATGAATAATCGAATTATTAAAATTAAATTTGAAATTTGAAAATCCAGTGGGAAACAGGTGCCCCGTCTTGCATCCTTCCGGGCGCCCGTGTACGCATACCATACCGAGTACTACGAATGAAAACAATACAATGAAACCGACGAATTTTAATACAATAAAAAAGTTCACGATTTACCTGTGCCGCGCGCGATAAACTATATCAACAACTATAACGAAGGTTTGAGAACAATTTGTGCGGGCCTAAAACGCGTCCTCGGCTGCTGTTGTTCCCGTGTCGCCCCGTCGGCGCACCCATATTATAACGGCTAGGTATTTAGAAAAAAAAAAAAAAAAAGTATTCTCGCGCTTGCATTAGTCACGTTGTATAATTAATAATATACAGTGGGTTTTTATGTATATAACATAGATAACAATATTTACTGAAAATAGTACGTAAAAAAAAAAAAAAAATATGTATACACCGCGGCAATTATATTGTTATAATAATATATAGCGAAATGCGTGGTGTGTTTAATGTGTACGAAAATATAATATAATATAATATAATGAATGATGCAATTGCACCTGCACTGTTTTCGCCCGGATGAAAAATTAGCGAACACACGCTGATAACATGGATATAGCAGCACGCTCGCGTGTTTACCGAACGAAGCCCGAGCGCGGTTTTTTATTAACTTTTTTTTTTTTTTTTTTATATTCTGTCGAGGGCGCGGTTTACGCTGTACACAAAGCCAAAATTCCGGGAAACAGTAGGAGCATAGGTGCAACGGCGCGACCGTATATATAAATATATAGTCTTTAATGTTATTACATGTAATATATTGTGTTATTATTGTTTAAAGCTGCTGATATATGTTGCCTGATATACGTATGCAACGCATCCGGGTATCGATAGCGAACGTTATTATATCGGTATGAAATAATAATCATTATAACATTATTATTATTATTATTATTATTATTATTATATGATATTCTAACGAATACTTAGCAGTAATAATGATACAGGGTGCTTATTTTTTTTTTTTTTATCGCGGACCGGCGATATTCAAATGAGAAGTCGTCATGGTTGAAATGTACGCTGCAAGGTTATTTTGCATTTGAAGGGTACAAGGAAAAAACCAGGAAAGTCATTTTTTTTTTTCTAACTGAGAAAAACGTAACAATATTTTACACAGTTTTAAAAGTTCGGATTAATGGTAAATTTTGTAACGCAATAACCGCAACGTAAAATAATGTCATATTGTCTTATTGTCTAACCAAGGCTATAATATATAGCCGTGTATTAATTCAAAATTTATCTGATGGTTATAAATTGACCGTTTATTTTTGATTTTCCTGTAGATCTAAACTTTTGGCATTCATTACTTTCGAATAATCTGGTTTTTTCGCCGTTTCGATCGCATAAAAAATACGGAAAGCCAATAAAAAATATTTGATACCGATATCGCCGTTTTGAAAAAAAAAGTGACTTTTCTGGTTTTTTCCTTGTAGCCTTATACTCCTTATCAATAAAATATTTGATGATAAAAATAAAACATGACTTGGAATCAATGTACTTTTCACGATAAGAAAATTGATATTTGTGAAAACATTTACACTGTCATTTTGTATCTGATGCAATAATCTTGTATATTTCAATAATGGAATTCGTAAATTATCGAAATAATAAATTGTATATAAGATTATTTCAGAGTACACCCCACTACTAGTACATATTACTCCAAGTGTATACAATTGATTTTGCCATTTTTTAATGTTAAAACAAATTTCAGCTGTTTCATTTTCAACGATAGAACCGTTTAAATGTATTTCTTGTATTTTAAGTAATTTCAACGTTTTTCCTTACATACATATATACGAGTATATCTCGTTGAAAACCACAAATATATTATATTATAATACTACAATGCATTTTTGTTGCAAATGTAGTTCAAATAGCAACCTACATAGTTCAACTAGGATTGTAAAAAAAAAAAAAAAAAAAATATATTTATTTTTCGTAAAAATTATTAATACGTCCACATAAAACTATAATTTCGTATATACACGGTACGTACCGTTTATGTACCGTTTAATTATAACTGCAGTTTAAAATGTATACAGGAAGAATAGCATGGGAGGATATATAATAAATGTCATATCATAACCATGTTTGGTTAACCTTTCCCTATTCTTCCGGTCTAAATTTTAAACCTTTATTACTCGTAACGATACCACGGGACATTGCAGGTTTAGGTATACTTGTGCATTTATTTAAATTGAATACTGTTAAGTCGAGATCAATTTTCGTTATTTCATTAATCGCAACGATGCAGATCTGAAACTCGTTTAAAATGGCGAACACGGTTTCATAGAAAATCGAGCTCCGAGATCGTGACTGAACACACATTTCGGGCGACGGGAATCTGCAGTTTGTTCGATTTACCGTAAAGTCGTGTTTTTCGTTTTTACATTCAAACGTCCACCGACGGACACGCACCCCTCAAGCCCGGCTGCGCGGCTCGCGAACAAAGCTGTTAGTCGAATTGGTAATTTGAAATTAAGTCCGTCCCCGTCGAATCGACCATCGCACTCAAAACGCTCTTTTATGCCGGAAATCGAAACGTTCGCATGTGTTGTACAATCGCCGCCGGTTCGTGATAAAAAAAAAAAAAAAAAACGACTCGTATACAATCGTCCCGCGTACAATAGACGGCGTGCTAAACCCATACACCTCATAACCGTTTCTCGCGCTGCTGTATTTAATTCCCAAAATGTTTCAGTGGCAGCGTAGTAGCCATCGAGTGTTTATATCGTCCCGCTAATACGCGCAGCGTATGCGTGCCGGTTAGGTTGCTGCTCAATTTACCGCTCTTCACGGGAGCGTTGAGCACAGCATGTTCAGCGCGTGTGACGTGTTTACATACGGGCGCTACCCACTTTTATGCTCACTGCCTCGGAAGTGGGCTGAATGTAAACTAGGCCCATAATACACGCGGGCAGGACGTCTATATAGACCAGCGGTCTTCAACCTTTTCGGGTCCACGATACTCTACTGGTTTTGAAAACCGAACTACCGGCTCCATTACGAATAATGATAATAATTCGAAAGCGAATGAAACAAGCACATTTTCTGTGTTACCGTATCTCTACTGTAATATATTTTACTGCGGACGCGGCTCCCCCGTTAATAAACCGCGACGCACGAGTTGAAAACTGCCGCTGTACAGACAACGACGGTCGAACACAATTCTAAATTTCGTAGACATTTCATCCGCGTGATATTTTGTTTTTTTTTTTTTTTTTTATAAACTCCGTAAGTACGTACAATAATACACAACACCCACCGCGGACCCGCGTTAATTGCGCGAGCGTGGGTACACGACGATAATATTGTTGCGCTCGCCGTGTAACGAAAAGTACGGTAGGTTATAACAATGATAATAACTACCGCAGTACGATGTTCTGGCCGTCTCCATTGTTGTGTCGGTATATTATAATACTCGGTAAATGTATACACATTACAGCATTATCGTTATTGTTAATTGTTGCGTGCGCGTTACACGTATAAAATACACAAAAATTAGTAAACTAATTTTTTCGACGGGCCGAAAACGGCGGCTGCGGTCGTAAAAAAATATTGTTATTTTTTTTTTTTTTTCCCCCGGCGACCGTACCGCGGGCGGTAGACGTCGTCGTCACAATAATATTACAGCAACCATATGCCGCGCAGCGTTTCGTCGCTACTGCGCGCGTATATACATATTATTGTAATATCGAAAAAGAACCACACGGCGGTTGTGAATTCATACATAACGCGGTGTTTTTATTTATACGATTCATATGTGTTTAGAGGAAAAAAAAAAAACCAAAAAAAAAAAAAACTATTATATTCGAACAACGGGCGAGGCGCGATGGCTGGGCTATACTATACATGCTATATCGTAGTGTGAAGCCGAACGACGCGACGCGGCGGCGCACAACGGCATGTATACGAGAAAATGTACGCCGTTAAACGACGATCGGAGAGGGGGGTGTAGGTAGGGGGGTGGTGGGGGGAGAAAGACGAAAAATTAACAAAGAAACAAAAAAAAAAAACAAAACTTGGCCTACGCGTAGCGCATAGCTCCGGTGCAGTAATATTAATGTTATGGTATATGTGATAGTTATCGAACCGTACGGATAATATACGCTCAAATATATGCGCGATCACGTGGCGACGTCGAACAATATATTATCGTCGTGTTACGGCGACGGATTGCGGGTGGCAAACGACCAATACAACACCGCAACGAGAGCCTAATAATAATAATCACATTTTTTTTTTTTTCTATTCACTGTTGTTATTTTTCGAAAGACAATGGGAGCGAGAAAACAACGAGAAATCCCGACGATGACGAGGGGTGTTGCTCGGGTTTGCGTCAGGGTTGTAGTTGTCGGCGCGGCGGCGGTCACCCCGCGATCCTCGAAAAAATAACATACCCGGGTACGTCCGACTCGGTGAAAGTATAACGTTATTATAATGTACACGGACATTTTACATTATAGACTCGTAATAATACGCTTTTGTCGGCTTGTCGTGCATACCTGCCCTACGTATAGGTACGGTATAATAGTGTGTGTGTGTGTGTGTGTGTGTGTGTGTGTGTGTATGTGTGTGTAGAGATTTTTATAGAAACGATTATACCTACCTATCCATATACGTGTACGAGTAAAACGATATAACCTGCGGTCAACGCTATCACGATATTTAAATACATCAAGTATGTATATACATTTGTATATTACCGTATACCGCCTAATAAGAAATGCTCGTATAATAACCGACACACACACGACGATGACGGCGATTATTCAAATCGCGTACCTGCAGAGTATATAATATTATTATATTATACGACACACCGAGATAAACCGTCTCGGATTTCTCCCCGTTTTGTAATGCACACGTCGGTTTTGTGTGTCGCATGTGTCGCCGCCGCCGATATTATTGTAATGCGGGCTGCAGCGGCGCGCTATATATGTACATATATATTTGTTTAATAATAGTACGCGTTATTTTAATATACGGGAGATTATCGTTATTGTAGTAATTAGTCACATATGAAAAAAAGGAGAAAAAGACGGACAATCCGTCGGGTTACACGACAATAATAATGTTACGGCCCCATTATTAACAATAATAATATCATTATCATAAACGAACCCGACTCGATGACGAATCGTCCGGGTATACCGAACGGAGTATACCGGGACCGCGGTCGCGGTCGTCGTCGTCGTTGGCGGCAGCGCGACCAAATACGACCGACGACGCGATTGCTTTGGACACAAATACTCGTATATCGTTATTAAATATTCCGTTCGAAACAATAGGCAAAGCATAATAATAATAATATTATTATCGATGCCGGGGAAAGGGGTGCGGCGGCGGGTCGTCATCATAACTCTGTATAGGCGCGCATAATATTATTTAAAATAATAATATATTCGACCGTGACAACGACTGCACCGCTCCTTTTTACTCTCACCCCCCCCCCCCCCCCCCCCCCCCCCCCCCCCCNCCCCCACCGCTCCCACTCGCCACTTTTCCGATATGTTATAATCGCGTACAATTATTATTATTAATATTTCGTCGTCGATTCGTATTGTACAATATAACAGTTTATAATTCAAAAAAAGGGCACGTCGCGGAATCTAAATATATAAATATCAATATACATTATACGATAAAATTAAATATTTTGTTTCGGAAAAAAAAAAACCCGATCGCGTCAATAATAAACAGCGTCACACCGACGATTGGCGGGTCCGGCAAACGCAATTTCGTCGTCCGCCTCGCCCTTTTATCGCCGCACGTCGTTCGACATGCGGGTTGGGTCGTCACTATTAATATACGGCGGATTATTTATTAGTTTTTTTTTTTTTTTTTTACGGTTTTTTCCGTTTTATATGCTTGTTAAAAATCGGATGAACCCATAATCGTGTGCGCGTGTGATCTGTACAACGTTGGGTAACCTCGTTTGCGACGAATATTATAATAACACACGGCGGGAATGTTTAACAATTTCACGTGTATACTCTTTCGGCGACGGACCGCAGTTCCTGCGGTAGGCAGCTGCTGTTGCAGCGACTCCTCTGTCCTGGTACTCCTTCGGGGACCGCTCCTCCTCTTCCACCGCGTCGCCGCCGCTACCGCGAACCGTTTCACTCTTTTCCGGTGCACGAGTGACGGCACGCAGCGGCAGCTGCTACCGCCGCCGCGCGGTCGCCGCGATATTATAGGCAACACGCGTCCCGCGACCGGGTTCGATAAACGGCTATTTTTAATATATAGTTCCCCCCCCGCCCCTCCCCCCGGGCCCGCTCGCGACACTGACAATTCATCAACGCGGTCGACTCGTATAATGACACGTGAAAAAAAAATAATAATAATAAAAATGATCCCGTGTAAGACGGCGGCGTTTACGACGACGAAAACCGCGTCCGCGTGTATGTATGCGATTATGATATAATCGTGTGCAGAACAGTGGCGACTACGATGAAACACACGAGTTTCGCACGAATACGTCACGAAAACAAATTGAATAATATTGTAACATCGAGGAGCGGGAGTTTTCGTTCTTTTTATTTCATATACCAACCCCCCCCCTCTTAATATAACCGCTACATACTTTCCTAATATATAACCGTTGTTAACACGATCGATTAACTGATATATACTATACAAACATGCGGGCTCGTGCATGCACCAATCAATGTCGTATTTACGTTATAGGGGGTTTCTTCCGCTCCCCCCTCGGGCACATACAACTTCTATAACGACGAACCATAGGTACCATCAAACAAAACAGGCGAACTCGGCCGTATAATTTCGGTGAAATTATCGTTGTCAATGCACGCCACATGGACAGCAATTAATATTGTAATCGGAGGAATTCCTAATGAAAACGAACCCGGCAAGATTTTTTATCAAGAACACGAGGGAAATATTCAATAATAACATCGCCCGGCAATAAGTCAATCGTTCATTTTAATAAACGAACGCGTACTCTGCGACAACGTCGGGTCGAGTTATTTTATCAACGACCGCTGCACCATACACGGACGAAACCGTAGTACATCAAAACTATTTCATTCAGTAAAACATAAAATATCATAACCTTTATCTCTATACGCATACCGGTACAACGTTACGTGTTTCACACACGTATTTCACAGAATCGCGGAAACGGCACGCGTCCAGAATAATTTCCGTCAAACGTTGATAAATAAATCGTTTCGAAAAATAATATGTAACGTTGCATATAGAAATAAAATATTGTCTGCAAAGCCCGTCACTCGCGCGCTTCGATTTCCTGTATACGCTCGCAGACATCGGGACGGCTATATTAATTCAATTTGTACTGCAATTACGGATGCATAATATTTAAATCGTTTTTCGTAATATGCATCATCGAGTCCTATAATAATGGGAATTAAATTATACGGCAATCATCGCGTAAAATTAACACCGAAGGTGGTCGTCGCGGTGGCTATTATTTTGAATAATAACACTACAACAACACTACTTATTTTTATCAAAAATTATAATAATAATATTATTATTAACATTATTGTTGTGTGAAAACGTTGAAACGATGATGGTGGGCCACCGTTTTGTTCGTCCGTATGTTATACCTACGTTATTGCCGTTGTGCCCTTGTGCCCGTTTTCAAAATACGGGGAGTGCCCACTGCCGCCGTCGGCATAGTAATAAAATAAAATAAACCCGACCTACGCCCGTAACCCCGGTCGGTCAAAAAAAAAAAAATAAATTAAACAAAACAAAACAAAATACGCGCACCCAAAAATTAAAACATTATTATATATTATTACACAGAGTGACCGTCTTATCAAGAACCGGCGATTATCTACCATACAATTTTAGACTGTACAGATACAAACATATTGAGTAAAATTGATTATGAGACGTGGTTTTTGTTTTTTCAATAGTCATTTATTTCCGATATTATATCCCTACGCGACTTTTGATTTTTAAATAGCAACACGTATTTTTACGTCCGGATCCAAAAAGGGACCAAAAGAAACCTTAATAATACTGATGGATGTGTCACTGTCATAGGAGAAAAGTTTGAAGAAATGAAGGATTGTTATATAATTTAATTTATATCTGTACGCGACAATAAACTATTGCCGACGAAAAGCGATACTGAGCGGAGTATTATATTTTCCTCTGTTGCCGACTTAACACAGGAATGAACAACAATTATGCAATTGAAAGCCATATCGAAAAATGACCTATTCAATGTACCAACTAGATCAAAAATGTTACCAGAAAATTCTATAAAGTTTTTGACCGGAACAAAAAGTTTTATTTTCAATATAAATCAAATAGGAAAGAATTTTCAAATATCATTGGCATCCAAAACTGGTAAACCAAAGGTATCTAAACTAAGAATTTTTTAATTTCATATTTATTACTGTTGTAGTGATTTGTAAAGCCCAATTGTTGGATTTTACTGAATCAATTTTGGCACAAATGAAAATTTCAACCACTAATTTCCGCTGTTGATCAAATAAACGGCTAATAGGAAATAAATTCCGTAACCGGAAATAACGTATAAGTTATCGAAATGTTCGGAAATTTCACGAATAAGTAAATTCCCAAACGGCTTCGGCATTCGATGCTACGTGTTTATTTCTCGTAACAAAATAAGTACAGATGCGACGCAGAAACATTCGTATCATATCTTCCTTTTTACGATAACAAGTCGTATTGAATCCACGGACTGAGTTATAACGGACTGGAACCACATTTGTATTAATTGTATTATATATAACCAAAACAAAATTCATATTCTTACAATTTCATACGTGGGAGCATTTATTACTAAAATATTTTTCAATTAATAAGTAAACTGTAATAATGAATACTCGTGAGTAGGGTAGTCGATAGCAGATAATCGTTGCCCTCCTGAAATGTGGTCTGAGTGTTTATCCTCCCCTTCTTTGACCACAAATGGCTGTGAATCGTTCCACGGTAAATTCAACAACGAATTCAAAACTGCTCATCCAAATATTTTTCAGGTTATTGATATACCGATCGAAATACAATCCGAGACGCAAATGAAACCTCGAATTCACATAAATTTTCCTTTTTGTAAAACGGGAGCCGTTTGGGAAAAACGGAAGCCGAACGGGCTACGGCCATATAATTAAATCAATATACTGATTTGTTCAAAGGGCGTATATCACATTCAATGCATATATACTTAGTGTATACAAGGTTGAACAACGAGTAATTTCATTGTTTTGCACGATAAACATCGTTAAAAACTGTTTTGCTATATTTTTTTTTCGTGTGCTTGCTGAAAAAAAGTGAAATTTGATAAACCCCCCCCCTCCTCGTTTATCAAAACAGCGTCGAAATTATCTCCAAAAGAACGTATACAAACTTACAATACGTAATAATATACAAACTAAAAGTGCTTACTCGCAGTATAATATAATATGCAATAAGCATCGCCTAGACCCTAACTTGAAAATGTAAAAAGGTCCGTGTAGGAGATTACGCCGTCTATATATTTTCGGCAGGTAAAAAGGGACCGAGCAGTACAATAGGAGTTTACACAGTGTTTTAAATTCGGATAAAAACGTCGTTTTCGTTGGAGTTTACGCGTGCGCCGCTGAAGCCTTCGTTTTGTTCGGATAATGCGCGGGTCCGCGATAAATAACATAATAATCGCCCTGTGCCACTTATAATAATAGTATTATAACAGTACGTATCACAATGCGAAAAAGAAACGACGCGGGGGGGAGAGACACGTCGACGCATTATAATAATAATATACTCGATCGTATTTTTTCGCACGAACGCCGCCGTTGTTTTTATCGCCCCGGCAATTCCGCGGGCGGCGGCGGCGGCGGCGGTGACGGCGTGATGCTGGCTGCTGCTGACGCCCGGCGACGGCGACGACGGTGGTGGTGCAACGCGTACATAAAAATATTACCACCGCCGACGCCGCCGCCGCCGCCGTACACTACTTTTATATTTAAATGTACCCGTGCCGCGCGCTGTACGGTATATTACTGGATCGCGTGTGTATTTATAACGGCGACGCCGACGCCGTTACGGTCTGCACGAGATGGTGTGTGGGGGCCGGCAGGCGGCGGGTCGCGGGGCCGACGAGCGCGCAATAACGCAGCTGTAATTACGGTCCGCTATTAATAATAATAACAATAATACTAATAATAATGTTTAATCGCAATACGCCGGCCGCGATGTTTTTCGGTTGTAATTCTCTGGACTACCGTTGTGCATATTATCATTATTATTGTTGTTGTTGTTGTTGTTGTTATTACAAAACGAGCGTGGGTCAACAGCACGTCGGCTATTATTTTTAAATGGGGAAAAAGGAGAGAAAAAAAATATCACTACCGAATCCGCCGTGCGCCAGCCGCGGCCGGCAGTCGGCGCGGCGACGTGTCGTTTCGTGTTTTTTGTTTAACGACGAAATTGTTTTCCAAACCAATTGATCCGGGCACCGGGTATTATCTTTATATTACCTGCCCGGTATACTATCGTAATTATTTATACGTAACGGACGCGCCGGAATTTCGGAGAGGGCGAGAGAGAGAGAGAGAGAGAGAAAACACCGCGACAGTTTTCGTTCGGCGACCCTTATTATTTCTTTCGAAAGGCGCCGCCGCCGCGATAAGTCGTATTTTTCGTTTCGTCCCCCCCCTTCTCCAACACCCAACCAGAAAAAGGTAATAGGTATTGTAATGGGTATTTATTACTGTCCCGCGCCGCAGCGTTATACGGCACAATACACGACGACGGCGCGTGTAAAACATTATTGCCCGTGTCACCGGTTGAAAAACGACATCGCGCGGGCACGCGATAACAGCAATTATTATTATATTATCGGGCCGACCGGGGAACGACGTCGTCGTCGTCGTCGTCATCGTCGACGTCGTGCAGCCCTGCCGCAGTCTCCGCCGTCGCCACTTGTGAGTACAAGTCACGGCGGATAACAACGTTACGTTAACGAAAACGATTATCGTCGCACACGCGTCCACTATTTACATAACGATTATAGTAATAATTATTATTATTATTATTATTATTATTGCGTTCAAAACGGCGACTATGATAATAACAATAATAATAATTATTATTATTGCGCCGCACTGACTTTCCGTCGCACGTCGCCCGGCCCGCTCAAACGTCTGCGTGTGACATTCACTGTGACGTCGTACGTATTATTATTGTTATTATTATTATCATTATAATTATTGTATAATATTATAACGGCGATGTCCGCAGTGTATTATAATAATAATAATAATAATAATAATAATAATAATAATAATAATAATAATAATAATAATAATAGAATATAGTTTGTACCGCGGTACTGGCGGGCGCGAACGTTATAACGTTATTATTGGACGGCGGCGAGACGGAGGAAATCTGCGGGCCGCCAGTATTTTTCGGGGTCTCGACGACGGCGATGTGCGCGCCGCGCGTAGAAAGGGGGAGCGAACCGTCGTCCCCCTCGTAACAATATTATTTATCGGCCCGTTTTGACGAGTGCCCTACGTCTACGCTCTCGGATAACACACGCACACGCGCACGCACACAAATGTTTGATATGTATGCGAAAACTTCCGTCCCCCACCCCTACCGGTCCGAAAACGACCCGCAAACCGTTAATGGCGAGATGGGGACGGGGAAAGCATTAGTCACTATAAACCGACCACGATACTGTTATATCACGCAGGCACCTCCGTGTTATTGTACGGCGTTGCCGTTGCCCGGACCGCGTACACAACGTAAATATAATAAATCGCGCCGTAAACGCGAGTGTCGTACCCACGTCAAAAAAATGCCGTAAACCGTTCAGGTGAGCGTTGTCCGGCCATTATCGCGGTGTCGCGGCCGTTACGCGACTTTTATATCGGTGCGGCACGTCCGTCTCGTCAGCTGACGGCGGTACGACAGTCCACTCAATACATATTTACCGTACGAGTCCGCCGCCGTGGCTCGTAGTGGAAAAAAAAATACAACAAATATACGAATCCCGGACGGTGAAAATAAAACCAACGAAGAAAACCGGTTCATATCACTAAACATAAAATAAACGGTTCTTATCATCATAATCTGCCTACTCGGAATAAATGACATAGTTGGGTACCTTGCTATTTTTTTATTTTTTTTTTTTCGTATATAGAGAATATAGATAGCTAACGGTGATTTTTAGAAGCGACAGTCGTGAGAAATACTTAATCAATACTACGGCTACTGTACAGCTGCGATTGGCGACTACTATCAATTTGAGGAAATGTTGAAATATATTATATTATTATGTGCGTTATATTATAATATGTCTACGCATTAAACCATCAAAACCTAGGCGTATATTTTAAAATTATAGCCGTTTCCAGTAAATAGGGTACCTAACTGTGTCGTTTATTCCAGATAGGCAGATACTGATAGGAACCGTTCGTTCTGTTGGTGATATAAATCGTTTTTTACTGTCTGGTTTATTTCTCGCTGACGGTGATGCGACACAGGTACGCGCTCGCCGTTATAAACTCTTGACATTTCACGTGCCCGCGGCGGCGGTGCGCCCTTCGCGATCGCGTCACATTATCGCGTACCTACCGGCCTCGTACAGTCTCGTATACACCGCGCGCGCCGCAACATTATACAATAATGTATGGGATACGTATTGCGCGCACAGTAGTAATAAAAAAAAAAAAATAAAAATTCGACAAAGGGACGCGGGTCCGCCGGCTAATGGTCGGTGCGGGTCGCCGAGACGTATAGCCGAACACGCCGAAAGAAAGGGCGCGGCGGCGCGTACGAAGGGATTGCGTGCGCGCGTGCGTGTGCGTGTACGCATAAAAGGGGCTACGGGTTACGCGGCCGTTACGCCGCCGTTGTGTACAGCGACGGTTATAAATTGTATTAATAAAACACGAGAGATATAAACTAAAACGCTATTAAGGGCGTCGTCGTCGCCGGCCAATACGGTTCTGTGAGAAAACCACCGGGGCGATTGATCGTGTTTAGGACGCTAGGAGGCCGCCGCCGCCGCAGATATTAAATTACACCGGTTTAACGTTTATTATTATTTTTTTTTTCTAATCTCTTTAACAACTTTAACAACGCGCGCCGCCGTGTTTTATTTTATAAATACGGGAAACGCAGTCAATACACATGACGGATGAAAAAAAAAAAAACAAGAGCGCCGGAGCGCGTTTCGTTATCTACAAACACATTCTTAACGGTCCGTGTACACGGTAATATACAACACCACTGTATACGTACGTACGTATTAAGGATTATATTATATTAACGGTGCGCGCGGCGGCGGCGGCGGCGGCTGCAGGTGTTCGTTTACAATATAATAAATAGTCTATAATATTATTACTATCATCGCGATATTGTTTTATCGCCCGGCGACTACCGGGGCCGGGGAACGGTTAAAAATCACGACCGCGGCCATAACAATTTCGTATTATTATTGAATATATATTTATATATATAGATTATATTGTTGTTTTTTTTTTACCTACGCCGCGCGCGTATATTACAATATATTTACGTTCGCACGGAGTAACGGAACCCCGGCGGTCGCGGTATGCCCGGGACGTACCCCATTATAAATATAATTATTATCGTTTTTATCATTGTTCTGGAAAATTCTTTGGAGGATATAAAAAAAAAAAAAAAACGAACGAACACGAAGTAAATAACGAAAAAAAAAAAAAAAACGTGAGCCGCCCCGAGAGACCTGCAATAATATTCTATTTGCCGGCGGGTAACCCGATATTTTATTGTGTGCGTACAGGCGCACGACGACGGAGATAGTAATAATGCATCCGAAACGCATCTGCACTTCTCCTGCGAGTAATAACGCGCGCCGCCGATCGGAGGCGTTTCGAATATTATTATTTCGTCGCGTACGCGAAATCTTCTGTTGCGCGTTATTTTTTTTTTTTACCTTCTCGTCGACCGACGATTTTGTTTCTAAAATATTCTGAAAAAAAAAAGAAAAACTAATACTGGGGATGTAGATAACAAATTGGGAAGATAGGATACGCAGGGTTATTTCATTTGTGTCTGTGAGCACCGATAAACCATTGCTTGACGTGAGACGATGCCACTTCGATAATACATAATTTGAAGTGCCGTAATTTTTACGATTTTCGTTTAAATTTGATTAAAAAAAAAGAAAAAAGTAGTCCGATTATTTTTGGAGATTTTACCACGTCTGGGCAAGTCCAATATAAGAATTATTACCGAGTTTCAAGTCTCTACGTATATTTATATACCGAATAACAGCAAAATAACTGTCAGAAATTAAAATTCCTTAAAAGCCTAAAAGTGGTTCAAAAGTTTTGGCGACGACACCGTAACAAAGTGAATCAAAAAGGCAACAAAAAAGTTACCGTGTGATTTTTCGATTAAATCGTTTTTTCTGGCGGAAAACGTCGTCCGTGTTTTTCATAAAATAACGAACTCGCGAAATTGTACGTTTTCCTACGTTTCTTCCCACTCGAGTGCTTTAATTCGAAAAAAAAGGCGTCGAAAATCAAAAAAAATCAAAAAAATGACCTCTCTAAAGTACCATACAGACAACTCGGGCTTTCAGAAAAGCCGCTACACGTGAAAACCGGAGCGAGTTTACTAGGAAAAAACGGGTCCGCGGACCACAAGAAGAGAGAAATAACAAGCGTCGTAAAACCAATAGCTCCGACGCCACGCTCGGGATCTAAAATGCCGACGGAGACATTTGCGTATTGTACCGCGCACCGTTCGTCGCTATTACAATACAACAGTGGCTCGATATCGCTCCGAAGGACGGACGCGAATCGAGACGGTACAGAACCGGTAACGTTTTGTAATTTTACTTTCGAACGGAACCGCAGTTTTACGGAGAAGTTTTGTCAAGGCGTCCGATAATGCCAGCGCGTGGCCGAAACTCGGCAATAAAAATACCGACGCACGCGAAAAAAAGCTACCGAATCCCTCCGATGGCGCGGCACGCGTGTCGTCTGCTGCCGCCGACAGTGGCGCACACACGTCGGAGAGGGGGGTAGAGGTCAGAAACACAAACACGCACACACACACGCACCCCCAATGTCGAAACTTCTTTCTTCAGGTACCGTTTTTTTTTTTTTTTTTATTTTCTAAATCGAGTTTTACATTGCGCGGTTTGATTTCATCGGTAATAACATCATGGTGAAATAGTATTGCCGTACCTATGTGCACTGGTGTTACGACATTATATCGCCGCCTCTCTGGGAAATTATTATGGGCACAACCTCCCCCTCACGGGGAAAAAGAAAAAGAAAAAGAAAGAAATCCATGTCAATTCAAACGCACGGACGGCGAATGATTAATTGTTAACGAATTCGTTCGAACTTAAAGTGCCCGCCGACGCGCGTTATTTTTACCGCGCGCGTACCCCTCGTTCGGTTCAAATCTGAAAATAGATTTTAATAACGTCGTACTTGTCGCGGCGCGTATTCGTTTAACGGCACGCGCGTCGTCGACGTCGTTGACCGTAGTCGGTGATAAATATGACAGTATCTCGTGATTATCGATTCGCACGAGATGTTATTGTTGCGGTAACGGAATACTGAGTAAACAAATTTTTTACCATTTTCATTCCGGACGTGTGCGTGCAACATTAATAATCAGGGTTGCAACGCATACAACACGGTTGAATACAATACGCGTACTATTTACGTGTGCATAAAACGTACAAAACTATATTAGTTGCATACGTTTCTTCAACACTGTACACGATTTTTTTTTTTTTTCGGCGGCAACTAAACCGAAATCATCGGGTAAAATAATTGAATTTATTGAATCACCATTCTGTATAACTTGACCTGTCAATAACTTGAGACGCGTGTTTTAATCTGTTACAATTTAATCACAATGTGCATCTTTGTTCTTTATCGATATTTATAAAATATCGATTTGTTTTGTTTTTATATTATTCTGAATTTAAGAAAATTCACCAAATTGATGCGATTTGTTAATTTGTTGTACAGTATTGTCACTATTACAATAAACTGCAAACGAAATAGAAAAAAAATGTCCCAGTCGTTACAGAGTTTTAGTCATTTTACACGCGCAGGGGCATTATTCGTGTGACGCGTAATGCCCCTACGTTTTATACGCGTGTATTACCGACACTGCGACCTATCGTCATGGTGCTCTGCGAATAGATACAACGAAAGTGTTTTCGAAATATTCCGAACACATTTGCAAAAGGATACGTGTTGAACAGGCGCTTTCGGGAAAACCGAGAAGAAAATGCGAACAGAACGAACGGTGAGAATTTCGAAAACTGTAGGTACGTTCAATCGAAAGTGGCCACACGTACCTGCCATACCGCATGGGAATTCCACGCGTCTTTTACCGCATGGGTAATTCGCGAAAACCCGAAAAATTGTTCGCCGAGAAAATAATAACGCGCGGATCGCACGGGAAAACGTCGAACCGAGTGACGAAAAAGTTGTACCACACACAACGTTGTTAACGAGTTAACCGCCGCGATCGGTTTGCTCATCCCGTCTACTCGCTGCACGGTTCGTTTTCGCCCGTTTCGCCGGGTACACCGATACCGCCAATACGCGTTTGGCCCTCGGCCGTTTGAGGGACAACATCATTTCGGTACGGACCTTCTATTCTCCCGGACATTTGCGCTATTACCGCGCGTATAGCGTGCCGTTTTCGGCGTGCTCAATCTGTGGCCGTCTATTGAAACGCCGCGGCGGTCAACGTGTCGACTCGGATGTAAAATCCTTTTTCCGATACTGTTCGGAATACCGGACAAATAAATAATTTTGAAACATTCGGTAACTCGGTGGCGCGTCTGCGCGTTGTAATATTTGCGTATACACAGGTAAGGTACTCACCGACGCCGAACACGAGGGCCGAAACGACGGCCACCACCGCGAATAACGCGACGGGTTTCGCCGGGGAGAATCTCATCGCGCGATCGGCCGAATTGTCTGGACCTCTGAAGACCGCTTCTTCCGTCATCTCGGAACCAACGGCAACCGGCGCGTACAGGTATCTACAAAACGACACATCGCGCTATAATAATGATAATAATATCGCATTGTGATTTATGTATAAAACTCCTTTGGCACGGGCGGGCAGGTGTTGAACGCGCGACGGCTGTTCCAGACGGGACCTTGTTAGTGCGCGTGCGAACACAATGACAATAATAATATTACGCCGACGAGCGAGATTTTTCGAGGTTTTCTCTCTCTCGCTCTCTCTCACTCACTCTCTCTCTCTCTTTAAATACAAGTAGGCGTACGATAATATTACGCGTATAACGTCATGTAGGCAGGTACACTAGATATACGTGTAATAATATTAATACTAATAATAATATTATATTTTCTAGCGTTATTACTTTTCCGATGTGACCACCGACCGCGGTGAACAACCTCCGCGAGGTCGCTGGAACTATCTGCTATCGGCTAATGTACCAATTACGCGGGGTCGCCGTACGAGTCGTACGTATCCCGATCGCCGTGAGACTATCGTGCGCGATGCGTTTGACCGGTGCCGCGCGACGAGTATAGGTATTTGGCTATCAATAAGGTCTTGAACGCACGCGCGCGCTCGAAACGGATTGCGGTGACGGTGGGTTTTTGGGGTACGCGCTCGCGATCGGTTAGACGCGATTGAAAAAAAGAAATCAAAATCAAAACGAAAATTCGATAATCGTCCCGGGAGGGGGGGGGCGGCAAATACTAGAGGGCGTTTATCGCGAAGAGAGCCGGTATGAATCGCGTTTCTCTATATTACGTATACAACTGTTGTGCAAATACATACGGTGCGGCGGACACGCGATCACGGACAACACCGGAAAACGTGGCTGGACGACCGACTGCGAGTGACTGACTGTCTTGGAGTTTGGAGCGCGCGAAGAGTGGTAGCCGCGGTGTGCCGGTGTGCGTGGTTATTGTGCCCGTGCGTAGCACTCTATGGACAAAAACCCGTACAACGATAATAATTTCAAAACGCGGGCGATTGATGTGCGCGTGCGGGCGCGAGACTCGATGCCGGCTGTTCCACTGGTGGTGGCGGCGGCGGCAGCTGGTGAATCGCCGGCGTTTGTTCCGCTATGGAGTGGGGATAGGGGCGGCAAGCGCGGAAACAGAACCGGCGTGCTCCTGGTCGGAGGGGAAAGAACGACGATCTCGTGTCGGTTGGCGCCCAACTGGCGGCAGCGAAGTCCCCCACCCGATGTACAGCCCAATACACACAACACACACGACACACACACATTCACGCGCGCTCGAGCGCTCGAGCGCGCTGATCGCAATAATAATAATAATAATAATAATAATGACGTAGTCGTTGTTCATCAAAATACCATACATGTCTGTGGACGACGACGGTGTTTTTCTTTTTTTTTTTTCATGTTACTCGCCGCCGTTGGTTTTTTTCATTATTTTTCTGTGTATGCCGTACAGTAATAATTATTAAAACAATATATTTTATTCGAGGAGATGTTTCGTTTACATAAAATGTATTCGATCGAACGTGATACGTTGATAGAAAGTGTTAGACGTGGAGACGTGCAATATAAAATAAGTACGTATGTGCGGTGCGAAAGAGTGTGCCGAGTCCACAGTAATACTATTATAGGAGCTGCGAATGAAGTGCACAAAGCTCTAAGCTGATAGACGTAAATAAGAAGGGAGCTTAGTAGGGATTAGCCTTTCTGATCCGTTGCAAGCTTTATTATACAAAATGTTTTATACGATTTGTAGGTGTGTGTACATCCTATAGTCATTTTGTCATAAATCACATAGACTATCTTATACTTGGAGTTTGCCGATACCGCCGACAAAAACGGAACCGCCACTAAAAGCCGAAAGGTAATTGACCATCGGATGGTAACAATAATATAAATAAAATCGCGCTTGGACACGGACTGGCGGAAATAACCGACAACGGTAATACTATTAAAAAATAGTACTGTTGGTTAGTATAGTTACCTAATGGTAAACTTTGATTCGTCCATCCACATAATGGATTAATTATAAATAATGGTTCGTTAGTATTAAATAATTTCTATTTTTATCTATAAGTATGCAATAAATGTTAATCAGCATTTTGCGATCAGTTCTATAAGGGTACAACTTGTATTTTTTGAATGTGATGTGTAGATTGGTTTTTTAAGTTCCAAATTCTTTAGTAACGAGTCTTAAAGATGAGCAAGAATTTAATTAAAATATGAACGCAATAACTTCATTTTCTTCACCTTCATTTCATATTTGGTTCATTATTGCGTCGCGGTCGTCACTATGTGTCAGAGAAACGAACAAAAATCAATGCTTAGGTCTTCCCCGGTACCCCCACTTTCGGATTTCTGATCCAAACCCGAGACTTTCGATTGTTATCGATTGCTCTGAAAATGTCGTAGTTTTTTCTGTCACCGTTCCCGACTTATAGAATTTTACAATGTGCTTTAGTTGGGGGTGAATTTGCAAAGATACACCTTTGGGCCAAATACATTTACTGCTTTCGAACCCCCCAAAAAAAAAAGTCGGGCAACTTAGTACGTGGGTAGACCACTGTTATTGGTGAGAAGTTGGGAACCTACAACTTGCGCCATTGGTTTGAATTTCATCAGTCATACAATTTGTTTGTCAGTTTGATAGTCATTATTAAACACTTACACGTTCAGTCTTGAATCACAATCAACGTAATTAACAGTCAAGATATGACAGTGTATGGGGGGCTTTAGATAAATTACATTTACATTAGATTAAAATTGGTTCGTAAATTATAATCGTTCGGTTTTTTTCTCCTTTTGTACATTATTGTTTAATTTCTATTACTGATCACTATAACCGAAAATCTGAACGCAGTAAGCGGTGAAAAATGGGCTGATAACTACTGTTTGTTCCGTTCCTGGCATTTATGATCACTATAAGCAGCTGATTCTCATAACTAGGGAACACTATAGTCTATAAGCGGCGACCACTGTATTTTTTATGTACTTTTTTTATAAGAATTTTATCATCTAATTTTGACGAAATTCGTAAATATTAACTGCCTTTCAAATGGTTTTAACCGAACTCCACTCCCAATGGTTTTTCATTAGCGATGGTTTATCATTGCATATAGATATAAATTAAATTCCCCTTTATATCCTACAATCCCAACTTCTCACCTGCAACAGTGGTCTGCCTGTCGTACGAAGTATGTCCGTCTTTTTAAATTTAAATTTGATTCGTAGTTTGTGACTTTGTGTGTTATTTCGGTTTTCAAAAAATATAAAATAAAAATAAATTTGACTACTTTTTAATCTGCAAGAAAAGAAGTAAAATAATCACGCAGGGATAAAAAAAATCTGGGATAAATGTAGGGACAAAGGTCGAAGTTAACGACTAAATAATAATTTATTGCTTATTTATAATTATTATTAATCCAGCGCCGTAGTCGCGTGGCAAAACTAAGTAAAAAGAATAGAGCTCGTGCGTCGACCGCAGTATATTACACGAGACGGCCAACTTCTATTTAACCTATGTAATTTTTATGGCAAATAGTCTGACCTCTCTGTAGCCTAAACTAATGGACTGATTGTTTTGAAATTTACACGGATTTTATGTAAATGATACTTTTGTAAATTTAAAGTTGATCGGATGATTACAGCCTGAGTAATATGCATAACTTCAAAAGTATTAGCATAATTTTGTAAAGACCCAAAAAGGGGGGGTTCATTAGGTAGGTGCCTATTCGGATATGAATGGCGAATTTCCCCTTTATGAGGCAATATCTTTTCCTATTAGAGGAAGTACAACCGGGGTCATGAGTGTAAATTGTATATAGCTAAGTATTTATGTGTCCAACGAGGTATGCAGATATTCGTCTATATATCTGCCGCGAACGGGAATACGTCTTTGAGTAGCAAAGTTCTGAATGTGAAAAAATATACGCAACGTGTATTTTAAACTACGTATACGGTTTACAATAATTTAAAGTAAGGAAAACTATTTAAAATAACTAAACAAAACTGAATAAAATAAAACACGGAAATTGCACTACATAAGTTTAACAGTTGGACATGATTAGTCGGAGCCTAAGTCTATGTTAAGACTGGATGATTATTAGATTGTAAGCGTGGGGTTTTATAGTATTTTGAAGTGAGATTGTCGTTATTGTTTATTTATTAAAATGATATATAATATGGAACATAGTTATACAGTATAATTATTTCTTTTTTTACAGATATATGAAATAGTAATATAATTTTGTAATGACGGGTGTTATAATATATTGATTTACGATTTTATGATTAATTTTAAATGTGTATTAGATTATCTTAATATTATGTTTATTTATTTAGCGTATGGTTTATGGTTCATGCATTAGACTAATTATAATATGGTAAAGTAAGGTAAATCTAATTAATGTATAACAGATAAATAAAACAAAAATAGGGTAATTAGTAGTATTACTACTAATATTATGTTAATGATGATACACGAGTATCACTACAGTTTTTACTCGAAACGCTATTTTGTTCAACATTTCAAATATATATATATATTATAATATTATTATGTTGTACACATTGTTACCATCTGTTTGCGACGGTGGCCGTTTGCGGCGAATAAAATACAATTTTGTTTATTTATTTTATCGTTGTATTACCTATAGTATCGTTTTCCAGCAACATTCATAAGCTACACATAATATTATATTCGTTTATTCAACCCATACAACAACAAAGAATTTTTATTGGGATAATAATTATTTCGTTACATAAAAAACGTATCTATTAATTATTGTTTTACTGATTTTTGAACAATAAACTTGGAAGTAAGTTCTAGAAACCTCAAAGGTGGGAGAAGGAGCTAAGTAACCCACTTCTGTGTATGCTATTCAATGCCCAATCTTCTCCCTTAACCAATCCCGAATAAATCGCTGCTTCGCACGATGGATAGGCCACTGTTTTAGGTGAGAAGTTAAGATTATCTGTACGTAACATTTCTTTTATACATGTACCTACATTTTTCCATTTTTCCAATGTTTTTCCCGGTTTCTCCAATTATTATGAAAACCGCTCGGAAAATTACAAAATGACCTCATTTCAAAAAGGGTACTACACTAGAAAATTAGAGCAATATTTCTGATAGAAAAGTTGTTTACAGATAAAGAAACAAAGAAACACCATTGTATAACCATACATATATCTCGCTATACTCCGAATCTAAAATGCATTTCGACGAATTATTTATATTATTGTTATTATTATTATTATTAATAATAACTACTACTTACAACATGTATAAGTGCCAAAATAAATATTCTTTTAACACTATACAATTGGCATAATTTAACAAATTATATACTCAGTTATAAGTTATATATTATGTAAATTGTAAGGGGAAAAGTTGTATGGAAATCTGACAGTTCTTTGTTTGTTCAAAGTGTTTATTGTGTTTTCGGTTTACTATTGCAATGGTTTATCATTGCGTATAGATATAAATTAAAGTCCCCTATATATTCTACCTTCCTAACTTCTCACCTACAACAGTTGCTCTCTCTACCTGTCATACTAAGTTTGTTCGTATTTTTAAATTTAAATTTGATTTGTATTTTGAGATTTTGTGTTTTATTTCGGTTCTGAAAAAATATAAAATAAAACTTAAAATTAAATTACATTTAATTACTTTTTAAACCGCAAGAAAATAAGTAAATAATCATGTGGAGATAAAAGATCAAAGTTAACCAGTCAATAATAATTGATTACCTATTTTAATTATTATAAACAGTAATTATCTCATTACCTACTAAAGTCCGATACACACTCGTACGACACGACACGACAAGAAATGACACGAAAAAAATTCTATCAATATAATTGTATTTAAAGGTAATTCACACCGATCCGCAAACTTCGTAACGACATGACACGACACGATAATTCATTCGAGCAAAGAATGTTTTATCGGTCTGTCGGTGCCTGTCGGAATCAATTTATATTTATATTTCTAAGGTGTTTAGTATGTAACTAGAAGTTGCGCATTTACGGGGGGGGGTGATATTGGGGTCATATACCCCAGGAGGTTGTTTAAAAAATATGTTGATAATTGTATGAAAAAAATGTATGCTATTGAATTCAATATTGAAAAAAAATTAAATTAAAAATAGCAATTATCTTATCTGATTGTTTATGTCTCTAAAAAGATAGCATTAGCCAAAATAGTGTAAAAATGTGGTTTCTTACCCAAACACAATATCACAATATTATATGTATTTTTTTTCATTTGTGTCCATTTGTCGTGTAAAGACATTTGTTACAGACTACAGTACTCATATTAATTTTTTTCTGATAGTTTTAATTTCAAGTATTTAATTAAAAATGAATGCTGAAATGCTAATAGAATAAGTGAGAGACCGACCGTGATTGTACGATATGAGCATAAAAAAGTTTGGTGATCATGCAGATTAAGAGTGTTTGGAAAGAAATTGTATCCATATTGAAACAACCAGGTAGGTAAGCAATAAAATATTAGGTAATAATTACTTAGATTTATATGTGTTTATAATAAAAAAATATGTATACGACGAGCCCTCCCCCAAAAAAATGAATATTAATAGAATTATTGGTATAAGGATAATATTGTAGGAGACTCTGTATGAAGAGGTGAGAAATCAAAAGTTCGTAAATTCAAAAATAATGGCCACACTAAGGACGAAAATAGTGCGACTTGATTTGCATGACGTAACCGGCCGTGACGCCAAAACTTTGGAAAAATATCAAGGACTCTTATGCCACGAATAAAAGGAAGCCAGGTACTGGATCAACAGCATCGAATAAAAAAAAGTGACGTTACCATCTCAACTTGGATTTTTAAAGAAAGTAGAATGCGAAAGAGAGTAATATAATATAATATAATAGTATAACATAATTATAAATAATTTATTAACGTTTGTAATATAGCAGGACTGGACTTTATAGGCTACAGTATGTTTTGGAAATTGTTTTTTTACATAACATTCGTAATTGTTAAAATATATAACAATTAAAATACAATTAAATATTGTATAGTATGACACTAGCATTGACATTATTATCTAAATCTTTAATATAAAAAAAAAAAAAAAAATGGTAATTTTTTTTCTGTCTTTCTTATCTTATCTAGATTTATATTTAACAAAATATTACTTTTTCGGTACACACTATACTAATACTCTTGTCTATATTAGTAAACTACTCGTATTATGTGAATACGAGTGGCAGTTTTTTTTTTTTTGTTTTTTGATCGTAATAAACTTCTTTCTTTTTTTTCACTTCTTAATGATTTACTTCAACTTCTTAGTTTTTTCCTCATAATTTTGCTTTCGAAACTCAATACACTGTGTGACTGCGGAAACAGGAAAAAATGTGAAATTCGAAATAGCCAGGACCTGGGGATGTGTACGTATTTAAACGACCGATTTTTACGACCTACGTTCTCGATTTTTTAAAATCCTATTTTATTTTACTCACAGTAAAAGAGTGTACAAAACATGAGCCAACATGTGAGATTCATATAGGAGAGCCTTAAAACATACAGTTACCAAGTCTGGACAAAAATTTAAATTTATAAAAAAAATGGAAGTATGAAGATGAGATGCAGTTTTTAAAAAATCATTTAAAAGAAAAGAAATAGAAACAATAAGTCATGTCGGTATAGTGAGTGGCGAAGATGAAGACCTATTTGAGCCTCATAAGGAACCGGATGAGGAATATCAACCCGACAGAGACACTCAACCTCATATTGATACTACCCATAATACTGATATTTATGATAATCAACCAAGTCCAAACATATCAATAGTTAATCAAGTAATACAAAAAGAGGTTCACAAACCAATTTCATTACCAAAAAGAAAAAAATGTATCAAATTTGCCTTCAGAAACTGTATCTTCAACATTGATGAAATATATACTAAAAAAAAAGATAAAGAAAACCTAATGGAAAAAGAGTAGTCAGGTGCTTTGGACCAATTATTTTTGAGTATATATTCAACAGTTAAACAATTTTCTCCGTACAATCAGCATTTAGCCAAAACAAAAAGTTTTTTCTATTGTTTCCGAGATAAAATTAGACAGTTTGAAACAAACACAACGACGGCTACTATTCCAACGAATTCCACAATCTACTTCAAACTTTAATTTTCAACCTCGGACGCAAGTAGATGATTTTCAGATTTCACCAGATTAACATCAACTAAACTACATCAGTCACCAAATCCCAGGTTGTATACACTTCAACAACATTCTGAAAATAATCAAGAGGCATCAAACACGTCTTCAACAACTAGATTTTCCAAAATTTTCAAACTGGTACAGATAGAAACCAAATCAACTAAACATTTTTTTTTTTTTGTAAGTATTTATAGTTTATGGCGTACTTGTAAAAATTTGTCTTTCTTTAAAAAAAAAATTTTTTTTTTTTTTCTAAAGGTTTCATTAAAACAATATCTTTTTATTAAAAGGTTTCATTTTATATTTAAAAAACAAGATGTTTTTTTTTATCTTTTAAGTACTTATTTTGTATAGTTTTTGTAACATTCATTAACATACAACAAAATTATTATAAGATACCTTTTTCTGCGTCCAATTACTGGCAAATCGTAATTTTTGAAACACGAATGTAATACAATTTAATAATTATATATAAATACATAGTAAATTTTGTCAATTTTCACGGAAGTTTTCCTGCTGATGAACAAAAGAAATTTTTAAATTTGTCCCGGTTTTCGAAAGCTCCTTATTGAGCGCTACCTCCTTGACGATTTAAAGATGTTATATTCCCTGCATGTAAAGATACATTTTATGAAACTTCTCTGCTTTGAACGTCGGCGGTATCTTCTTTAATATAATTGTAGAGTATACAAGTTGTCATTACAATGGTATCGGCTTTTTGTGTTAATGCATTAAGTCTTCTACAATAGATTTTAAACTTTACCGTTAGTTGACTAAACGCATTCTCGATAAACTTACGTGCTCTTGAAAGATAATAATTAATTTTTTTTTTATTTTGATCTTCATGCACACAAGTGATCCTGGATAAGGTCTCAACAAATATTTTTTGAGTGGAAAAGTCTCATCTTCTATAATAACTACAGGTAATTTTTTATATGTACTTGGCAAATATTGTTCATTTGAAATTTTATTCCGAAGTATCAAGTGTAGCCCATTTTCTGAAATAAAATTTTGTCAAGTTGGTGGAATATGATCATATTTTGATTTTCCAAGGGGCTTTCGAAATAATAGGAAGAAACCGGAAATAAAATTATAGTTGAAACGGCAACTATTTACGGAGCAACACAGCGTTACCAATTTTGTTGTTTTTAATTTTTGCAAACTATGTTTTCTACCAGAAATATTGCTCCAATCGAAAAATGACAAGAGGTCGATTCTTTTAATTAAATACTTATTATACAGTGTAAAATAATTAAATAGGCATTATATATTTTCTTTAATAATATTTGTTTAATATTAATCCGGTTTTCTCATATTTTTTCCCGATTTTTCGTTTTTGCTGGGAAAATTCTTGGTAAATCGAAAAACTAACTTCTCTAAAGTACCTTCCAGCTATATTTCCTTTCAGAAAAAGTGCTATAATTGAAACTTGCTTCTTCTCTCAAATTTTTTGTGAACTGTTGACAATTTTTATGAAAAATGTTTTCTATAATTTTAAGGAATTTATCTAAAGCAATATTCGGACCAAGATTAGAAAATTCAGATTTCCAGTTTATGGTTCTGATTGAGTGGTTTAAGTTGTTTAAGTTTATATAAAAAGAATCCAAGTTATTAATCATAATTTATATTATTAGAATAGAAAATATCTAAACTATCACTAGGTACCATTTATCCAAACAATAAAACCAAAATGGTCTGTTATACTACATTTTAAAATATAATTACGAATATAATTTTTATTAACATTATTAATATATAAATGATCAATACAAGAAATACTAGAATTTAGTACGTAGGTGCCAGGTTAGTCCCTTATAAAAATTAAAGGTGGACGTGCCTAATACATTGGAATAGTTTAAGACATGATCATTAGTGTTAAAAAAATTAATATTAACGTCACAACAAATAAAAGTAGTTTTCCGCTTTTATTAATACATAATTATGCTTTAAGAGATTCAATAAAATTAGCTGTATTAGTAAAATAAGGGGATCTATATGAACCAAAAATAATACATGTTTATTGTTTGTATATTATTATCTCCATAGAGTTACATTCTTGTAAAAGCATAGTTCTACAACTAATTATTTTATATGAATTATTTATGACCAGTCTTGTTAGTAATATAAGAATAGATTAATTTATATCCATTTATTATTAAAATTATTATTAAAAAATTATAAATTAAAATTTATTATTAAAATCCATATCAAGTTAAGTTTTACAGAGTATAATAATATAAAAACACGATATTTTATGGAAATTAATAAAAGTAAAAAATCATTTATGTGATATATCATTTATTTTCATACGCAAATTATTTTTTGATGTTTATATAATAAATTCTTCTTGTGATTTATTCTTCTGTATTTATATATGTTTACATTATTTTTATACAGTAGTTAAAGTAGTTAATTCTAATTTTATTTTATTATATGTATACATAGCAGTATCTATTTTATTAATTTCTACAAGGAACACAATATAATATAATTTGTACATATTACTATTGAATTGTCATATGTCTTATCGTACCCTAACGTCGCTAAATATTAAGTTGTAATGCTTTAGTTATTTAGAAGTTATAATTATTTTAGAAGTTTACTTGAAATCGATTTTCCCACATTTTTGGTTTTTAATTTTAATTTCTCAAAAAATGTAATATTTTTTTTCTTCAATTACTCTTTTATTAGTACGGCTTTTTTTCGAATTTAAGTTGATGAATTTAAAAAGTGGAAAAGTCAATGTCAAGTAGACTTCACGAAAAATTCAAATCTGTTTTCAAAATTTTAATCGCTTAACTAAATCGATCAGTTCGTTGGAATTAAAACAAGTCTAAATTCCTATATCTCACGTGTGTAAGCCAAAAACAGAAACTCGTCGCTTCCAATTCCCTTAAAGATGTTTGTAATGCATTAAATATGCGAATATTTTTAATAAATATATGCAATTTATATGGAATTAGATAATTAAAATCGTATTAGGCAGGAGTCAGTATTACAACAATTTAATAAATATCACGTTTAACGTCCGAATAACTACTATCTGTCTATGTCTACCCTAAGCCCCTGCCATTTTCGCGAAACGACTGACCGCAATTTAATTCCAGATTCTCAATCTGCATTTCTTAACCGAAATTTTGTTCCATGTTAGAACTCGGCAAAATAAATCTAAGTATTTTTAAAATAACTTCCAAAATAGGACACTTTTACCTAACCTAAGCTATTGTTGTCTTTCAGTCGGCTTCATATCATACATATATGCTTATTTATTACCTATCTAACACCTCTATAACAATTTTTCATTTTTGTGAATCACTGGACTCTGTTATCATTTATTGCTAGCAAAATACGTAAAACACGAATAATAACGTTAATACCATGTTTAAGATATACAGAATATTGAACGGAAAGGTCTTATAATTTTTTCTAAGTCCACCCACTTCTCACTATTTGGCATGACAGCTAAGGCTTTTAAGACAAATGTACATTTTTGTGACATAATGACATAAAAATCACTCAGTTAACTACAACATAAATGAGTCAATGTATAGGTATAGCTATTTTTGCTCTATAATATTCCTCAGGGTCATTAAAATAAGGGTTAGCTCGTATTCTACACTTTTTACTCAAACGTTTCATTGATATGATAATATCTAATATAATAGCCATTTTCTAAAGTAATTTTCATTAATTAAATTAAAAAATATAATAGTTAAGCATTGATTGTCTTTACTTCAGCTTCTTCAAACAATTTTTTAAACTCTTCAATTATATTTCTGCAACTATTCATTTTTGCTATAGTTAAATGAGCGACTTTTATGTCACACAAATGTACTTAAAGGTTAGTATGTTACTAAATTAAAACTATGCTCCGATATGTACCTGCGACATTATTTCTAAAACGAAATATTTTCCTGATAGTACTTATAGGGCATTTTTTTATTTTCTCAGGTTTATTCCCAATAAATAGGAAAAACGGAAAATGTACAAAATGTATGTATAAATATTGATTAAAAATATAATAGTTGGTTTCACAACACTAAGCACTCGATCGAAGCTTGATCCGTGGTCTAAGTTTACAATTCCATTGTTTCCCAAATGCATTCCAATTTATAATCTTGTTTATTTTTTTAATCATTTTAAATAATAACGAAAACATTTTTTTTTTTATTTATTAGAGTATAATTTATTAAGTAGATTAAATATGATTTGTGTACACATAAGTATTTTTTTAATACAATAAATCAAAATAATTTCAGTCATTTTTAATAAAAAAAAATTAAGATCTTTCGCTGTCGCTCTCACTATCACTACTATCATCAGGATTGATTGTCAGTATTATTGGTGTCAACATTTCGTCTCTTAATCCTTCTTTGATGAAATCTTCGTCTTGCTAAGTTATGGCAGTGATCGGTACATTTTTTCCAATTCTCAACAGTTACTGAGTCCAATGCGTCATTTAACAATTTTTCGACATCGACAAATTTAAAAGTTGTACTGTTTTTAACGACTTTCCCTTTTACCTGTGCACATATTAACTCAATGGGATTGTATACATAGGTTACTAAAATGTGAAATATACCTAACAGCTGTCATTATATTTTTTTTAAATGTGGCGCGCTTTTATACGAACATTTTTTGAAACCCTGACGAAAATTGACCACGGGTCGCGCTTCGATTGAGTGCCTGGTGTTGTGAAACCGACTATAGTATTTATAATCAATAATATTAGTTAAACATATTATGGTCTTTTTTCCTGTGAACAGTTTTTCCACCAGGACTTTGAGTACAGATCCAGAATTTGTTTTTCTTTCCCGACATTTAAGTCTAGGTCAGAAAGTAGTGACGGACTTGTGAGTATTTAATTATTTCCAAAGTAAGATGCTTTTACCTACCTTAATCTACTGTCATATTTTAGTTGGCTTCTTATCGTACATTTGTGCTTCTTTAGTGTTTATCTAACGCCTTAATAGCCATTTTCAATTTTGGGAACCACTGGGTGGCTCGTTCATCGATTATCTAGCCAACGCCCGTGGAACACATCAACAAAAATTATACAGATAAAAGTATTCAAAAATTGTTTAAAACTGATGTAATAAATTAATATTTAATTTGCGACTGATTGGAAGCACTTTACCCTGAACAGGCATTTTCACATACATCGCTGAGAACGAGAGGACTGACTCCATAAAGCGTTTAATGAACTAAAGTTGTTTCCGTTAATCCAGGTAAATTAACATTTAGGCATATTTTTACTTTGCGCGCCCCTTTTTTTTTTTTTATTTCTGATACTTATGTAGTTAAGCATGCTTAAATCATTGGTTGTCAGAATTTATGGCTCAGATTTAGTTTTTGTGTTAAGCACTTAAAATTCAGTATACAATATACATTATATGTATTATGTTCTTATTGGCATATTTCTAGTTTAGCAACCTATCCATTTTTTAGATTTCTTTATTTTTATTATATGTGCATATATAATTGAATAACAGTCTTACGGGAGGATCGAACTTTGAACACCAAATTATAATTCAAGTGAAGTTATTACTGTGCAATAGTTCGATTGGCTATAACTTTGAAACTAAGTTCATGCCCCAAATTCTGATTTCATTAACATTTTTTTCATCAATAAAATTGCCAAGTCCCCCTATAAAAGAGGTGTCAAATTTACTATAGAAGCCATATATTATAAACTTGTCAAATTATTCTAAATTTAATAGAAAAAAAATATTTTATGTAGTTTAAAAATAATCTGAAATTATTAGTACATATAAAATATAAATATATTATAACAATTAAATAAATTATTGAATGGAAAAATACCCACACATTTAGTTGATGAAGTCACATAATTCATTTGTTCAGATAAATGCAATCAATGGTACCATTATGACTCAAAGCTATGACTATTTTTTTTTTATCTTCAAGTGAAACACAAGCATTGAAAAATGCTAATCCTAATAACCATTCACTTAATACTCTAATTGTTCTGCTAATTTATTTAATGTCACTTATCTTATTTATTTTTTTTTTCAGTACTATCATATTACATTAAATCTTTGAGTATTTGAAGATCATTCACTGGTGTTAAGATTGAACTCATATACCTATTTTTCAAGTAAACCCGAACAATAAAGACATAAAATTGTCAGATAAAATTTTAAATGCAATCTATAATTTAATATATATATTTTTCAAACATTAAAGAATTGAACCAATTGATTTAATGTAGAACAAACTATTCTAAAATTACTTCTGACAATTTTAATTAAAAAACTTTAAAAGAATGCATTCATTTTAAAGCTAAATATTCTATATAAAACACATTGTATTAATATTTCTATAATATATAGTTTTCAAAATTTCAATTGACTACTAAATTCAGTTATAAATAAATATTTTTCATTGATATGACTGTTTATGATGATATTGTGAAACATCTGTAATGCAGACATTTTTAAAAGTCAGTGCAATACATATTTCATATGATTTATTAAAATAAAATCAATAAAATGATAAACAAAAAAAAAAATACATATAGGTACATATTATACGTGAAAATTATGTATGTATTAAATTTTTAATCCTTAAACATTAAAATTAAAAATATGCCAAGTATTTTATAAATTCTTCCAAGTTTTTTTAATTATATATTTATGAACTAAATATACTTTTGCACAATAGTTTAATTTGTTTGCATATTCAAATTATATTATATTATTTACTACCAATTATAATAGTATATCTATACTAATATTATAAAGAGGAAATATTTGTATGATTGCAACAAATAAATTTAAAAACTACTGAACTGATTTCAAAAATCCTTTCACAATTAGAATACTACATTATACCTGAGTATCATAGGCTATATTTATTACTAGAAAAAAATAGGGATCCCCACTAAAATTGCAATAATTAGGTGTTTAGGTATTTTTGGTAATTGTTTATTTATTTATTTTTGGGTTACCTTGGTGATATTGATGATAATTTGGTTGCCATAAATTAGAAAAATATTATTATTATTATTATTATTATTACTATTATTTACACTATTATCTATCAATAGCAAAGCATGTACTCTGTTTACCTTTTTTTCTCTGATTTGTAAATGGATATCAGCCAACATTTCAGAAATGTTATGTACTAAAACAGAGCTTATAAACCTAAAAAAAAAAAAATATTTTCAGCAAATTATTAATTAATTACAAAAAAAAAACACAATCTAAAAATACAGTTTGTAAAAGAAGAGCATGAATTAAAAATGAAAATACTTTAAAAAAACTGGGTTAATTTTAAATTATATAAAAATAATCTTTTTTAACTATCTTAATAAAAATGTTCTTTTGGGAATTTAACAATTGTATGATTTAATAATAATAATAAATATTATTGACTAGTATAAACTTATATAGTTAAAAAATATTTAGCTGTTTTTAAATATTTTTAAATTTTAAAGATATTAAAAATAGTCTATAATTAAACTCGTTCTAACAAATGTTTTAATATTTCCTTTGTCTACTACAATTAACAGTACATTCGGTTCTTTATTTATAGGTTGTTGGTTCATAATATTTTGGTATATTTAAGGTATTGATTCTCTTAATAATGAAGCTAAATTATGTATTAATGCTGTAGCTAATATTATTGCTTAAGCTCTATCTGGCGGTCTTATACCAAGTGACAATACTAGGAATCTTCTCTTCCATACTCCAAACAAACATTCTATTATATTCTGAGTTCTTACTTGGAACTCGTATAATAATTCAGCACTTGTATTTGGAGAGATTAATGGAACTAATATATATGGAGAACATTCATAACACCTTTATCACCCTAATAAAATATTATCTCCCATTTTGTTTGTTTTAAATTGAAAATGTAGTGTCAAGTTTTTAAATATGACTTGATCATGGGTCCAACCAGGCCATCTAGCAACTATATCAAGAACTTCAAGTGTAGGTCCTCCAACTACTTGAACATTTAATGAAAAATAACCTTTCCTATTTCTATACACTTCTGTTATATTCCCTTATAAAAATATAATTATAATTAAACTTCATTTAATTTAATTTCAAAATAAATAATAATGAAAACTATGAAGTAGTTCGACAAATTACCGATTGATTGAAGTTTGACATGAGTACAATCAATAGCACTTATAATTCTTGAAAATTGATATTGCAAAAGTTCAGTCTAGTTTCCTGAATATTACAGTGATATTCTAGCATTATAATTTAAAGTGGTCTGGAAGAACTGATAGCTTCAGTAACTGTTCAAACTATATTACAGGCTGAAGTTTCACTGGCACATATAATGTCTCCAGCAACAGGTTAAATTGTTTGTAATGCATAAAATCTAAATATCAATAACAATTTCATTATAAGCAATATGTATGGTTTCTGAAAAATAAATAAAAACAAAATGTTTATTTACTTATTTTAATTTTTTTTTTAATAGAAACAGTATTATAATTTATAATTATAATAAAAAAAAAAAAAAAAACAATTTTGAATCATTGCTTGGAAACAAAACAGTGAACACTTAAAATATAATAATACTGGGAATTGTTTGCTTTTGATCCCCCCCCCCTTTAAAGTAGATCCGATTTTCTACTGGAAACCATCCTCAAAGTTAAACAGGCATATACAGGACATACATGTAACCACTGTTATATGTGAGAAGTTTTTTTTTTATCAAATGCCCAGAGACTATTTATTATTTAAACAACTTGAAGGTCTTTATAAATATATATTTATTGTATATACTAGATGTTAATATATACTTTACATTCTTATTTGGTTTCAGACTCTTAAGGCATCTAATGTCTCTAATGAAGTTGTCTAATAATTGGATGGCTAGTGGATTGATATGGTGATCTCATCTTGTCTCGCGTTTGTGAGCAAACTTTCATTACCCTTGTTATTAGGGTCAACTTTTTTTTAATCTGGATGTTCGTAACATTAAATACAAGATGTCCTAATTCGGATAGTTAATTTTCAATGTCGCAAAGGTCAGGGTGTAATCCACAAACTACCACATGGAACTTTTTCTGTTTTAGGTTGGTATCTGAGGTACTCAACTTTTTGTTCTTGTAATACTTTTATAGTTCATCGAAACTGGTGTTGTTGAAACGGGTGGTTGCCCGATAATATTTTAATTTCATCAAGGTTTTGCCTTTACTTAAGTTCTTAATTGTTGCTCGTATCCCTCAGCTTCTTTGAGTTTCAAATTATCCATTAGTTTTTTAGGATCATTTATACCATATACTGTTGTTGGAGGTGATTTGTGGATTTGTATAGAAGTTCTCACATAGGTGAGAAGTTGAGAATGTAGGATACAGTAGGCAATTTAATGTTTATCTGTTAGCAACGATAAACCTTTGCTAACAAAAAACGATTCTAAGCGCAATTCAGCTGATAGTCACAGATTCCAGTGACAGTTACATCGGCTTTGTTGGAGCCAACAAGCTGGGGTCGTCGTTGTCACCCAGTGTGTTCGTGTCACGCTAAATACTTCATCAGCGGTGGCAGCTGTGTCCAGGTCTAGAACCTCGAGAAAAACTATTGGAGCCAACCTGGAGACAGTACCAGTTTGTAAGCCGAGATTGTCGTCAAGAATGCCCTGAGCTTGTCCACTATGATGACGGCTGTTTTGCTCCTAGTGAACTCGACCAGGTCATATTCATATCAGGTGTTGATGCTATGGTCGGAGGGGTCACACGACCCCCTCCTAACCACGCGTACTGTGTCGGCGAAGGACGACCCCACTCTGATGCCCTAGATCTTTGAAGAGATGTCCTAGTCGCCAAATTCATGCGACCAATGATGGTGAACCAGTCTGCGGCCGGGTTGCCGGGTGTTGAAATGGAGGGTTTTGGAGAGTTATCACCACATTTGTCGTGTGCGGAGGGCGTCAGATACCGTGTGCAGAGCGCCGGAGCGAAACGAAAGTTCCCCCGTTATTTCATCAACTGACTGCCAAACGGAGATGACGACCAGTTTAACAGTAATTAACTGTAATTTTCAATGACTTTCTCGCATTAATCTGCCTTATTTGTTAGATGGCGTTAGTTATGTTGACTTTGAGTGCATCAGTCGTTTACGGTTTATTTACATAAATTTGCGATTTAAGATAACTCCAAAAGAATAATCTAAAGGTTTTAAATCACACGATCCTGGTGGTCTATTCACGTTTACACTACGTGAGATGATAACCATGTGCTCAAATCTCACACAGAATGTGCATCATCGCATGGGCAGTATGATACGTCATGTTGGAACCACATGGCTTCGGTAACCATATAATGTAGTTTAGGCCACAAGAAAATTTTTATCATCGATCTGTAACGCTTGTCTTTGACAGTTATAGTAATTCCAATTTTGTTTTGGAAGAAGTAAGTACATACCGATTATTCAGCCAGACTAAAATCCGCTCCAAATAGTAACTTTCTCTGATTACATTTGGTGCTCATGTATCTATTGTAGATTGATAACGACCCAAATCTGACAAATTTGTTTAACATATCCAGTCATCTAAAAATGGGCCTTGTCGAAATATTTTTTTTTTGGTGAAATTCAAAATTTGGTTTTTCAAACGGAGCACTGATTTTGAAATTAAAATTTAATAATTTTCACACGTTTTTCATCACTATAACCTTCCATAGTGATTTGTCATATACCACTGAACAATTTAAAATAGATTTGACACATACTGTTCTAACAATACAGCCACTATCACTGATTAAAGTTCGACATCTCTATTAAAAGATGCCTTACATACCTTAGAGAAAAAAAATTGTTATATGCATATATTAAAAACATTTATTTAATATTTAATAATATTAATACCGTTAAAATAATGAGAACTTTTATATGTTTTGTTCCATTAGGTCAATATAACAACCACGAGATCATCTTCAGAATGTTTTCTTTGGCAAAGTTATCATATTTTGCATGCAGTGATTCAGACAAGAAATGGTACAATACTGTCCCAAAGTCAAAAATAGAAATTGATTTGGGACCCTGTTGTAAAATCCTATTGAGTAATACAACCGAGAGGCAAAACAAATTAAAAGATTTTAAAGTGTGTGCCTTAGCAGCACAAAGTGGACATTTAGATTGTCTTATATATGCCCGCAGTTTAGGATGTAAATGGAACAGTGGAACATGCAATAATGCAGCAGAAAATGGACATCTTGAAATATTAAAATATGCTCATGAACGGGGCTGCCCTTGGGACATTACTACTTGCAACTTAGCAGCTATGAATGGGCATCTTATCACTTTAAAGTATATTCATGAACATGGTTGTGAATGGGATAAAACCACATGCAAAATGGCATCTGCACACGGGAGTTTGAATACTTTAAAGTATGCTCATGAACATGGCTGCCCTTGGGATAAAGGAACTTGTGAAGCAGCATCTGCATTTGGACATCTTAATACTCTACAGTATGCTCATGAACAGGGCTGCCCCTGGGATATTGACACGTGCAAAATGGCATCTAATCATGGGCAGGTTAACACTCTACAATATGCACATATGCATGGCTGCCCTTGGGATGCGAGTACTTGTGAAGTGGCATCCTTATCTGGGCATGTTAACACTCTTAGGTATGCCCATGAAAATGGGTGCCCGTGGGAAGCAACTACATGCGACTTGGCGGCCATGATTGGGCAATATCACACTTTACGATATGCTCGTGAACATGGTTGCGCTTGGAATATGGATGCCTACATACTGGAATTCCTAAAAATATATCCTCCCATTCATAAATATGCTCTTGAACAGTTTCAAATTTAATATGGACATTCTTGATAATCTCTTATTATTTTGTAAAATTTATTTATTTATTTAATATGGACATTCTTGATAATCTCTTATTATTTTGTAAAATTTATTTATTTATTTAATATGGACTTTCTTGATAATCTCTTATTATTTTGTAAAATTTATTTATTTATTTAATGTAAGGTTAGTGTGGATACCTTCTTAAAAATTTTTCTATTCAAATTTGATTTAATCTATAGTTATTGGAAAAAATTCACAACTAAAACCATTAATATATTATGAGTTTACCTATACATATTTTGAAATCAAAGTTTTAAAACTGAATTTTCTCTTTCTATGTTGTATAATATTTTTTTTATAATAATTGATATCAGTCGGTAAATTAATTATTGATGTGTAACACAATAACCATATGGATTATCGAATTTCTAAATTACAGGAGGAGTAGATCTACGTAGGAGGTCATCAACAAGATCCTTGATGTGGCCAGATGGGCCAGACAGGCATCAGCATGTACTTTACATTCTACATATCTCCCTGGGACCATGTGGATACGGCTTTAAGAAACAAAGGAGTACCAAACTAAACAAAAAAATTGACTCCAAACACTGTAAAACTTTCTGACAAGTGGTTAGAACATTTATTGATAGCAATATCTGCTCTATGGCCCACTGAAAATTCTGCCTGGGGTTCAAAATGTGTTAGGTACCATCAAATCTTGGTCATGGCTGCTTGTGACACCCTATCTTTCTTTGATATTGTAGAGGATATAGTGTGCCACAAGGAGCAGAGTCAAAGGACCAACTTACTACCAGAAGACTGATTTTTTTTTTTTTATTTTAAACATAGAATATTTAGTCTGTTATTATTGAAGTCCCTAGTAAATTACTTATTCGAATTATAAGTAAAAATGATAGTGAAATAATATGATCAAATAGATTTTAATGTTTGATTTTTCCAAGTCCATATTGTAATATTATTTTCCTATTTAAACAGACTTTTAAATCTAAATGAATTTAAAATTCTATAAACATGATGCCTATTTATTATTAAAATTTATATTATTAGTATTTTAGTAAACTCTTTAAATAAAAAAAACCCTCCACCTCAAGATATTTAATTAACCCTCTGTTACACATATAAAAAAAATCCTATTTTATCTTAATTGTAATATTTTACTATTGTTTTGCTTTAGTTTATTTATATACTGTAATATATGGTCTAAGTATAAAAAGAAAAATTATTTGTAAATAAATATTATTATTATTATTTTCATTATTTTGTAATGTTATGCTCACACAACATAATGTTATACATATATAATTATTTATCATTTATATCATTACAAAAATGTAAATAATTTAATAAATATAATGGATCGTTCCCTATTCGAGAGGACTACAAGCTTATCTATGAGCAAGTAATTTAAAATGTGTCAAATATAGTAGAATCCCATGCCATCTGCGGCAGCCTTTTGAAAACACTGCTGCCTCAGTCATACTATTGTATGTTATCTTATTCTCACAATTCGATTATTAGTTATTTTATATTGACGACATCGATGCGAAGGCTATCTGTTCTGTCTTTTTAAGCCCACAAATTCCAATGGTTTTTTTTGTCATTCGAGAAGAATCCATATCCGATCTATTATTATCATTAAGAACATTTAAGTATGAGTCAAATAAAATTAAGCAATAAATACACAACATTAATCGGCCTTTTGATGATACCACCATGTCGTCATCATTTTCTCGCACTAGATACTCTTATAATTATTATAATTTATTAATTATTAATTTATTATTATTATAATTATTTCTATACAAATTTCAAATCCACATATAACACTATTTTTTTTCATGGTTGACTTTTTTTTTGGCTTATTTAAACATATAAAATATAACGGTTTTTTTTCAATTTAAAATGAAGTGTCTTGACCCCTTGAGAAATCCCGAGACGAACACTATCAAGAATCCTGCACATAGAATGTGCTCGAATTCTCTCTCGAATAGCTAGCTCCAACTTTTAGCAGCTTTAACCACTCATGTTCGATTTATTTATTAGTTTATTTTATAATTCAACCTTTTATTATATTACTAAATGTTACTTTATTATGTTTAAAAATAAACCATTCTTTGTAGTACTAAAAACTAAATCAATTACTTTTTATTATATAGGTACATTTGTATACCTAATCCTCTCTGTTTTATTCTTTGTAGGTATATCTACGTAATATCCTATTATTTTAAGTATTTTTGTCTTCTATTACTATACATAGTGTCTTAGTCTACTACCATCTAACCACCCCCATAACCTTTTTATTTCCCCTTTTAATTTTCCTATTTTTTGTATTACTACAATTTTGACAAAAATTTAGTTTGAATAATAAACCCTATGTTTTACAATTTAAGATAAAGCAAGCAATAATTAATATAATGAAAAGTTACAATTAACATATCAACTAAAGAAAATAATGCAATATATCCAGACATTTGAAAAAGAAGTATACTCTATTTAAATTTGAATAACTAAGTAGGAAATAACAACAAAAAGGAACTTACATTGTAATATAACTGATTATGTTGTAAAAAAGTATCAGTTCATTTTGACCATAGTAATTATATTGAATCATATTACTTATAATCCTAAATTTTTGAGGCTGCAAATTATACTTCCTTTATTTATACAACATTTGTTTCTTGAAAAATCTAGATGAATTAATTAATTTTATCAAAGGAGCACATTCAAAATCAAAATTATTTCTGCTACAGAACATGTCTTTATGTTTTCAAATGAGAACTGACTTTGTTATTAAACTTAGCTGTGTGATTTCTAAAAAAAAAAAAAAAAATGATATATACACATGTATATTATACATAGAGGGTAAAAAAATATGTAGGTAACAATGTGGATTTATGTAAATGTATTTATTTAATTATAAATATGTAGGTGCCTATGAAAAAATGTATTTATTTAAAACATAAATGATATGCGTACATTTAATTTCGATTATGAACTACAGATTTTGATAACTTGTCCCAATAATTGATTATTTTTGTGAAAATGTTTAAAATATTATCATTGAATTTATTATAATAATATAGTTAATAGTATATAAATATTGTGTAAGTACTATGGTATCATATAGATGGTGCATGATACTATATAATATGTAGTAATATTACTTTGTTTGCTCCAACATTTAATGGTTTCTAAAAGAAATTTTTACTAAGGAGGTACTTCAGAGAGGTCATTTTTCGATTTTCTCATCAAATTCGAAAAATCGAACAAAACCGGGAAAATATAAGAAATGTAGGTATTAGTTAAAATATATTACGGCCTTTTTTTCTGTGCACAACTTTTCAACCAACAATATTATTCCAACTTCTAATGATAGCAATGTTTCTAACAGGAAATTTCAATAGGGAGTAACTGTTTTGATTTTCCCAAGTTTTTTTTCAGAAAATGTGAAAAACCAGGATAACTGTAAAAAAACTGGGAAAATTGGTACAACATTAGACAAATTTTCTTAAAGAAAATGTATAAAGCCTATCTAATTATTTTACTATAATATGGCATATATACTGTTGACAAAGCATTTCTGTCAGAATGGTTTTATCATAAGCAATGGTTTATTGTTGCTTACATTAAATTATCTATACCAGTGTATGCACGCATCCCTATTATTATATCGATTATTATCCTAGGACGTCTTTTTTTTATTTCTGTTTATTATTTATTTTTTGTTTCTCATTTCATCCGTATAACTAAAATAACCCATAATTCAACAAAAATAATTTAATTTTCATACCAATAATACCTGCGAATCTTTTATCCCCTTCTAGGTCATTAATCTAGATAAATAATATCCTATCTTTTAAATTGAACCAAATCACGGACATTCTCATTAAAATCGGTTGAGTAGTTTCAGAGTGCATCACATGTAAACGTCTGCACACTTGATTTTTATGTATACAGAGTGATTCACAAGACGTGATTAGATATATCAATATGAAATAACTTGATATGTATCTTTATACTATGCATAAAACAAAGTGCTATTTTGATTTTATGGTAATCTCAGAAACTGCTCAACTAATTGGCAATTGTTTTTTTTTTTTTCTAATGATAGAATAGGTTTTTAGACTAATTTAAATTCTTTAAGTTAATAAATAATCAAATTACTAATTTTTAAATTATCATTAATCATCATATACACTAGTTTTGTTTACCTATAGCATGTATGTATATTGTTTTACATCATTATGCTAAAAATATAATAATTATTTGTCTAAGATTTTCTTAATATGATTTGGTAGATTAATAGCTGTTATTTCCTTATAGATCTGAAAAGATATTGAGTAAAGTACAAGCAATCTTAAGGAAATGTAATCTAATATATGATGGTATAGATTATGAATCACCTTTAGCTGTACACAATAGTGATAAAAAGGTAACTACCGAAATTTAATAAGTTATTTAATAATATTTCGATTGTTTGTTTTATTTATTTAAAGATTTTTAATGAATTTTATGGCAAGTTTAAATTTTTTTTTTTTAAATTTATGTTATTGTTATTATTTTTAATAATATCACTGAAGACCAAATTTATAATTGTATAATAATACAATAAAATAAGTCAATAATACCAATATTATGTACCAATTTAATTTAAATTGTTTATTTTATACAATAAATATATACTATACTAAAATAAAATATAATTTCTTAATGGTATGTGTCATAATTATGTAAATTAATCAAATTATTTATTTAGGGACATTTTTCTGAAATTAAAGTCTTATTTTTTTTCATATATGGTTCTATATTAATATTACTACACACAAAAAAGAGGCCTGTTTAACTGTATTACTTAACCAAGAGCAAAATTTAGTAACTTAATTAATACCTTGTTTTGATTGTGATTTCTTGTAATCTTTAGTTGAATTAAAAAATACACATATATATATATATATTTTATTTACTGTTAATATCCACTGAAAACAAATAAGCATAAAAATCTATTTTAGATAATACATTTTATTTACTATTATTTTTTAGTAAAAATAAATTTATTTAAAGTCATCTCAAATATAAATATCCAAAATCACATTTAAAAAGATGTCCTAGGATAATGGGGACGATTGTAACCAAAGTTATAGTTAATAGTGACCTAATGTAGACCTGTAAGCATTAATAAACCATTGTTTACAACAAAAAAAAAAACCGATTAATTAAAACGAAAATAATTAAATAGGCTTTTATTTTTTCTTTAATGACATTTGTTTCACGTTGTACCGATTTTCCTGGTTTTCCATTTTTTTTTTTCGGTTTTTTGCATTTTATGAAAAAATTATTGAGAAAATTAATAAATACCTCCTTTAAGTACCTCCCCACACCAATTTCCTATTAGAAAAAGTCCTACACACAAAAATTGGAGCAAGATCTCTGGTAGAAAAGTTGTTCACACAACAAAAAAAAATCTTTGTTAAACCATAAGCTAGTTGCCTTCTCTCAAAATCTGAAATAGAAAGTAGGATCTACTTAAATTACTATACTAAAATGCATAGTTATTTTAAATAAATTATTATTCTTTAAACTAATAATAAATATTCATTAAAATGCGTTTTCTATATAGATTGATTATATCACTACAAGGTATTAGATTATCTGTAATTTTCTTAAAAAAAAACTGCTTCAAGGCCATCTAAAATTCTCAAATAAGAACCATGTTTATGTTTAGGTATTGCTGTATTAGTATAAATGTTGTTATTCAATGGTATAATAATAATAATAATAATAATTTATTGGCCAAAAAGAAAGTACAATTTTTCATTAATTAATGATTGTATATATATATNAATTATACTTATAAACTATACTTCAAAAACACAAATAGACATACATATAGAACTAATTATTAATTAGAACTATAGTTACTAAAGTATAAATTGCAATAAATAAATTTAATATAATTAAGTACATAAAAAACTGAATAGATAGATAAAGAGATAAAGAGACTACATTATATAGGTACACTGGTATATTACGAAGGGTATAGATCACTAGTATTATTTAACAACCATAATTTAATATAGTGTTTATATATTTTATAAGACGAACTGTTAATAATTTGCAGTGGAATGTCGTTTAATAATCTCAAACCCACTTGCGAAAAACATCGACTAGATTTCGATATACGAACAGTATTATTACACTTCATCAAAATTATAAATATAAAACACTATAATCTGTCTTACAAAAGATCAGGCCATATTTTATGTTTGTAGCCTTTCTCCCTCTGGCACTAGTGCTGTTAGAACTATGGTTGTGTACCATTCTTGTCTTCTTCAGAACAGAGTATAGACAGCTTACTTGTTATAAACCAAAATACTGAATATTCAAGTGAGCCCCCATATGATGATATTTTTCATTCATTAGGTATCACAATAGAGTAGGTATATGACTTAACTTTTAATCATATTCTATTTATGGGAGCTATGTTAGTGGCTCACTATAACCAAAATAATCCCCACCACTTATTGTCACAATTTCTTAGTATCACATGCATAGTGTGCATTGACAGTGGCAGCCATGGAATACATGTGCACTAGATCTGTTGCTGGAAAATATGACATAAATGGGGGGGAGAAGGTTTACATTTAACACAGTTAAGCATATGGAGTAAAACACATGAAGCTTAATTCTTAGTGTATGATTTAAAAGCACAAAAATTAATTATAGCAACCTATACAGATTATCATACAATGTATTGATAGAAAACTTTATGTAAACAATTAAACTTTGATCACCATGTATTTATAATGACTACATCAAATAGCTGTCTAATGTTTTAAATATATAATCAAATCTTAATACTTAGTTGTGTAATTTTAAAGTGCAAAAATATATATATCCCATATATTATACCAGGTGATCAATTTAAATAGGTACACTCATTAACTCGAAACGTATTCAATTTGTTCAGTTTGTTTTCTAAAATATTAAAGAAACAAGCTACTCTAAAATTTAATATTTATGATGTTATTCACCTTAATAAACATAATTTGTATTTTTTATATTTTTAGTATTTTAAGAAATATCCTTTTTCCAAAATTGTGTTCATAAGTGCTATCATAAGTAAGTAACCATCACGTTTATCTTAAATTCGTGATAACCATTTTTTTTCTAACTATAACCGTGGTTTGTGATTGATAGGTTTTGTTATCTAGTTCAGCAATCAGTAGTGGTGGAAAGAAATATAAATTAATTGATTATATTATTTAATTTATTATTTTGACATTTTTAGGTTTTGATTTTTGTTGAATGAAATAAAATAATATATTGTAAGTGCTTATATTATTTTAAACCATATTTGTAGTTTTAATGGTAATAAATAATAATATTTTCACTATTGTTTAATTGTAGTAAAACTTTACTATAAGTTATAACGTACCATTTAATATGTACTGCAGTTGAAGTTTTAACAATATTATTTTTGTATTCGTGGCATAACACACATCTAATTGTATTATTTAAAAAAATCATTCACATATGATTTTGTGACAAACGAATGTGTCATCAAAAACAAATTAGTGGTCTTGTTTATATTGCAACTACAAATAAAATCAATAGATATGTTAAAAGCTGTAATTTTGATCGGTGGTCCATCCAAAGGTTTAGTAAATATTTTTACTTATCAAAAGAATACTGGTATTTAATTTTGTTATTTTATATTTTTATATTTTCAAGGAACCCGTTTCCGACCACTCTCATTAGATGTACCAAAACCTTTATTTCCTGTGGCTGGTCTACCTGTAATTCAACATCACATAGATGCATGTTACCGTTTGGGCCAACATCAGTATCCTAATAAATCTTACTCTAAAAATTGTAGTAATAATGATGGAGACAAATATCGTGTTGCCGAGGTGCTTCTTTTAGGATACTATGATGAGGATGAACTGGAAAATTTTTTGCTAACAACTACTCTAAGTTATCCTTCACTACGAATAAGGTTAGTAATAATTGTTTAATTAAATTACCTTTATAATATATATATATATTCTGTACTATTATGTTCAGGTACTTACGCGAACCAAGTGCTCTAGGTACAGCAGGAGGCCTGTACTATTTTCGTGATACAATCCTTGAGCCTTTAGATAACAATGAACCTATCCAAGCCTTTTTTGTAATGAATGGTGATGTTTGTGCTGACTTTCCATTGGACGAGATACTCAATATGCACTTTAATTATAGTAATAGATCTTACCACCAACAAAACCAACCAGTTCTTGTCACTGTTATGGCTACAGAAACTACCCGTGAACAATCTGTACATTACGGTACTTAAATTTTTGATAAATTTGTTTAACATAAATATCAAATTTCTATGTTTGTAATATTCTATTTTCTGTATAATAATATGGTAAATATTGCATGATCTTCACAAAGGCTGCATGGTAGTTGACAAAGAGACTAATGTTATACAACATTATGTTGAAAAACCATCTACATTTGTTTCAACAACTGTGAACTGTGGAGTTTATTTATGTTCTACACGTTTATTTGATACCATGGCAGATATTCATTTAGAAATATCTAATAATAATGGCAGTTTTAATCAACTGTGTACACCTATCAGGTATTCATAATACTACTCAAGTTTGATTCAGACAATGACAAAAATCCTATCCTAACCATAATCCTGTAATTTTATAATTGTTTATTTACTTATTTATTTAGTATAGATATGTAAATATTGCCTAATAAGTACTGATTTAAAATGACTGTAAAATCATAATATTATTAAAATATACAAATTAATTTTATGTTTATAACAATTATAATAGTAATAAAAATCAACAAAAGACCACTGATCAAGTTGCTGTAGTTATGTGGATGGAGCAAGATGTATTACGTAAACTGGCTGGACAGTCTAGATATGGATGCAGTAGTTCTTGTGATGACAGATTATCGAAAATAAAAACAAAAACTTCTATGACCTGTGGATTGGCATTAGCAGCTACTACAAATAATTGGTGGTCTCAATTAAAAACTGCTGGAGCTGCAATATATGCAAATCGCCATTATTTAGGATTGCGTCAACAGAATGAAAGATTTCTACATGTAAAAACATTGTCTGAATTTGCATTACCTTCACCAATTAAATTAATGACTATAAATCCTGAAAGTTGTTATTCAATAATTGGACATGTATATGTACATCCGACTGCATCTGTTCATCCAACAGCATTGGTTAGTTTGTTTCTACACTTGTTTTATACATTTTTATAATTATTTAATACTTTTTTTTATCTTATAGCTTGGTCCAAATGTCAGTGTTGGAGCTGGTGCATATATTGATCAAGGTGTGCGCATTAAAGAATCAATTATTTTGCAGGATGCAGTCATTGGTCAACATAGTCTGGTAACTAAATATTTCATAGCAAGTTAATAGTTACCATTAGAAACCAGAATTATATGATTTGCTTGTATATCAGAGTGTATGTATGTTAGTATCCATAAGCATGTGAAATATGTTCAAATCAAACTAATTTCTTCTACTAAATTTAAGTTTGCATATTGGTGCATATGTTATACAGTCTTAGTAAATGAATAAACTATTTTCTATTTTCAAATCTAAACAATAGTTTACTACAATGCTAAATAGAATGAAACTGTTGGTCAGCAATTAATTTAAATTTAGAAAGGAAAAATTTATAATCTGAAAATAATATTTCTTAATTTATGGAAAATAATTGTTTTTATCTAACATAGTTGTATGTTATCAAAGAAAGAATTACATAATTGTTAATTGTTTTCAGGAAAGATCATGTTTGTCTAATTAGCTGTTATAAATATATATTAATTAGTCTATCTAGTAGAAGTTTCAGACTTAAAGACCAGCCCTTCACACAATTTTCCGTCATCTCTCTTTATCTTTTGTTAACTCTCTTCATAGTCTGTTCAGTTCTACTGCTTTTAATTCCTTTTTAATTCTGTCTTTCCATCCTAAGCGTTTGTTATTAAGCATTTTTATTATTTGTATCTATGAATTCTTTTTCCTCTAAGCCTGTCCAGTACACATTAGTTTTCTCATTCTATAGTCTATTCAACTTAAGAGTATACCGGTTTATACAACAGCATATGCTATGGATAGATGGGTGAGTGGATGAAATGGTACCAAGACATTAAGTTAAATTGAGTATAGTTTCATTTATTATATTTATATGATTGAAACAAGTCTATTAGTCTCTCCATTCCCCTTATTGATGTCAATGCAAGATTCATAAATTCTTTTAAATATTTTTTGTTCAAACACTGCAAGTCACTTATCCTTAAGATCCATGGCTCAGATTCATTGGTGTATATAATTGTACTTTAAGTCTTTTGGATAATACTTTAGAGCTAAACATACTTCTTAGGCTATAGTAACATCTATTTTCCATTTTTAATCTTTTATTTACTTTTATTTTTAAATCATTATCTTGTGCTATTAACAATCCTAGATACTTAAAGTATAACACTCTTAAAATTATGGTCCTCTATAGATTCTTGTTGGTATTCCCTATTTTAGTCCTATTGCTATAAATTCTGTTTTACTATTATTGATTTTTAAACTAATCTTATTTGCCACATTTATTAATTTATTACAGTGTTGTATTCAGTTAGTAAATTATTACCCAGTAGGGCTATATCATCTGTGTATGGATTGTCATATTACCTAGTGTAGGTTCTTTTACCATATGTATTTCTCTTAATATTTTCTCTAGTATTAAATTTAAAATCACTGGGGATTTGTTGATTGATATCAGTTTTATATATTTTTAATTGTGTAATTTGTTCTTGATTTACTTTTATTACCTACATAGATAATTTAATAATACAACTTACTTAAAAATAAACCAGTACTGTATGTTACATATATTTAAACAAATAATATTTGTTCTGTTTTTTTTTAGCTGGTACAGATTTTTCAATCCATATAGCTGCATATTTGAAAGTTATGCATATTCCATCATTTGAACTGTGCGTATTTAGCACTTTTTTATTGAATATAATTCCGGTTTCTAGTTTTATTTCTAGGTATTTAGTCTAGGAATTGGTTTTATACAATAACTAATTCTTAGTTTTTTTTAAATTTAAAGCAAAATGAGGGGGTCTATTGCTTTTACTATGTGTGTTTTGTTTTTGTATTTTGTAATTTTTTTGTTTAAGAAACTTTCTATTAAAAATCTTCTACCAAAAAAAAAAATTTTTTTTGTTGCATTTGTTATCTTATTGGTAAAGATTAGTTTTTTTTTTTTTTTAATTTTCCATGCAGTTTTTATAATAATTTGGAAAACCAAAAGAAAATATAAATGGACAAATATATGATAGTAGGATTTTGTTATTTTTAATTTGTATACACTATGTTTTCTACCAAAATCTTACTTAAATAGAAATACAACAAAAACTTTTTTTTGTTGCATTTCTATTTTGATCTAGTGGATGTTTAAGAAAGATGTTTTTTGATGTTTTGTGCAGTTTTCTTAATTATTGAGCAAAACCCAGAAAAACATAGAAAGTTTACAGAAATAATGTTTTCATTATTTTCAATTTGGATTTTTTACTTTAGTTCAGTTACAAATATTGATTGAGATTTAAAATCTTCACAGAAAACTTTCATTTTCCTTTTCTAGACTTAATCAAATTTCCAAAACTTTAGAAATTTTTAAACTTATAGGCATTTTAAATTTGAGAGTTTTTGTACATAGATTTTATTTGGCAGAAATGTTTAAAAATTTAACAGGTTGTTCAAAAAAGATGTAATTAGTGGTCAAAAAAAAAAAAGTAAAGTGTAATGTAGTAATAGTTTTTTTAAACTATTTTAAGACCAAAATTTAATGAAAATTTAAATTAAATTATTTTATATATTTTACTTTCCCTACTTCTCACTTACAACAGTGGCACACCCATTAGCAATATCAGTTCTTTTTTTTAAAATTATTAATTAGTATTGTCTGCTGATGATTCTACTGATTACAATATATTCAATTTAAAATATTTATCTTAAAAAGACATACTTCGCATGATGGGTGGGCTACTGTTGTAGGTGAGAAGTTGGGAAAATAAGATATAGAAAGAAATTGAATGTTTATCTGTTTGCAATGTGAAAAATGATTCTGATTGGAGTTTGATTATACATATATAAAAAGAAATTCTACATTGTATTTTATTTTTTTATTTTTTTACCACCAAGTAATATTTATAATGAGCCTCCTGTTAATTTGTAAAGCATTTTTATTTGATTTAACAATTTTATTCATAGAGTATCTACCAGAATAAGAACTATTTTAAGATTTTCGGTAAAAAAGTTGTTTACAGATTAAAAAAAATAAATAACTTCTAATAGACTATTTTCATCAATACATACATTTATGATAATCAAATAATATCTATAATAATTATATATTTATTGATGCAAGAAGTTTTTACATAAAATTTTATCAGTAAAACAATAAAATTATTTGTAGCATTTGTAAAAAAAAATTAAAATAAGTAAAATACAATTTTAACAATAATATTGTCTATAAAATTTGCAAAAAAATAAAAGTTTTATTTGTCCTTCACACTGTATATTTTTAATTTCTGTATGTGATATAATATGTATTTAAAATTTAAAATTTGTGTCTTAATTGTATTTTTGTGTGAAATAATATTACATAATATCAATCAAATTAATATAATCTTGTTTAATAAACAGGTTATGCATAGCATTATTGGGAGATGTGCCAAAATTGGTGCTTGGTGCAGAGTTGAGGGTAGTACAACGTGTTCGGATCCTAACCCTAATGTGGCTTTTGCTAAAATGACACCACAACTTCCACTATTTAATGCTTTGGATGGAAGACTCAATCCATCCATAACTATATTAGGTTTGTTTTATTTATTAATATTGTGTAATATTAATCTGTGTAGTAATTAATCATTATTTTAAAACGTTTATTATATAGGATGCAGTGTTAATGTAGAGTCTGAAATAGTGTTATTAAATAGCATTGTGTTACCATACAAAACACTGACCAGAAGTTACAAAAATGAAATAATCCTGTGATCAGTTAAGTATTGGAAGATCTTACAGAAAATTACACTATAATAATAATAATTTATAACAATTAATTTTTACAAATAAAGGTATCCATGTAAGCAATCTACTATTTGTTTTGCTTTTGAAGGTCCCACACACTTTAACAATGATTATATTATTGTCAGATTAAATTATAAATTATTGTTATATAATGAACATGGTTGTTTAAATATCACAATTTATTGGTTTTATCATTAAACTATTTTTTATTCAGCAGTCAGTTGTAAGTTTATTATACATAGGGATGAATGTAATACTGATTTATTTTTTGTGTATGATTATTATTAATATAGTAATACCTAGTAATAATAATTTGTTTATAATATATTATTATTTTTTGTTAATTCTTTTTTAATTTAATATGGTATATTTTTTTATAATATTTCATGGAAAATACTTTTTTGTTTATTTAATCAAATTTATTTCAATAATTATAAAACTATTTTGGCGCATTCGAGTTGTATCCAGTTTAATAATTGATATATATATATTTTCCTTCCCACTTTTATCGACTGATGTGGACTGTCATTTATATAAATGATGTTAAAAATATATTATATATTTGGTATTATAAATTATTTATTTATTTAAAATGTATATTTTATTAAAAATTAAATAAAAATAATATTTTATCCTACTTTTGTGAATATTTTTATACGTAGATACTATGTTAATTATCATTATTTTTATTTTATAAAATAGGTAAATTTTTGTACGCCAATTTTTGAACCAACTCAAGACTTGATATATTTTTGTTTCAAGTAATTCATAGTATTGTTAATAAAAGCTTAATTTTCTATTTTCTTTCTTCATTTGTTTGGTAAATTTGAGCTTCGCGTTTTAATATAAATATCAGTTTGAATATTTTTGACATAAACAACATGAACAAAGTAAAAATAAAATATATCAGTGTTACAATTTGTTTTTGATTAAAACCTGTTCAATAAAATTAAAGTTTTATTTCTAAATTTTTAGGGGATTGTTATGATAAAGAGTAAGAATTGAATATGAATTCAAATTATACTATTTGAAAATTAAATTGTAAGAATACAATTAGCAGGAACATTTTCAGCATACCGAACAGTATACAAAATTCAATATAACAAATTAGAAACATTAAATATTTTATTTATTTATAAATGACAGTGTATCTTAATGCTATAAAACTAATTTTAATTTTATTGTTATTTAATTTTTTTACATAGATACTTTATACAAAGTATAAATGTAAAAACATTGAATATATTATTAACATAGGTGAATAGTGCTTTTTATATATTTTATATTATTCTATACTTATAATATTAAGTATAATTTAAAATTTAAAAATTTCTGATTTTCGTGAATATAGGTATATATATAGGTAGGTATGTATAATAATATATTTAATATAATATACATTTTATGATTAAGTACCAATATCTGCTATCCGATAAAATATGCAGTTTACATAACTGTGGTATTATAATATAGGTACTTGATATACTTATTCACCTGTCTGACTCTTATGTATAGATATTTTAAACTTAAATAAACCATTTTCAGGATATTTTAACGATTTAAAGCCATTTTTTATAAACCAATATTGAAATTGTGAAACATTTGAACCATATAGGATGGTTATTACTTCAAAAAATTGTATAGCATTATTAGTACCATTTGGCAGAGAAGTTATAGAAGAAGAAACTCACTAACCCAAAGTATGTCTTAAAAATAAAATTTCATTATTTATACTCATAATATTATTAATAATTATTACTTATAATTAATATAAAATATGAAACTTTTGAATAAGAAATTATTTTATTTAGGTACTGTACAACAGGGATCACAGTGTATCACAGCGGTAAATTTTAGAAAAATTGAAAATTTTGTGGCTTTTTTGCCGCAGAAATGACACTGTTGAAAATACATTGTTTTGTATAGATTGTTTCATATGGTGTAGTGCCATGAAAATGAAGTAACACTGTGGTGTTATGTGGTTGGTCCCAGCCAAGTGTGTCAAATAATATATTAAATACGCGCTTTCAAATGTGACAAGACCATGATTAAAGATATATCTTATTAAGGTATGTTTTAAATCGTGGACAAGATGCAAACAATGAAACAAAAAATTATAGATTTACAACTATTATTGCTCCTCTTATTACCAATCGTATTAATTTATTAAGTAATTATTTACTATATTTTTTTATTTTACTATAGGCATCCATATTTTCTATTAGTCTTTTATCAGTTTACCACTATCTAAATCAATAAATTGACAATGAAAAGTTTAACCATTATACATGTTTAAGATTGTCATTTGGATTTAAAGGAGGACCTAGCACTTTACAAAGGTGTAATAAATAGGTAGTGTGTTAACAGGGTTACAAGGGGTAGATGCTTTTGTTACTTTACATGACATAATAGCATTTGCGTCTGATTTAAAAATCCATAATGAAAGGTTAGAAAAAGTAATGTGTAGATGTGAAACTGGAATTGAAGGAATATGAGTATGAAATAGTGTACCTATAAAAAGAGAACAGAGAACCAAAATGCTGATGCTTTTAGTAGAATAATGATGGAGGCTAGTGAAGTGGATATGACTTATGACAGTAGTAATTGTTAGTTAGTTACTAGAAAAATTGTAAACAATTGTGTAGAAGTTTAAGGGACACTATTGGAAACAAATTATTAATTGATGATGTACTATTATAATATATTTTTCATTAGTATTCGATTACAATTGTACGAGGTGTGGCTATTAAATAACGAGACTGGTTACGAAAAAATGTTTTATTATAAAAGTTATTCTACATTCAAATGCTCCCCTTCAATATACTCCCCTCTCCTCGCCACACACTGTTTCATTCGTTTCTTCCATTGTTCGAGGCAGTGCTGGAAGTCTGTTTTCGTAAGACCATTCAGGAGTTCCGCCGATTTTTGTTTCACCTCTTCCATCGACTCTAACCGGATTCCTTTTAAGGCAGACTTTATCTTCGGAAACAAGTAAAAGTCGCAGGGTGCCAAGTCGGGTGAGTAAGACGCGTGTTCGAGTACTGGAGTGCCTTAAGCGGCCAAATAACACTTCACGCTTTATCCTGGTGCAAGATCCACGACTTGTTTTTCCACAATATCGACCGTTTCTTACGAACTCATTCGCGCAATGTTGCCAAAACTGTCAAATAGTAATGTTGGTTCACAGTTTGACCCTCTAGAAACCATTCAGTCATCACGATGCCGTTGATATCGAAGAAAACGGTTTTGAATTTGGATTACGACTGAATTGGATTCCGGTGCATTCTCGACCTTCAGAAAATAATTTATGCCACTCAAAAACACGCGCCCGAGATAGGAAATCCTCACTATAGGCCTCTTTTAACAACTTATAGCACTCAGTTGGAGTTTTTTTTAGTTTAACGAGAAAATTTTACGTTTATCCGTTGCTCATGTTTTTCGTCACACATGGTTTTCGGCACGAGAAAAAAACACGTTCGTTTCAAACCACTACTGCACAAATACTATAATAGGGACGAAAACGTGTTTTGGTACGTGCATAGATAAGATATCTAGATACCCAACGCATTACTCGTTTTTTCACTACCCATCTAGGGCGCCCACTAGGCGAGCAGTGTCGTTATTTAATAGCCACACCTCGTACATCTATTTGGTTTAACAATAGGAAAAGTAGGTAGCACAAGTATACGTACTTAATACCTATATTATAGTATAGATGAATTTAGTATATAGAGGTACTACAAGGGCTAATAAGTTAATCAATTTTAACCGAATGTAAGATGGACCTATTTATGTGTTTAAACAAATGTATTGTATAACAATTGCTATTATTTAAAAGTCTAAATTCACAGTATTCACATCCTAGACAAACTGTGAGTTTACCCAGTTCAACAGATTCTTGAACTTATATCTTTTAACTTCTAAGACCGTGAACATAACGATGTTGATGGTTTTTGGTTAATAAGAAATTCGGGGTAGTTAAGTTTGATCAAATTAACCATCACAGTAGATTCAACTGGTCTGAACCTAAAAATGGCATTATTTACCTTTACAGAGACTGATACTGAAAAGAGGTAATTTTTGATTCTAATCATCCAAATGATTTAGTGACCTTGTTTTACAGTATTTAGTAGTTAAATATTCGCTCTCATACAAATTCAATACTTTAATTTTTTTCATGGTTACTAAAATATGATAAAATACCACGAGAAATAATATTATTATAATGCGATTTATGCTAAAGAAATCTTGAAAAAAAATGATGACAATCTAAAATTAGACAAATCCTAAAACTTCTCCGCCCTAAATATAAGTATACTCATACCTACAAGCTTACAATCTACCTATATGGAATACTAAGTTACTAACAAGGTAATAGTACCTATTATAAAATCATTATTTTATGCGTATTCACGAGTGAGGTAACTCTTGTTATACATATTTTGTACTAGGTTTTACTATAATACAATTTTGGGTAAAATAAATTGTACATAAATTAATATGTTCATTATTATATTATAGGGTTTCTATATTTATAATTAGTGAATAGGTATCTACCAAATATTCATGGATATGTAATAATTGTATGATTAATATTTTACTAGTATAATACCTACGCAGTTTAGGATATGCTAAATTCACGTTGATTTGATAAATAATAAAACTACTAGTTGTGGTATACATTTGCTCGTAAGAGGAAGTTAGTGCTGGGATAAAGTCGTTAAATTGTCAGACATTTATAGACTTATAGTACTAGAAATCGAAACAATAGGTATCTACCTCTATTAATATGTAAATGTTTCAATGACATCGGTTACCACTTGAATGTAGTAGGTAAGACCTACTTACAAACAATTGAAATGCCTATTATTTTAAATAATAACTCGTGTGGTTTTATTTACCACAAACTGCAATCCAATACTAATACTGAGATATGATCATCTATTAGCATTTCCCCCGCCGCTGGCGATCATCAACAGCGAGTTCATAAGACCCGACGAACCGAGGCTTCCCAAGCTCGAAGCCGACATGGACGGGAATCCACCGGCATTTCCGTGACTAGCACACTTATTTTGATGGTTTCCTCCGGTACCATATTCGGGTGCGCCGGTCGCAGACGATTGTGGTGGTGGGGCTAATAGCTTCCTACGCATCTGTTCGTCCAAGAGAGCCTGCATGTCCATCTGTAATCATTTAAATAGTCATTGTTTATCTACCTAGGACCTACCTATGATCAATGACCTATCAATTATCTATAATATGTAATGTGTAATAATCTGCGATATTAGGTGTCTATCTCAAACTTTATACAATTTTTGGTTATTTGTAGAACGATATAATGCAATTTGTATCAATCATGAATAAAGGGAACTATGAATATTATATAATATCAACACTGACCTGCCACTGTTCCAATTGTTGGCTTAATTCAACCTTCTGTCCTATAGCCTCCATCAGCTGACCATTGGCTTGCAGAACGTCTACACGTGTGCGAGCCAATTGCACTTGAACAGCGTTTTTCCGCCTAACAGCTCCGTCCCGCTGTTCCCACGCTTTTCTTAGCAATTCTGGAATCAAAGACGAATTCTTCTCATCGGCACCAGATCCGGAAGTGGTGTCATCAACGCTTCCTTCAATACAACTGACTCTTTGAATCCGCATAGCGTCCATTTTATCCCGTACTGCAAGATCGCGTTCTTCTCGGGCTGCTTGCAGCTCTGCTTCTCTCACGGACAACTATATAAATAAAATGAAATAAAAATCTACTTGTAAATAAGTAAAACATAATAATCTTCGAGTACATATTTATTCAGAATACAAAAGACTTTTTTCAATATTTTAGATTCTGAGTGGAGCGAAGAAGCAAAGAAGCTTATAGTTTTACAAAGATGTTTATTTTTATCTGTTAACAACTTTTCTACCAGAAGACTTGCTCGGATTTCTAAGTGTAGCAGATTTTCTGAAAAAAATTCGGTGTAGGGGGAGGTACTTTATGGAAGTCATTTTTCGATTTGCTTAAGAGGTTTCTCATCAAATATGAAAAACCAAAAAAAAAAAACGGGAAAATATAAGAAATATAGGTATTATAGTAAACATACATTACGGCCTTCTTTTTTTCTGTGCACAACTTTTTTACCAGCAATTTTGCTCCAACTTATAATTATAGCAATGTTTCTAAAAAGGAATTTCACTAAGAAGGTACTTTAAAGAAGTCATTTTTTAATTTTCCCATGAGTTTTCCCAGTAAATATGAAAAACCGGGATAAAACATGGGGAAACCGGGAAAAGCGTAGGAAAATTAGAAAATCGGTACAACATTAAACAAATATTATTAAAGAAAATATATAAAGCCTATTTAATTATTTTGCTATAAAATGACATATATATATTGTTGACAAAGCATCACTATCAACTGAAATCTGCTCAGAATCGTTTTTTTGTAAGTAATGGTTTATCGTTAATAATTTTTTTATATGGAAAAAGAACGAACATTTGGCACAATTTAAATACTAGGAAATTGATTAAATATTTAAAAGTTTTTGTTAAATAGAATACCTATCTATTATTAATATAATATATTATATAGGTACTCGTATATTTGAAGTATGGAATTAGAATTTGGAACTAAGCATTTGAATAGTATTCCAAATACAGTAGGTATTCGGTATTTGGTATATCTAGATAAGTATTAGGTACTACCCCAGTATTCATACCTCACACGTGAGTTCGGCTACACGGCCGTCTCGATTGCGAACCAACTCCGCTAAATCCACGTTACTAGATTGTTTACCATTTGCTACTGGTGTACTACCGTTGTCACCGCTGCCTATCAGTTTCAACAACCGGTACCTGGTATCAGCCGACAATTCCTGTAATGGCCGCGATCCCGCGTCCAAATTCTTCTGGCGTTCAAGTACGTCGCACAGTCGTGTGGCCCATCGTTCAACGTCCATCTCCGGCTGCCCTAACTCCATCGGACCGTTTGACTGGCGCGATGACAAATCCACGTCGACCATCTGGTGTGCTGGCTGTGCCATTTGCGGTGTGGCGTGTGAATTGGCCGCTTCGGCTTGTTCAAGTTCCGCCAACAGTGACATGGGCTGCGACTCGGTACCGCCAGACACGTTCGTCCGTGCTCCTGTCAGTCTGGTCATTCCTCCGCCGGGCGCCTGACACGATGCACACTTTCCACCACGTGCTCTCCAATCACCCGAACCGCCCGAACTACAGAGCGCGTCATCGAGCTGTTTAGCTAACATGGCAGACTAAGAAAATTTCGTCGTTAATATGCAACTAATTATACGCATTGCTACAATATAAACAGTGGTTATAGTGAGGGCGAGTCCTCTTCTTATTAATTAAAGTCAAATTATACGTCCTATTTAGTTTAAGCCTTCAAAGTCCTGGGGAGAGGACACTTTAGTTATTGTCACTGAGGTATTTTTTATTCACATTAATCAAATAATGTTAAAAACATAAGTGTAGAACATCTCATATCCCCAGGTGTCCGTCCGTCTACCCGTCCGTACATTTAATAACATCAGTAAATGTGCGCATAGTTACAGTTGTTGATTTGATTGACTAGAATATTATATACTGGGTGATTCACTAAGCACGTGTTCACTGTTCATCCAATTTTTTCTGGTTAAACATTGTATATATTCAAATTCTGATTTTTCAAATTTTTAAGAGTAGTTAAAGTCGATAAAACTTCCATATAACGATTTCCGAAGGGAGCGGAAATAATTACCGCTATTTAGAGGTGACCGTCCTTTAGAGGTGTCGTTTAAAGGCATAAAACTAGATGGAACCAAAAAAATAATAACCGTTAACGGAAGTTATACTGTATTCGAGAATATCGGATTTTACTACACTAAAAAATTTTAAAAATCGGAATTTTAATATATTATAAACGGAATAAAAAATGGGGTGAGTACGCTTAGTGAATGATACTGTATAATATATATTGTATTATATTATTCGTAAAATACTATTATTATATCAATATCATAAATAATTTAAATATTACTATTAAATAACATGAATTCATAAATATATATTAGCCAATATTAAAAATAGGTATCAAAGTATAATTACTTTAAGAATTTTAAAAATTTCCTGTCAACTATTTACAATTTAAGTTACCAAATTCTTTCAAAATTACGTATGGAATTGTAGATTATTAATATTGTTTAAAATAAGTTTAGAAACCGGGAACTACGTGCACTCACAGAATGGGATTTCCTAAGCTTAACTATTGTTATAAACAAATTCTTTAATACCTATTAAATTAAACATAATCAGATTCTGTTTTATTTTATTTTCACTGAACTGGTATACCAATTTATATATGTAGGGTAATATTTATTTATTTTGAGGGGGGGGGGGGGGAAGGAAGAACAGTTTATAAACAAATGTTTGTGGAAGAAAAACATTTTGTAAGTCTTATTTTCATAATGACTTTTCTGAGAGTTTGGTTGGGTTAAGTTTGTTTTCGGAACCATTTATCAAATTCATGGTAAATACAGTACCCACTCAGTGTTTTTTTTGACTTTAACCGTTGAAGATGAATTCCTGTTCGTGTGTTTCATAATATATAATATTTACCCTATGTTCATAGTGGGTCGCTTCAGCCCGACACTCTGCTAACTGGCGGTCTTTCAGCTCGAGAAGTTCTCCCAACCTATCCCGGTCGGCTCGTAACTCAGCCATTCTCTTCTGCAATCGTTGTTTCTCGGCAGCTTTCATGTCGATCTAAAAAAACGGCCAAAATTGTCAACATCTCAATTTTATGCTGAATTGACATATCTATTTATACGTATAGGATAATATTTTTTGGGGGGAGTGGAGGGGAGTGAGGTGCAGTTTATAAACAAATGTTTGTGGAAGAAAAACATTTTGAAAGTCTTGTCTTCATAATGACTTTTCTGGTAGTTTGGTTAGGTTAAGTTTGTTCTCGGAACCGCCTATCAAATTCATAGTAAATATAGTACCTACTCGGAGTTTTTTTCTACTTTAACCACTAAATATGAATCCCTGTTCGTGTGTTTCATAATATATAATATTTACTTTATGTTCATAGTGGGTCACTTATAATATTATTTAAATGTTTAACAATATTCTAATTGGAAAAATAATAGAAGAAGTTTCGAGACTTATTGAACTTAATCTAACCCGCGGTGGTGGGTTTTGCAATTTTTCTCTCGTATTAAACTACTAAAATGGGGCTGACATAGGGTAATTGGTATTTTAGAATTTTTTTTTTTTTGTGGGTCACTTTCGATTTACAATAGCACTTTTTCTTAAAGGAAATCTGATTGGGATGGTGCTTGAGGAAGGTAGTTTTTTTAATTTTCCAAGGAGTTTTCCCAATAAATGAAATAAACTGGGGAAAAATACGGGAAAACCAGGAGAGCGGGAAAATAGGTACAGTATTAAACAATTATTATTTAAAACAAAGTTTAATGCATATTATGTAATTATTTTACTATAATAGGTGTGACAGACATATTGTTGACAAAGCCATACTATCAACCGAACTCCACTCAGAATCATATTTTCGTTGGTTAATCGTTGCTTATAGATATACATTAAATTCCTGTTTACATCCTACCTTCTTAACTTCCCCCCTACAACAGTAGCTGCACCCATCTTCATTATCCTAGGACAGATTTTTTTTTTTATTATTTGTTTTGTGTCTATGATTAACTTTTCTAATTAAACTCTCGTTGTAGTGTATCAAATGTAGTATCTTTTCTGAAAGAAAATTTTATCTAGATGATGCATTGAAAAAGTCATTTTTTTTTATTTTCAAAGGATTTGCATAGTAATAGGGAAAAACCGAAATAAAACTACAAATATTTACGGTACACCACACCGTTAACGATTTCATTGTTTTAATTTTTCCAAACTTTATTTTCTACCAAAAATATTGCTCCAATAGAAAAATGATAAGAGACCTTTTTTGTTGCATTTTTAATCTAGTTGGTGTGATAGAAAGTAGTTTTTTTTTATTTTTCTTGTTTTTTTTTAATAATTATTAATTGAGTAAAACCGTGTTAAGTGATTCATTATAAGTCGTACTTTGAGGTCGAAAAAAAAAACTGAATGTAATGTAGAGTTTTTTACGAAAATCGTTAATATTAAGGCCTTTTATAACATGTTGAACTGAACATCGCTCCGAAGTGTTTTTCGTTTGTAATGGTTAATCGTTTCTTACAGATAAAAATTAAATACATGTATTAATTAATTAATTTAAATGGTCGAAGCTCTAGAAAAGAAATTAGTTCAAAGATCGTTATATGTAAATCTAAAATACAGAAAAATTTACATACAAATTTACAATTAGTATGTAATAAACAGTAACAGATTGGTAAGATGTAATCATAAGTTATTTATAACTTTATATCAAGATATTTATTAAAAAAGTGGAATATTATTTTTAAAAAATAAGTCAATATTTAGCCTATTTACACGGCCCATTAATCTAACTATCAAAACATTTTGAGAGTAGTTTGAACGATAGGATGACATATAAAACATATAAAATTGCTCAGTTCGACATCCTGGAACCAAGTGGCTAAATTTAATTATTAGTTCAGAGCAATTAATAATACCGTTCAGTAGCTTGAAAGTAAAACAATGACCGGATCATATTATTTTCTAACCTCCAACGTTTTTAAATTTGTTACATATATATATATATATATATATATATATAGCAGAGGTGACTAGGATGTATGGCTTTTTCGTTAAATTCTAAATTTAAATGGAAAAAAACCTTAAAAAAACAATGATACAGTATACCCTAAATGGATCTAGCTGAACCCAATATACATGGAGACCATGTAATAGAGTTACACTCAAGTACCGGCCGAAAAAAAAGCAGTAGAGACATTTTATTGCTTTTGGATTGTTGAAATCAGAGGAAAGTCTATTTATAAATCCAAGTATTGAAGACGCTTTATTTGTAATATGACCATAATGATCATTAAATGATAAAGCAGAGTCAAAACAAATACCTACATTTATATTGTGAAAAACTCCGATCAATTAAAAATTATTTAAATTATAATTACAGACTTGAGACATACATTTTTTTGAAAAAATTACAGTTTATAATTTATCCATGTTGAGAAATAGCCTATTTGTGTCACACCAACTGCATAATATATCAAGGTTATTTTGGAGGAGTTTAGCATCACTAGACGAATTTACAATTTGAAATATGTTTAAGCCATCAGCAAAAAGTAAAAAACATGAATTAAGTTACACTTTAATATCATTAATAAATATATTAAATAAAAGGGGGGCTAAATGTGATTTCTGAAGAATCCCTGAGCTCACATTATAGATCGGGGATTTAAAGTATTTTATTTTTACGTGTTGTGTTTTTCCCTTGATTAAGAAGATTAGCCAAGATTAAAGGGGTTGTGAAAACCAAAATAATATTGCTGGTTGCTAGAATGTTGTGATCTATCTTGTCGAACCTGCCTTAGCAAAATCCATGTAGATAAAATAAACTGTAAACAAATTTAAAATAAAGGAATCGTAACGCCGTTAATTTATCAGTTTTCATTTTCCGGGTCTTCCAATTTTTATAAAAACTACTTAAGAAAATCAAAAAACAAGTTGATTAATCTGTAACTAGTCTAACTGGATTATAACTATGACAAAAAAGGTACTTAGGCATTATTTTTGATTAAAGCCTTATTTCTGGTAAAAAAAATAGTTCAGAAAAATTAAAAACAATGAAATCGGTTTACGTCGTGGTGTGCTGTAAATATTTGTAGTTTTACCAATAATTTAACTTCCGGGTTTCTCCATTTATTTTGAAAACCCTTTGGAAAATCAAAACATGTCTTCTCTAATGTACTAACTAGATAAAACTTCTTTTCGGAAAATGTGTTACACGTGATACATCGGAGCAAGTTTTATTTTCGAAAAGCTTTCGTCATATTCGATATGAATTTGACGAGATATTTCATTTTTAGATTCCGAACGTAGCGAGGAAGCTATTGGTTTTACAATGCTGTTTCTTTCTTTCTTTTAGTCTGTGGACACGTTTTTACCTATTTACGATTATAAATGCACATAAAGACTTGAAACTTGGTAATAATACTTATATTGGACTTAGCTAGACGCGGTAAAATTTCCAAAATCATCGGACGACTTTTTTTTTAATAAACGTTTTGAAATCAAATTTAAACGAATATCACAAAAACAATTATGGCACTTTTAACTTATGTATTACCGAACTGCGTTCAGAATTGTCTTTCATCAAGCAATAGTTTATCGTTGCTTACAGATATAAATGAAATAACCTTATGTATTCTATCTTCCAAACTTCTCACCTAGAACAGTGGTCGCTCCCATCCCCAGTATCAGCTCTTTTTTTTTTTAATTTGGTTAGGGCCATAGGGGGAGAGTACTGGGTCATCGTTTTTGGCGGCATGGTGTATGGCATTTTAATAATGCTCTGCTACATTCCCCCTACCCAAATTATAATTAGTGTGAACAAGTAATATGTGTAATATTCAAGTATTTCAAATATAGCGATAAAATTTGTTTTCAATTAAATATATACTTCAATAGTGTACCCAAAAGTATATTTACCAATACGGCAATATATCACTGCTAATAATAAGTTTAATATCACGGTTTTGAAGACATCCGTGAAATATGGACATAAAATATACTCGTATGTACTATAATTTTCGTTTATTTTGAAGAAATTAAAATTTTAAAATACTTTTATATTTTCAATAAAACCATAGGTACACTAGTTTATTAGAATAATATAAAACAAATGATTAAATCGTTTTGAATATATTATAAACAATATTAATATAATAATATCGATAATATTATTTATTATAGGTAATATTATCTCTTTTTAACATTGAAATATTCATGATACGAAGAAAAATGTAAGACCTTTGTTTCATTTTAAATTCCGAATGGAGCAAAGAAGCTTATCGTTTTAGAAAGATGTTTTTTTTAAATTTTTTTTTTTTATCTGTTAACGACTTTTCTACCAGAAGACTTGCTCGAATTTCTACATGTAGCATCTTTTCCGAAAGGAAATCGGCGTGGAGAGGTACTTTAAGGAGGTCATAATTTTTCTCAAGAGTTTTCTCATGGAATGCGAAAAACTAAAAAAACAAAAATGGGAAAATTTACGAAATATAATAAATATAAATTACGATTTTTTTTTCTGTGAAAAACTTTTCTACCAGCAATTTTACTCCAATTTATAAATACCTTTATGTACCATTCCAGTCTACCAATTATGGTCGACATTCTCCTATGAATAGAGGTATGGAATTAGTCAACTTATTTCTTATTGAACTGAATAATAGAATATAATAATTATCAGAAGTTCAGAACCTATGATTGATGTAAGTATTTATATTGTAATTAGTTTAATTTAAAGATGTTATTGTATTTCATAAATGTATTACCTATTTAATAAGGTGTAGTAACTAAGGTTTTAATTTTGACAATTGTATGCTATCAATCATATTATTTTCATTTAAATGGGCATCTTATCTGTCCAAATAAATAATATATATAATACATCAGTGGTGGTTAAATGATTCTTCATGGGGGGGAGGTTAGATGAGGCTAATTTTAAACATTTTTATTTTAATTTACAACGATTTTTAGATTCTGAGATTTAGATAAAATTATTATAGGTTTACTTAAATGTGTTTTTTTTTTTATTTTTTAGAAAACGCTTCTTTAACAAACACATATTCTCCGATTCTTTAATACCATACCTTAAAAATGCTGGTTTTTTACCTCGTGGTATTTTATTTGAAAAATAATTTTTTCAATAAATTGTTTTTATATATTTTTTGAAAAAGTTTGTTAGTACTTCATATTAGTAATTTATCGACATTTTTAGCAGTTTACCCCCTATGTTCAGGACATAAGGACTTAATGTCTTTCTTTTCAACTCTTATCAACAAAGAAAAAACGAGACTATAATAATATCACTCCGCTCGCAATGATTTATCGTTGCATACAAATAGTATATAAACTTAATTATCCTGTATAATCATTTACAGGATAATTGCTATAATTATTATAGTATATCCTACCTTCCTAATTTCCCACTTACAACAATGGCCTACCCGTGAGCAGTATCATTAGTACCAAAAATGTTTTATAAATAAATGGGTATATAAAGTAAATAATTATATACTCATTGAAGGGCAAGTGAAATGGAATGATTTTAGCCCTTACCCCTCCCTGTTAATTTTCATCTACTAACTACTTCATAGGAATGGAAATTACAAAAAAAATATATTTGTGATTTAAATAACTTTAACGTTAACTTTTTATTCATTAATGCATTGTATAACTATTGACACAACTATGGTTTTTTTTCGATTTATTTATCTCAAAAAAAATCGTATAATATATTTCTTTTGATAAAGCAAATGGTAATTAATTAAGGCTGATATAAAATATTCAAATATACTTATAACTTATAAAAAAAAAAAGTAATGAAAACTGTGATAAAACCAATAAGATACATAATACTAACTGTGACAACCTTGCATAATCAATTTATTATAAAACAGGAATGCATTAAAAATGTATTATAAAAAAATTATTTTACGACCCACGTGCTTTCAAGTAAAAAGTTTCTGTTGACATTTTACACAAACACCACCAAAAGTTTAAAGTTAATAGGTTGAATTTAGAAACCTATACTTGTATATGTCCCGCCAATAGCATTACAAACTACAGCCAGTTACAAATTTATGACTTTTGATTATAGTCTTGGTTATTATTATTTTTTTAATAAGTGCGGACTGGAAGCCCAACGGTTACATTGCAAGTAAACAATATATGAATATTAGCACAATCTATAGGCAATAATACAACAATATATACTAATTAATAAGAATAAAAACAATAGTAATTAATAACGAATAAAACAGAAAAAAATATGTATTAAGATAAAGTAATTAATTAGAAGAGTGAAACGGTTCTGTATTGGTAATCCTCATTATTCTTAGGAGTAGCTCATTAGCAGCGTAATTTGTGTTACACACAGGGATATAAAACGGATAAAACGGATTATTGGTCTTGATATCCGATAGTAGATAATACTATGGATAAATCATTGTTTGTGATAGAATTTCAGACTGTGCTGATTGCTGTTAACCCTAATAATAATATAGCTAACCCTATAATATGGTGTTAATACAAAATTATCACAATTAGTATAACACATATTATCGAATTAATCATAGTTGGTATAATATTGATTTTTGTCCAATTGTAGTCCAGGTATACAAATAGACTTTTTAAAAAAAAGGTTAGTTTTGTTACAATTTATCTTCTTCCTTTACGTCATGGACATATCACGAGTCTAGTTTCCCCTAGCTAGCCAGTGCCAAGTTATACAAAGGTATTTTTGATGATTTTTTTAAGAAAAATTAAAATCTTAGTGAAGTAGACTGTGACATCCAGTGTCTTATTATTAAAATATAAATATATTATTAATGTCATTTTAATTATGTAATATATTAATTATAGACTTATTATTTGTTAAAATATGGTTATATTAAAAGTACCTATTGCAAAGATTAGATATTATATTATATTATATCTTGCTTGGAAGGAACGAGTTCTTTTGATTTCGTTTACTTTTTAAGAATTTATCGGAAACAAATCTGTAGAGAACACACAATTGTATTGGAATTTCGTTCAATTATTGATGGAAAATTAATTTTTTATTTTCGTTCCTTTTTTCTTAGATATAACCAGTGGCGTACCTATGCGAAGGGTGAAAGGGGCATTCGGCTTCTCTCATGGGCTGTATAGTTATATGTATTCATTGTTATTTGTTTTTAGTATTCTTACAATTATTTTGAAATTGTTTTCAGAAGTAGTTAATTATGTGGTCAAATCCATAGATACTAAAATACTTTTGTTATCTATGGTCAAACTGGGTTAAGTTTTCTGTTGTTATCATTTAATTTTGGCGGTTTTTTAAGGAATTTTCTATTTTAACGAATGGGTAAAATATATTCCCCCCCCCTAAAAAAGGCTTAGGTATGTCACAGGTTATAACTCCTTAATTTAAATAATTTTAACAACACTAAAATGTTTTTGTTTTTATTTATTAATAATGTATATAATATATTATATCTATATAATTTTGTTCCAATTATCTCTCGTGAAGAACACGCGGAAGTTAGGGGTTATGGAGTCGATAGTAATAAATTAAAATATAATAAAAAAAAAAGAGCTAATACTGGAGACGGGTATGGCCACTGTTATAGGTAGGTATTTAAGAAAGTAGGATATATTAAGTTATTTAATTTATACCTGTAACCGACAACCATTGCAAACGAAAAATAATTTGGAGCAAAGTTCGATTTTACATGCTTTTAAAATTCATAATAATATTTACAATTTTTCAATTTTATTAACCACAATTAAACGACCATATTTTCGTGTCACGTATTATAAATACAAAAATAAATTATTTCATTGTTTGGTTGTTATTGTTTTATTATACTGGTCTATGGTCGTCTATCGATTTTAAAATTAAAATAATATGATAAATAAGATAAGTAAAATAGTGATAATACCGTTCATATTTACAATGGCCCGTTCTTTTTTTCAGTAATTTGTGTGCAGTGTACTTTACTACTGCGCTATACACAGATTAAATTTAAAAAATAATAATAATTATAATGTTTATATTTTTTATTACAGTTTTACTTTATAGCCTATAGTTCTATACCTACTATGGCTAAGAAGATTAATGCATCAACAACAACCACTTGAGTAAGGCATCTTAAAATTAACATTCAACAATATTCTGAATACCAAGCTTATAATGATAAAAAAAAAATTAAATATGAAGACCAAGAATCGAAAAAAAAAAACAAAGATATTACACAAAAACAGAACACAATTCAAACCTTATTCAACTAAAAATTATATTTATCAACAAACTGTTCAAGAGCTAAATAAATTACCTAACATATAAGTGAAATGATTGTATTAGATTACCAACCATACTCGAGTGTTGAAGACCGTGGATTCATAAACTTAATTAAGACACTAGAAAGCAAGTATAAATTACTGACAAGACAGCATTTATCTTCTATAGCAATTCCTCAGCTGTATTCAAAACGATTATCTCAACTTAAAGAAGAAATAAATGCTGATTTGAATAATATGCAATCTATATCATTTACTTTTGATATCTGGACTAGTGGAGCTCAACTCGGTACGGTTCAGGTTCGAATAAAAATGTGTAGGTTCGGTTCGAATCTGGTTCGTTAATTTTTAAGAAAAGTTCAGTTCGGTTCGGTTTATCTTTAAAAATCAGTGTTCGTAACATCTCTGATTATAATCTATTTTATATTTTTTTTTTTTTTGACCATTATAAAATCTACTATAATGAACCTCATGTTATATTTTCAATTATTTCTGTTTAGATTAATTATTTTATCCACAGACTACCTAACAAATAAAAATTACGTAAAAAACTTGTAAAATTAAAATGTCTATATAAATAGCTCAAAAATGGCTCAAATGTTTTGAACATTTTACCACGTTTATAAAAAACAAATATAAAGTTTAAAGTTATTACGAAAATGTTTATCTGAATAACATCAAAACAATAAAATTAAAAGTAATAAAAGAATTATCTTCGTAAATTTGTCCGTTCTTTCTACGTATTTTTCGGTTTTTCCTAATCATTAATAAAACTATAGAAAAAATCAAAAAACAACTTTCTTACTTACCAACTATATTAAAAATTCAACACAAAATGTCTCTTTTAGTTTTTCAATAAGAGCAATATGTTTTGTAGAAAACATATGCCGTACAAATTTAAAACAATGAAATCGCTATGCCGTAATATAACAACTAATAATACTAAATGTATTGTTTTTTAATTTTATCGTAAGCAATGGTTTATCGTTGCTTACAGGTATTCGTTAAATTATCTATAACAGTGGTTGCACTTGTCCCCATTATCCTAGGACGTCTTTTTAAATTTAATTTTAACATTTTTGTTATAATAAAAATCGATTGTTTTGAATTATGACTAATTTTAACTAGTCCCTTGAACGTCATTATAAACATAACTGTGATTCAAAATGACGAAAAAAGTTGTAAAAAAAAAAAAATAAATTAAATATTAATTTATCGTTACTACTTGACATTGATATAAAGTATACAATACTTAAATATAAATGGGTAGAATGTATTAATGTGTAGCATATTTATATAATATATATTTGTTCTATTTATTTCAAATCATTTCCTTCCAAATTAAGAATGTAAATTAATTTTCTCACTTTTAAATTAGCAGCCATTTATAGCCTTGTCCAAATTTATATCAGATATATGACGTCGTTCAACGTTTTGTATAGCTATGTTAGTCAGATGATCTTGTGCTATCGAATTTCTTAAAAAAAATTTTTATGAGTTTTAACTTGGAAAAAGATCTTTCGGCAATAGCAACTGTAATTGATAATAATATAAATAGCATGCAGGCTTCTAGTACGTAATAGAAACGTTTGTTTCAAGAATAAATGTCGCGAGCTGAATAAATTGTTTATATGTTTTTGTTTATGATTATTTCCTTAAAACAAATAAGATAATTATTAAATTCGAAACCTATATCTGATTGAAATTTAATACAAAGTCATGTACAAGATATGAATCTTTAAAAATCATATTTTCTCTAGATTCAATAATTAGTTGAAGTGCTACGTAGAATTCATAAGCCTAAAAAACGGATTTTTATTTATTTAGTACAGTGTTAACGACAGCAAGAAAAATATTTATTCTAAAATTAATAAAATATTCTATAATAACTATTCTATAAAAACTATAAAAACCACATTCTATTAAATTTTCTTTTACAAAATAACTAAATGAACACTATAATAATGTTACATATAATATTATAGCCCAATATATGTGTAATCTGGAATACCCCGTTCTTTGACAACTGATAAATAGTATAATTAGGTATAAAAATGAATGTTTTCAATGATTTTTATACAATATTTGGTTTGACCGTGAGAACATAATGCTATGTCCCAGAAGGAGATGGGGTCCCTAGCTAACTTCTAGAGGCCTTTTTACCAGGGCATCGCCCAAGCTGCCCTTGTGGTTTTTGTGGTATTAGGCAATTCAAATACTTTTTAAAATTTGTATTTTAGATAATATAAGTCAGTTATAAGGCTGCCGAGGTCGGTTTTTCAAATAAACGAAGGAAAAACGGGAAAATGAACGAAATATATTACTAAAATATAACGATTTTTTTTTTCTGTGCACAATTTGTCTACCAGCAATTTTGCTCCGATTTATGACAGAAATGTTTCTAAAATTAAATCAGATTGGGGATGTACTTTAGAGAGTACAACATTAAACAAATATTATTAAAAACTATATATAAAGTCTATTTGATTATTTTACTATAATATGGCATATATATTGTTGACAAAGCATCATTATCAACTGAACTCTGCCCAGAATCGTTTTTTTTAAGCAATGGTTTATCATTGCTTACAGGTATACATTAAATTACCTATAACAGTGGCTGTACCCGTTACCATTATCCTAGGACATCTCTTTTTTATCTGATAATGCTAAACTTTTTATGTAAACTCCGATTTGTGATTAATCTGTATGTTATTTCAAAAAAAAAAAAATTAATTTAAGACAATTTCTAGGAATTTGTATTTAAAAATCAGATCCCATTGAATGTAACCTAATGAAAGTCTTCCTCTTTCAAATAATAATAATGAAAAAAATATGTATAAAATATCTCACTATTCTACGAGGTATTTTTCCTCGAGACATGTTCCTATACAAATTATATGGTTTTTTAAACTGTTCTAGCTCTTCAAAAGGTATCAAATCTTTAATGAAGCTTAAAACATTCTTAATACAAGCTTAAGACAAATCTGATTGGAGACAAATTATTTTTTTCCAAATTAAGACTATAAGAATTATATAATACATTAAATATTTTATGAAATATGGAATATAATGGGGAGGCGCAAGGGGAGGCAATCGTCGTTTTCTTCACCCTCTATCAGGGTCGAACCACTTTTGTAGATAGAGAGTTTAGAAAGTATTAGATATAAAGTGATTTGGTTTATATACACTGAAAAGAACGATAAACCATATATTGTAATGCAATTAATACATGATTTAGTACTGAGCTCATACTGATTATAATAGGTATAAAATTGTTTGTGTTATTTTTAATACTGTCAATAGATAACCCTAATCCAAAAATCAACAAAAGTCAATAATAAATCCAGTGTATCGTTATTTTGTTGTCGGAGTTTTTTCAAATTTTTGAAATAAAATACCACTGAGAGAACAATTGTTTTAGAATGTACGATGAGAAAAATTTTGAGCAATTTTAAAAACAAAAAAGTATTTTGCGAGAAAAAATATACATCAGTAAACTCAGAATCTAAAACGAATTTAAATACTTAGTACTTCTATAATTTTAAAGAAAAATAAAATACTCCTATTTGATTTATGTACTATACTTACCAATTATTACCTATTCGTAATAAAAATATCAAATATTATCAGTGGTCCATATACCCCCCTTCCCCCCTGGTTCCCAGGATGTGCTACTGAAGTTACCTCCAATGGTATCCTACATTTGTGAATTGAAATATGAAATACTCTATACCCGTATCGTTCACTATAAGTATTAATATTTAAAATTCGTTAAATTTTTACCCTTCAATTAACTCTTTGTTTCAAAAAAAAATTGTTGTACCCGATCGTCCAATTATTATAATTAGTATATTATTCAGTGTCAACAATTATTCAGCCGAATGTCTAGGATTAACCGCCAAAAATCAACATTATTCGATTAACCGCCGACAATCTATAGTCAATTTCTACGTAACTAATAATTATGTACACATTTAAGAAAACCGTATATTAGCCAATTAAAAATTAAGTTCACCTCGTCGCGCAATACGTCCAGACTTCGATAGTCGTCCGGCGTGAGCGATCCATAATCCGTCGTGGGACCGCCGTTGTTCATGGACGTCCCAGTGCCGGGCGACCCGACTCCTCCAATGCTGTTCCACTTGCCGCTCCCGTGTTGCGGCTGTTGCGTGTCTTCCAGCAGACGACATTTGTGCCGAAGTTCTGCTTCCGCTTGAGATAACTGTCCGGCAAACGAATATAAAGTTATTATAACTGTGTGTCAATAATATTATGTATGCACTGCGTCATAGGCGTGCGTAGAGGTGCTTCTGAACTGTATTCTCCCCTCCCTCGGTTTTAAATAATTCTTAAACTGTACGAGATAGCGCAATCATTGTATAAATGCCATGCATATAACAAGATTACCAATATCTAGTTTAAACAACTAAAAATGCATCCCCCCCCAAAAAAAAAAAAAATCAATCTAGTTCCTAGACACCCTTTTGTATAAAATAAAATTTCGTGATTAGATAGCACGTCGAATATTAGACAATCAATGCTCACCTCCCTGATGTGTGACTGTAACCTTCCGTTCTGGTCCGTAAGCTCCCGGACCACGGCTCGTTTCTGTTTGTCCGCCTCGCGCAGCTGACGTTCCCTGCTGTCGAGTACTGCTTGCAAATCACGGAGGTCGGCCTGAAGCTCGTGACAACGCTGTTCGCACTCGGCCCGAGCCTGGGCCAGTTGCCGTCGGAGCCGGTGTCGGTCCTGTTCGATTTCCTTGAAACCATAAACGGCACGTTAAACATGTCTAATTCAATGACAGCCGAATCAAGGACTGTATAAAATCGTGTACATAGACGTGGCAAATAATGAGAGAGGAGAGACTATCGAACAAATTAATTTTAAACCGTAGTGAAAACGTCATCCATACATCTGATACGATGATAATAAGGCCGATTGGAAGATACTTTATTGCGTGCCAACCTGACCCGTTTTTGTGAAATGCGTCGATCTAGCCGGCTAATGGATTCTTTTTATTAAATTAACATTGAAAATAGCGTTCCGCTTCACAATTTAAAATAGGTATTGTTAATTATTACGGGTAAACTCGGTGCAATGTCATTATGGCAATGCGCCTGTAATATACATATATGTATATATGTGTATGTATACATTGCAGGTATATAATATACAAGTAGAAAAACGGACCATAAGATTGCGTCCGTAAATAAGTGTTTGATTTGCAGTGTTAAAAAATACTTGCTTTACCTATACATTGCGTTTCACTCAAATGGTAACACGAAATATTTCTGTCCAGTGATCTCGGATTGAAATGGGGTTTTCGAAAGAAGACAGGAAATACTTAAATACACATTTTGTATGGATGTTCAAATGTCTTACCCTTTCAGTGTGCGCATGCGCAATGCATTTTTTTTTTAAATGGAAACACGTATTTCCAACTCTTGATTTGAATAAACCATTTTATTTTTTTAAGCAACTTATATAAATAAACGTTTTCCTTATCTCGAAAATTGGCCGAAATACAGTTAGTTTAAGTTGAAACAAAATTATTTTATTATTATTATTTTATTTTAAAAAATTTATTACAAAAAATACTCATTATCAGTCATCATTATCTTATTAATTGTAATTGTTATCAGGGGAATGCGCCGGCCAAGCTATCGGTCCATATGTCCCCATCCAATGAGTTTTAAATGTGCTAAATAATTATTGTCTTACAATAATACTATTGTGTGCGGGAGCACCATCTTGTTGACAAGATACGTTTTCTCTAACATCTAATGGAACACTCTCTAACAATGGCGGTAAATGGTTAGAAAGAAAATCCAAATATCTCCTTCTATTTAATGTTCCATCATAAAAATAGGGGCCTATTATGAAACCTCCAATTAATCCACACCATACATTTGTTGGATGGATACACATGGAACGATAGCTTGGCCGGCGCGTTTATCTGATTTGACGCCTCTAGATTTTTTTTCTTTGTGGACATTTAAAAACTGTAGTTTATGCTGATCTAACGATTAGTCTCCAGCATTTGAAATGAAAAATCACTGAAACATGCGCACAACTGACAAACAAATTATGGCAGCTACTTAAGATGAAGTCATACAACGTTTGCACGTTTACAACATATTGGACGCAACTTCGAACAATTTATTAGATAATGATGACTGATGAGTATTATTTGTAATCAATTTTTTAAAATAAAATAAATTTAATAGTAATAAAATAATTTTGTTTCAACTTTAACTAGCTGTATTTCGGCAAATTTTCGAGATAAGGTAAAAGTCCGTTTATATAAGTTACTTAAAAAAAAAAAAATAGTTTATCCAAATCAAGTTTTGGAAATAGGTGTTTCCATTTTCAAAAATACAAGTTTTATTGCGCATGCGCATGCGCACACTGAAAGGTTAAGAAATTTGAAAACCCATGCAAAATGTGTATTTCAGTATTTCGCATCTTCTCTAGAAAACCCCATTTCAATTCGAGGTCGCTGAACAGAAATATTTCGTATTACCATTCGAGTGAAACACGCTGTAAATAAAGTTATGAACAACAATTGTATTTTTTTTCCGGTCACAAATTCGCACGGGACATATTTTTTCTCTCTCTCAAAGTCCCGACCCGCTCTCCACCCCTCAAAAAAAAAAAAAATCCGATTTTGTAACTGACCATCGCCTACACATTGTTATTATTACATTACAATACACAGTGACGATCGGCGGGACGATGGCAGAGCGCAATATGGCAAAATAATGGTTAACGGTATTGATAACTTGCCGACCCGCAATAGAATGAGATGGTTTTTTTTTTGTTTTCCTTTGTTTCGCGTGTATAAACACCGAGAAAATACGTTTCAGCTGCCTCGTCGGCGCGACCGCGGTGCGGTTTCGAGTGAAAAAAAATCCGCCGCACAGTTACAATATACACGCGTAGCTGCTGTTTACGGGCTGATAATTTTCGAAAGACCGCGCTCGGCCCGCAGTCGAATAATATTATTGCGCATTGTAAAACATCGCGCGGGTTCGTCCGCCAAAACACGTAATACGTTCCATAATAACACGACGATAATGCGTTTATCGCGTTTCGTGACGACGTGATATTAACGTTACGTTGCGCGCGGAATTTATTTTCATCATAACGCGTCTATTATTATTATTGTTGTTGTTATTATTATTATTATTACTATCGTTACGTCGCCGTTATCCTTTCGCCGTCCCGGGCAGCGCGCCGTGTCGCCCGTCCCCGGCCGCCGTGTGCCTCTGACAGTAATTATTGTCACCTAAACGCGACTCGGGCGTACCCGTGTAACCGCAGCCCCCCGCCGTCACGGGACCTTGGTCCACCATCACGTGTTCGCGGAGACGTTCGTTACGTATTTACTGGCGTTTTTTTTTTTTTTCCGTTTGTTTTCTATGATTTTCTTCGCTATATTGATCTAATACGAACCGCATTGCCGGATGAACGTCGCGCGGCGTTACAATGCTGTTATATGCGTATATTAGGCGGGTATATAGACTGCGTCGGAGACGTAACGCGCCGTGTTATTAGAAGTCGTACGCCGTCTAATGCACAATACAACAATATTGTCCGCCGCGGAGACGGAGCGGGGTCGGCGCGTTCTATATAACGATAATGCCGTGCCTGTATAACTACGGCGAAAACCTGTGCAATAGTAACGGCGCAACAATGGAGCTCGTCGGCAAAACGTCCGGGGCCGTGGCGGGGGAGTTTGCGCGACGCTTTCACTCGCGCCGCCCGGTGTACGCGCGGGTACGGAACGCGCGCGCCGCCGTCAAGTCGGACGAGTGAGAGCGTGACGCCGGAGATTAAGTTTTCAGGCTGCGATACGCGGACGCTGTGATACGCAGCGGCGGCCGGCGCGACCAGTTTTACATTTTTCAACGAACGTTCCGTCCACGATAATCGGGCGGCCGGCGGGCCATGGGCGACCGCTCACTGTGTCCGCCGACAACCCGATAAAATATTATCACGCCGTGTTGTTACTGTCGGGCGTACGTTGTTTCGGGTCTGGCGCGATTATTATCGCGGGAGCGCGGAGTTAATCGTTTTATTCACGCGCGCGCGCGCGCGCGTGTCCGAACGGCCGAACAGAATATTGTCTCGCGTGCAGCCGCCGGTCGGGACAATGGCGATTTATAATCTCATTCTTATCGACACGCGCGTCAAACAACCCCGCACGCACTTTTCATATTATACACACATAATAGTATGTGCGTATATAATTTAGCGCATACACCTACACGCCGATATTGCACATTGCGTACGCACCATACACCGCGAACGCGCGCGGTGAAATCCATGGACAATATTACGGGCGCGCGGTTAGCGTACGGTGTGGGTCAAGGATGTTCGTAATGACCAACATAACAAAACACAACGCCGAAGGTTGCGTAGACCCCCCACCCCCCGATAACACCCCCACCGCCACCCCAACTCCCCGTCTGCCCTATATAGTATGCATTATTATGACAACATATTGTAATCGTGTAATTATAGTAAAAACGTTGTGCAATATTATTATTAAATACATTTGCGCATACCTCGAGTTTATCGCCATATTCTTCGGCCAGCCGTTCGTTCATCAACGAAAGCTCGTCGTTTTTGGCCAAAAGTGCCTTGCCGAGCCGGGCGGCCAGTATCAGGTCTTTGTTTTTCTGCCTGAGCTCGGCCGCCATGCCGGCCGCGTTCTCGACGTCCGTGTTCTGCGGGCACGACGATTCCGGCACGCCGTCGCCGCCGCCGGTCAGATGCCGGTCAAGCAGTTCCAGGTCTTCGAGGTCGACCAAGTGCTGTTGCAAGTCTTTCAGCCGCTTGGCGACCACAACGCCGTGACTGCCGAACGCCGCTACGCTTTCCTCGTCGTCGTCCGTCGACGATGACGACGACGACGACGGCGATGACGAACGGCTGCTGGTCGAGCTCCGGTGAGACGGCTTCGGACGCAGACCGTTTCCACCGCGACGCCGTCGGCCCGAAGACCGCGCCGCCGTCGAAGACGTCAGCGCAGGAATAACACTGGACGGCAACGGCACTGTTTGCGGTCGTATCGCTTGCGGTTCGCCGCCACCGCCGACGCAACGGTTGTCTGTCGGCGGAGTGGCCGCCGTCGCCACAGCCGCGGCCATTACCAATTATACCCGATTTCGCAGAGATTGTTTAGCCAAAATCGTTTTTCACGTGACAAGACGGTGACGACGGTGTCGCGGCAGCCATCGATGTCGGAAATGTCGGCGGTACGGGACGCCGGCGTGTCTTCACACCGACCGCAGCCAACATATGTTACGCGGAGCGCCGCCGACCGCGGCTCTACTCGGCGTACTATGACAAGTCGAGTCGACGAAACGTTATCCGATGCGAATTCGCTCGGCTATTTTGTAAATAAAGCGATTACCGTTAAGCCACAGTTTGCGGTCATGCGGAGGGACGACGAACGCTTCTGACCCTATTGTGTATTATACATTATGATATAGGCACGCGATTTTCGCTGACCGAGCGGTCAAATGTTATTGTACAACGACACATGCGGACGCGAGGAAATCTCGTCCGGACTAATGACAATAATAACAAAAACAATAAATAAAATACAAACCGAAACAATAACGCGTACACCAGTCGTATGGACGCGGGCGCACGTACAAATCCGCAGTCGTGCCCGCTTACCGTCGCGGGTTATTGTTGTAGTCACCGCCGACCGCGCGCGTGAAGCCTGAGCTGAGTGCAGACGCCGCGCTGCGAGAGAAAGAAACCTCCGGCGGCGGCCTCGACTTCTCCTACCAAAGGCCTCAGACGTCACCGTAACCGCTCGGCGAACCGTGACAGTGGCCACTGTCGTCGCCTCCGTCCGACCGCGCGCCGCCACGGCCTGCAACCTTCGTTCCCCGGCGGTCCGCCGACCGCCTACTCACACAACAACAACAACAACAACAAAAACAACAGCTACGACGCTTACGCCTACGCCATCGTCATTTTTCGTTGTTTTTTCCTCTCGTTTCTGTGCACATTACAATGCGCGCAGAAACACAAGAAAAAAAAAAAGAAAAAAAAAAAAAACAATGTTTTGTTATATTACACTGTTGTTGCATATTATGTTACTATCGTTTAATTCGGATACGCGCGCGCGTATAACGGTACAATACGTATGGGTACCTGCAGTGGCATGTAATACAACAATATTCGCTAGGCGATACGATTATAATACGTATTATATTGCAATGTTGTTCTTGTCGGTGTTCGGATAAAATGCACGTTTGTATTATACAATGTGCAAATGTACCATGTCCGCGTTGAATCGGCCGACGATGTCCGGGGGGGAGGGGGTTGATAGACTGCAGTGGCGCGCATACGGAGGGATCCGCGGGGTCCAACTCCGAAACTCCCAGTGGCCGAAAAAGAGAAAAAAAAAATGAACCCTATTCGGTATCCGCGTTGAATATTGTTCAATTAGATTGCAGTGAATAAATATATGAATAAAAATGTGTACACAAAACTAAAATAAACAAATGAACGAATGGAGTCGCCTGGAGTAATTAGATTAAACTGGAAAAATTGGATTTTGTGTTATAAATTATTATAATAATTAGGCATAGTGCCGATTTTTCAGTGACGTTTAAGACCGTTCTCATCAATGTAAACGTTGATTTTTAAACCGTTGTAGGCGAATGCGGCCTTTATTCGTATACAAATTTGACTTATCGATTAATAAGGAAAAATATTACTAAATTCTGAATAGTGCATATTTGCCATTTGGAGAAATTTTTCCTTTTTTTTTTTTTTTTTTCTGGCCCTTAAGACACGTAAAACCTCATCTTCTCTTGCTTTCTTCCGATTAATTTCTGAATCCACCACTTTTATATACTTCCTCGCATAAGCTTTCCATTGGCTGTCAGTCATTTTCCTATTAGATCTTTTTCAATTACCGTTAGGCGATTTCTTTCGTAATTTATCGAGACAAATTTTGGTGTTCGTCGTTGTGTAGACTTCTCCAATCAGTTCTGTGCTGCGGATATTGTACTTGAAAAAATATCTAAATACACCAGTAATTATTAACGTAGAATATAGCCATCGTGGTTTTATTATTATGCCACGGCTGCAAAGGGGCGAAACAGAAGCTTCAGAAGAGTGTAAGTTTTCGCATGGCACGTGGATTCCGTGATTTATATTCATGCATCAATCAAGTTTCATTATTTTCGATTTTGATTTTCTACTAGAAATCTTGCTCCAATTAAAAAATGACAAGAAAACTTTTCTGTAGCATTCTAAATCTAGTTGAGGTCAATTTTGATTTTTGAAATGATTTTCATAATAATCAGGAAAAATTAAAAAAAATATACTGAAATAAAAGTTTCATTATTTTCGATTTGGGGTTTTTGGTTTTTTTTTTTTTTGTAAATCGGTTAAAAATAATTATAGATGCCTGAAATTTTCACAAAATACTTATATATTATCCGTTTTCAGACACGATAAAATTTTTGAAAAATGGCAATTTTCGAGCTTTTATAGATATTTGGAATTTTCGAGGTCTTTTTAGTTTTTAGTTGGTGGTACCAATTGGCTATTATGTGGAAAGAATTCTTTAGCTAGACATATAAATGAAAATTTAACACGGTGCACATAATAATTCATAAAGTGTTTAGTAACTAATAGTAAAAACAAAAATAAAGTTGAATAGTATTTTTTATAGGTGATTTAAGTACAAATTTTGCTGAAAATGTTAGAACTTACGACATTTCAATTTTCAATTTTTGATTGAGTAAGATTTATATTTTTAAAAATTTCAAATAATGCAACGTTTATTTGATTATTTTGAAGTGTATATTAACGTGTATTTATCTTTTTAAGTGTGAATTCCGGATTACACGGTCTCTAGCACGAAATTTTCAATTTCACATGTACACTTGAATACCGTGTACTCTTGTAATAAGTAGTTCTGTTTATTTTGAATATTATGATACGGCCATAATCTGAGGAGTTTGATAAATAAATGAAAAAAAAAAAAGCGCGTTTTAAAATTAAAATACTGTATTAAAATCGACGGTCCAGTGTTCCGCCTACCGCGGTACGCCCGCAATCGCTAAAACGAAACATAACTTCGACAGGGGAGAAATTTATTCCGAAAATCCCGCGGTGGCAATTCTTCGGCACGCGTGTGCTGCGGGCGTCAGCGACGAGTTGGCTAAAACGCCGCCCACGTCGTCGGGTTCGAAAACCCGGAACTGCCGACGAAGCACAAAACTAACGGCTACAATAATAAAACACAATGTGACTAATTCGCGTTTTCGCAACGATGACGACGTACTTCAGCTGGCCGTTCCCGTCTCGTCTCGTACCCACACACACACACACACACACACACACGCATAGTTATACCTATATTATTATTTTTGCGTTACGTACGTATGTACTGGATAAAATGACTAATAATGTATATATTATTATTATTATATGGTGTCCGATGACTCATATACGATAAACGAGTATAATACACTATAACACATTATGACACTGTTAAAATCAATTTCTTATTAATTTCGTTCTCTTCTCGTCGATATAACATACTATATTATATTATACCAGCGATGTATTACCCGGCGCACAGTGGTCTGAGAATGAAATTTAAGTGGCAAAAATAGGTCATTAAAAGTGTTGAAAAAATTATTATTTTTTTTTTCTAGGATCTCATTAGTAGATGATTATTATTATTGATTTATATTATTATTACAAAATTTCAGTTTTATAACATCTTTTGAACTGGGGTTATAGTGAATTAGACAAATTTGGTTTTAACTGTTATTTTGAAAATAAAAATGCCGATAGTTCATTTTTTTTTCAGCTATTTAAAATATATAAAATGAAAAAAATGAAAAACCTAATTATTAAGTCGCATAATAATATAATAAAAACAAAATAATTGTTTAATAATTTTTTTAAATTTAAGTCCTTAACGGGTGTGAATCATAAAAAAAAAATGTTTTTGTGGTTTGTTTTTTCATAAACTGCAGTAAAAAATTTACTCAAGTTAACCCTATACTCAATATATGCATTTTGTAGGTGAAGTCCTCAGCTATAAGAATGTATAATTTTTTATTGCGTCCTTTTGCATCTGCGATGCATATAAATCATATTGTCAAAATAAAAATAAAAAATAGTGTATTTTAAAATTTGTATAGAAAATTATCTGTACACGATTTAATAACACAAAATTTAAAATTGTTATTTATAAGTGCTAGACGTGACGAATTGTTTGAGGGAGTAATCGGTAAATAAAGTTAAAAAAAAATAAAATATACAGTAGTATTAAATAAATAAGGTTATACTGAAAAATTCAGTTTAAAGAGACACGATAATACTTAGCAGCACAATTACGATTTTAGAACATAATATTTTGCCTTGCAGTGTTATAAATATAACTATGTGCAATGTGTATGCATGTATACGAGTACGTGCTGCAGTTTCATAAAGGTTAGTATTACATTTTTGTACTATTACTACGTTTTATAAAGTTTACTAATATTTTGTATTTAATAATTTTAATTTTCACTGTTATACTTTACAATTCACCATGGGTAGACCTAAAGAAAGTAAGTTTTTTCAAATACATTTTATACTTGAACACTATGAACTTGCAGTAAATATTATAATGTACGACAGTGGCGTAAAATAGGAATCCCATGGGGTTGCACTTGGAAAATATCATAAGGTCACAATAAGTATTTTTTGGCGACCTCAAAAATCGTATGTTACCAAAAATTATTCATTTGATAACGCAACTAATAATCAGCTTTTTATAAATATAAAATTTATTAAATTTAACATTTGATATAAATGATATCAGTATTTATAGCATAAATAATTTGGTATTTTAGAAACTAGTGTTTAAATTTGTTTCAATAAATAATAATTTCTAATGAAAAACGATTCAGAGCGAAGTTCGGTTATATTTAATTTAAAATGCCGTATTTTTTTTAAGTTTTGTTAAAATTTGAACTATATAAATGCATGTAAAAAACTCTTTTTTACCACTATATCCAACTTAAAATAAACGTCAAGTAAAATGTTCAAACATTTCTGTTAGGTCAAAACCATTTTATCTACATAAAACCAAATAAAAACTAAACAACAAATTCAAAAATGTCGAATATCAATAAATAACTAAAACAAATCTCTAAAATGTTTTGAATATTATATACCAAATTTAGAAAAAGCCATTATTAGTAAATAATGACCTTTTTTATAAGTATTCTGTAAAAATGTCAAGTGTCTACGATTCTATGATTTGTTCAAATCAAATTACAACAAAAAATTAAAATCAAAAATAGCGAACCAACGTAACTTTTCACAATTACTAAAAAAATAACAATAAAAATTATAAAAATGACCTTTTCATATAGTAGTTGTACAAATATTTTTTCCAATATAGATGTTATTCTAGAAATTATGGAACGAGATTTTTGGTCAAAAAAAAAAAAATTAAACCATTATTGTGTTAATTTATCTGTTTTTCCTAAATGCATTTTTTCCAGTGTTTCTCGACTATTATGAAAACTACTTGGAGAATTAATAAAATACTTTCTCATTGTATCCTCTACATTCATATTTTGTTTAAACAATAAACATATTATACACATTTCAGGGGCGTCTCCAGATCCTCACTATGGGGGGGGAGCGAAATAATTAAATTTAATATTAATG